TTTATTTATGATAATTATTTATAGTATTTGCTTCAAATACTGAAATTATTGGTCAAATAGAATTTATTTGATTTAAATAAAAATTTGTTTTGTTTCAAGTAAAAATTATATTTGATTCTAAATAAAAGGTATTCAATTATTGAAAAATTTGGTTCAATTATAAAGAATCATTTAGGTTTTCGTGTATAGAATTTGTTGTTTCATTTGGTTGATTCAACGAAAAATTCGTTTGTTTCAATTAAATTTCTTTTTGCTGAGTGAAACACAGGTTTTTTTATACATGGAAAAATATATATTTTTTCCATTGATCTGAATTTGTAAAAAGACCAAAGAAAAAAACATACAAGGGTGAATTTAAAAATAGTCGAGAAATTGTAGAATAGAATTAATTGAAAGGAAATAAAAATACTGGAAGTCTCTGAATAACCTTTAACCATCCTAAGCATTAATTTTCAATACATTGTACATACATGAATCACATAAATCACATCTACTCTTAATGCTTACATCGATTCTTTATAATTTAAAATTTATAATGTGAGCTAACATTTATTATTATAATTCAGTGGTCCATAATCTCTTTACAATCTAAAATTATTGTTAGTTATTATCTAATTATGTTATAATTTTGTATCAAACTTTAGTTATCCATTTATGCGGTCCACTTGGACTGCGGGAACTGTTTTTGTAAATAAATAAATAAATAAATAAATAAATGAATACACTTAAACTTGATATCTGTCGGAAATGAGAAAAAAAATAATAATCCAAAATACTTTTGCATTGCATCTTAAATACTTATTTAAATAATTTCAATATTTTAAAGAAAACAAATAGAAAAAGCTCTTCTCTCTTTGTAATAATATAAAAGAAGATTATTATTGAGATTAATAAAATTTTAAATGAGCTGAAAGTTTTGTTTTTTCAAAGTTAATTAAATTTGATGTTTGAATTTGACTCAATCTCTTTAAACTTTGTTCATTATCTATATAACCGCGGGTTAGATTCGTTCGGGCATAATTTACATACCAGTTATTAAAATAAAATAGTTATATATATATATGAATAAATTCGTTTGTATTATTAAATTTAATTAATTATTTTTGTTTGTGTAAATGAGATGTTAACTAAAGAATTTTTCAATTTTAATTAAAAAAATGAAATTTTCAAATAAGTGTTACTTTACTTTTATATACAAAGGTATAAAAAAAAGTTTCGGGTCGTTCTATTTTCATTTAACTTTTGTCTAAGCTGTATTTGAGTTCTACTTTATTTAAGATGAAAATAAAACAAGTGAAAACATTAAATGCCAAGGACTTAAAATTAACAATATAGAAAATTAAAAAAAAAAAAAAAATGGTAGGAAAAGTAGCATTTGTTTGTTAAAATAAAAAATAAATAAAAAAAGTAATTTTTCTTTGGTGTTTTAATAAAAATTTTAAAAAGTTAAGAATTTTCTTTTAATTCGATGAACGTTTTAGAAAAAAATATTCTTTTTCTTGCATTTGTCTCAGCGCAAAGTTGATTGATTGGAAAAATTTGCTAATATATCCAAAGTTGACATAAATTATATTGATCTCATCAAATTCCTAAAACTGAACGAACGCAGTTCACTGATTCTATTCTGTCCAGTACATTATGAAACAATGCTATTAATAATCTATTTAACAACAGTCGATTGAAGCCAAAACGTTTTCCATAAATTGCCACCTGATCATTTAATGTGATACGATTCACTGGTGTTTAATGAAATACAAAGCAATTTCTGAAATACCTTTCAATATATCTTGAAAATTACTCTTCTACTGAGACAAATTTTTTATTTCCTGATAACAACAGGTACACTTTTATTTTTATTAATTTTATTAATTTTCTTTTTTGAGATTTTAGATTGACGTGCACGCGGAGAAAAATTTTATTTAAACCAAATGTAATTTATTTGAATTAAGTAAAAACATATTTGTCTCAGAGCCTTTTTATTTGTTTCAAAATAAAATTTTATTTGGGGCAAATACATTTTATCCTGAAGCAAATAAAATTTTATCTGAACCAAATAAAATTTACTTGAAACAAGTAAAAAGTTTATTTCGCTCTGAGTCAATTTTTCTGGAAATTGAAAAATTTTTCTGCAAATTACAATCAGGGAAATGTCAGAGAAATTAGAATTGGTCAGGGAAAAGTCGCAGGGATTTTTATTAAAAGTACTGGAAAAAATAAAATTTTTTAAATTCATAAGAAAATTCTAAATTTTGGTTTTTTTTGTTTGCCTCATAAACTATACGAAATTACAACGAATTCAAATACAAAACTTTCAATTTTTTTCATTTTCTGACAATAATTTCTTTTTTAAAAATTGAATTTTGGAATGCAATTAATTTCAAAAATTTTAATAAAATAATTCTTGGAAAAAATTCAATTATTTTTCCAAAATTTTCTATATTTACTACTTTAATAAAATTTTTCAAAAGAATTCAATTATTTAAAAAAAATTTTAATAAAATTTTGCTCAAACATTTAATTTTTTTACAAATAAAAATTGCACAAGAATTCAATAATTTACAAATTTTGTGTAAATTTCTTAGCTAAAATTCAAGTATTTTCACAAACAATAAAATTTTCTGCAGAGATTTAATTATTTTCTTAAAAAATAAAATTCTTCTCAGGAATTCAATTATTTTCATAAATAGTAAAATTCTTGTCAGGAATTAAATTATAAACATTCAATAAAACTCTTTTCAAGAATTCAATTATTTACAAAAAATTTTTGATTAAATTCATTGCAAACATTTCAATAACTTTCATAAATAACAAAATTCTTTTTAGGAATTCAATTATTTTTGAAAATTTTTATAAATTTCTTCACAACAATTCAATTATTTTCATAACTAATAAAAAATTTGTAAGCAATTCAATTATTTATAAATTTTTTTTTAAATTTCTTTGCTTAAATTTAATTATTTTTACAAATAGTAAAATTTTTTTACAGTGATTCAAATATTTTCTTAAACAATAAAATAATTCTTCTCAGGAATTTAATTATTTTTGAAAATTTTTATAAAATTCTTTAGAAAAATTCAATTATTTTGATAAATAATAAAAATTTCGCAGGCATTCAAAACATTTTTTTTTTCTTCGCAAAAATTCAATTATTTTCACAAATAATTTAAAGTTTTACAGAGATTTAACTATTTTCATAAATAATAAAATTCTTTTAAGGAATTCAATTATTTTCATAAATAGTAAAATTCTTGTCAGGCATTCAATTATTTTATAAACATTCAATAAAACTCTTCTCAAGAATTATTTACAAAAAATTTTTGATAAAATTCTTCTCAAAGATTTAATTAATTTCATAAATAACAAAATTCTTCTCAGGAATTGAATTACTTTTGAAAATTTTTATAATTTTTTTCACAACAATTCAATTATTTTCATTAATAATAAAAAATTTGGAAGCAATTAAATTATTTATAAATTTTTTATATTTCGCAAAAATTCAATAATTTTTAGAAACAATAAAATTTTCTGCAGAGATTTAATTATTTTCTTAAATAATAAAATTCTTCTGAGGAATTTAAATATTTTTGAAAATTTTAATAAAACTCTTTGCATGAATTCAATTATTTAAAAAAATTTTTTGATAAAATTCTTTTTAAACATTCAATTATCTTTAGAAATAATAAGTTTCAATTTTTTTTTAATACAATTTAATCAAATTCCTCGAAAATTTGGAATTATTTAAAAAAATTTTAATAAAATTCTTGGCAAAATTTCAATTGTTTTCTAAAATTTTCAATAAATTACTATTTTAACAAAATTTTCCAAAAGAATTCAATTACAAATAATAAAAATTTCACAAGAATTCAATAATTTACCAATTTTGTGTTAATTTTTTCGCAGAAATTCAATTATTTTTACAAATAATACAATTTTTTACAGTGATTCAAATATTTTCTTGAACAATAAAATTTTTCTCAGGAATTCAATTATTTTTGAATATTTTTTAAATTAAAATTAAAAAAAAACAATTCAATTTTGTATAACATTTTTATTTTCTTCGCAAAAGTTCAATTATTTTCTTAAATAATAAAATTCTTCTTAGGAATTCAATTATTTTCTTAAATAATAAAATTCTTCTTAGGAATTCAATTATTTTCTTAAATAATAAAATTCTTCTTAGGAATTCAATTATTTTCTTAAATAATAAAATTCTTCTTAGGAATTCAATTATTTTCTTAAATAATAAAATTCTTCTTAGGAATTCAATTATTTTCTTAAATAATAAAATTCTTCTTAGGAATTCAATTATTTTCTTAAATAATAAAATTCTTCTTAGGAATTCAATTATTTTCTTTAATAATAAAATTCTTCTTAGGAATTCAATTATTTTTGAAAACTTTAATAGAACTCTTCGCAAGAATTGAATTATTTAAAAAATTTTTTTGATAAAATTTTTCGCAAACATTCAATTATTTAATAAATTACTTATTTTTATATTTAAATAATTGAATTCTCGTAGAATATTCTAAATAAAAATTTATTTAAAAATGAATTTCAGTTAAAAATTATTAAAAATAATTGATTAAAAGAAGAATTTTAGTTAAAAATTCTAGAAAATGATAATTGCATTAAAATGATGATGATTATTTTGAAAAAGTTACATTACAATATTCCTATAATATAAAATAATGTTTTTTTTTACACGGTCTTCTTTAATTATTATAAAACATGAGTCTTCGACTCCGAGTGATCGATTTTCTCATGTTTTATAATAATAAATAATTTAGTAGGCTCGGTGACAAATAAACTTTATTTGACCCAAATAAATTATATTTAATTTAAAAAAATTTTATTTAACTCAAATAAATTATATTTGATTTGAATAAAATATTTATAGTAAAATATTTTTTTTGTGGTGCGTAAAAATAATTTTTTTTTTATTCTTGTAAAGAAAATTTTATTTGATTATTAATTTTTTTTGTGATCTATTTGTGTTTCAGGAAAAAATCGAGTATGTCTTTCTAGTAATTTTCACAGTCGAATGCATGATGAAAATTATAGCTTACGGATTCGTGGCGCATCAAGGCGCTTATCTGCGCAACGGATGGAATTTGCTGGACTTTACGATAGTTGTAATCGGGTAAGTTTCAAAAGTTTGATTTAATTCTTTCTTTTTCGAAAAGCTCAAGTAGTTCTCAAAAAGTTTCAAAGAAAATAACCCGCAAATTGACGTAATTAATTATGAACAAATTAATTATTTTGTTAACTAACACATTTGTTCTAATTTAATGTCGTCGTCGTTCCAGTTTCTGTCCATGACTCAATAGTTGTTTTTTAAAATTTTCCGTTTAATTTATTTTTTATTTATTTACTTAATTAATAATAAATAATACATTATTTATTTAATATTTAAATTATTATTTAATTGTTTTATCTTTTTTATAATTTTTATTATCGCAAAATAAAACTGGACAGTATAAGTGGGACGTCGACTGCAGTATAGAAATACAGAAATAATATTCAAAAACGATTGTTTTTAAGTAAAGAGAATAATTTTCATAAAAATTAGTTAATGAAATATTTTTATTTAAATGCTTTTTTTTTATTTTAAGCTTGTAGGTAATTTATGTGAAAGTAATTCATTTGTAGTTGGTGGTAGTAAATTTTATTAGAGCGACTGTTTCTAGCTTCCTTTGAGAATTCATTCTTATTATCTGACGTACATACGTAATAGACGCGTATTCTTGTATTTTAGGAAATTGTGTCCTCTGAATAAATATCTAAAGACCCATATATTTGAATTTACGCGGAAGTAAATTCGAAATATGCAAATAGATTTTCAATCAAAATTTGAACATTTAAGCGCGCCACATTCGGATTTATTCCCTAGAATTCTCTCTAATGAGCAAATTTTGCATTAATTAAAATATTGTATTGAAATTAGCCGCAAAAATTACGTTCAAAAAAAGTTATTCTTTAAATTTTGTCGCATTTAACTTTTTTTTTTATTTAAAATATGTTTTTATTTAACATTTATTTAACTTTTTTTTATTTAAAATTTGTTTTTCTTTAACAGTTTTTTAACATTTCTTTTTATTTAAAATTTGTTTTTTTAACCATTTTTAAACATTTTTTTTTATTTAAACTTTGTTTTTATTTAACATTTTTTTTTATTTTTTATGAATAATTTTTTTTGTATTTAAAATTTATTTTTATTTAACGTCATTTTTCATTTAAGATTTTAAAAAATAATTAAATGTCTGAGAAGAATTTTATTATTTATGAAAATACTTTAATTCTGACGAAGAATTTTATTAAAGTTTTAAAAATAATTGAATGCCTAAGAAGAATTTTATTATTTATGAAAATAATTGAATTTTTGCGAAAAATTTTATGAAAGTTTTGAAAAATAATTGAATTCCTGTGAATTTTTTTTTATGTATGAAAATAATTGAATCATTTTGAAGAATTTAAAAAAAAAAGTTTTTAATAATTGAATTTCTGAGAAGAAATTTATTATTTATAAAAATACTTGAATTCTGGCGAAGAATTTTATTAAAGTTTTCAAAAATAATTAAATTTCTGAGAAGAATTTCATTATTTGTGAAAATAATTGAATTCTGGCGAAGAATTTTATTAAAATTTTTCAAAAATAATTGAATTTCTGTGATAATTTTGTTATTTAGGAAAAAAATTGATTTTTTGCAACGAATTTTACGTAAATTTTTAAAAATAATTTAATTCCCGAGAAGAATTTTATTATTCATAAAAATAATTGAATTCATTTGAAGAATTTTAATAGAATTTTTTAAAATATTGTCATTTTTCGTGGAATTTATTGAAAATTGTATTAAAAATAATTGAAATCTTGCATAGAGTTTCATTATTTTTGAAAATAATTGCATTTTTGCAACGAATTTTATATAAATTTTTAAAAAATAATTTAATTTTTAAAAAGAATGAATATTTATAAAAATAAGTGAATTGTTGCGAAGTTTTATTAAAAATTTAAAAAATTCATCAGAAGAATTTTATTATTATTATAAAAATACTTGAATTCTTGAGAAGAGTGTTATTAAGATTTTTGAAAATAATTTAATTCCTGAGAAGAATTTATGAATATCTTCCTTTTTATTTAAAATTTATTTTTATTTTACGTCTTTTTTTCTTTAAGATTTCTTTTTATTTAAAATATTTTTTTATGAACCATTTCTTTTATTCGAAATTTCTATTTATTTATTTTTTAAATTCTGTCATTTTCTTTTTACTATAAACATTTCCACTTAATTTTATTTATTTACCTCCTTTTTTCGAAATTTTTTTTCTTAATTCGTTCTTAATTCTTATATTTCCTCTTAAAAAAAAATAATGTTTTTTTTTTTATTAGGAAAAAAATTTATTTTCTATTTAAAACACGACTTGGCTTTTATTTTTTAAATAAAACTTTTATCTCATGCACTTAAGTGACAGGCCTTGAAAAGCAAAAATGAGTAAATTTTATAGAATATTACCCGAAGATTGACAAGGTTGGTAAAATAGTTTATATATTGTAAAATAGAAGATATTTTACTGAGATATATTTTTACACGATATATAGGTACTCTAAATGAGGAAGATATGTTATATGAGAATATTTTTCACCCTTATAAAAAGCTGAAGCAAAATGACTCTAGAATGCGCAGTCGCAATTTTTACCTTCTTTAACTCACGAGTCTTTTTCTCTTTTATCTCTCCTGGTTTGCTCTGTGGAGAAGCTGGGGAGTTCTCTCATTCTTTTCCTATACCTTCTTCTATTTCTTCTTTTTTTTACTCTCTTCTTTTCATTTAAAGTCTTATATTTCTTTTTTCCATTTAATTCGTATTTTTATTCTATTGGGATCTGTCGACTTGCGTTTTCATACCCTATTTCTCTCTCCTTTAAATAGATAAGAGAATTTACTTTTTATATCTCATTTGTACCTTTTTTTTTGTATTTAGTTTGTTTTTTTAAATTTCGCGATGATAATTATTATTCCTAACTTGAGTGGAAAATTTTTTTTGAATGTGGATCTTATATAGAATTTTTTCAAATATTTATTATACATTTTATACAATTTTTTAAAACATAATAATAATAATAATAATAATAATATATAAATAACAATGAATTTAAACAATTTTTTAACAAATTAAATTTTTCCTAAAAAAACATTTTTTTAAAATCAAAAACTACAATTTTTTGAATTTAAAAATTCAATTTAAATCCTGATAAATTCGTTAATAATTTATAATTTTTAAATTAAACTGTGTTCAAGACTTAAGTCATTTTTGTTAAGAAAATATTTAAATACCTGTTTATTTTTCCAAAGGAATTAAAACATGTAAAATAATTTCAATCAAAAACCTTTCTGAAATATAACTATTTCTAAAAATTACAAAAAATTCTTCCAAAATTCAATCATTTTCTTGTTAAAATTTTTAAATAAAATTATTCAAAATTTTATTCATTTATTAAGAGAATAAAAAATTTTAAATAATTTTTTTAAATAGAAATTTAAATATTATTACACTTTTACAAAAAGTAAAATTTTCAAAAATTTTAATTTCAAAATTTTTTCAAACTTAATTATTTAAAAAATTTATACTATAAAGCTTCTATCATTCAAATTAATTATGTAGAATTTTAACTGAAATAATTTTTTAATCAATATTCTTCTAAAAATATTCCTCGACAATTCAATTATTTAAATACAAAAATTAATAATTTATTGAACAATTGAATATTTCTTAAAATTGAATTCTTGTAAAGAGATTTATCCAAATTTTTGAAAATAATTGAATTTTTTCGAAGAATTTTGATGAAATTTTTTAAAATATTGTTATTTTTCGTAGAATTTATTTAAAATTATATTAAAAGTAATTGAAATCCTGCAATAAGTTTTATTATTTTTAAAAATAATTGAATTCTTGCAACGAATTTTGTATAAATTTTAAAACTAATTTAATTCCTAAAAAGAATTTCTTTATTTATGAAAATAATTTAATTCTTGTGAAGAATTTTATTATAATTTAAAAAAATAATTGAATTTCTGAGAAGAATTCTATTATTTAGGAAAATATTTGAATTCTGACGATGAATTTTATTAAAGTTTTCAAAAATAATTGAATTTCTCAGAAGAATTTTATTATTTGTGAAAATAATTGAATTTTTGCGAAGAATTTTATTAAAGCTATAAAAAATAATTGAATTCCTATAAAGTATTTTATTATTTGTGAAAATAATTGAATTTTTTCGAAGAATATTACGAAAGTCTTGAAAAATAATTGAATTCCTGTGAAAAATTTATTATTTATTGAAATAATTCAATTTCTGAGAAGAAATTTATTATTTATAAAAATAATTGAATTCTGAGAAAATATTTTATAACAATCGTTTGAAGTAATTGATTTGTTTTTGAAAAATTGTATGAAATTTGTGTTTTAAATAATTGAATTCCTATGCATATTTTAAAGAATTGATTTTTTTGACAGGAATTTTATTAAAAGTTTTAAAAATAATTAAATATTCTTCTCAAAAATTGTATTAAAAGTTTTCAAAATAATAATAAACAATAATAATTAATTAGAAAATTAGTTAATAATAATTGATTTTTTTAAATTTTGAGTCTGAAATTATTCAAAAATTGAAGTAATATTTTCTAGTAATAATAATAATTTTAAAAATTTATAAATTATAAATATATTTATAAATAATAAATATTTATAAATAAATCTAAATAAAAATAAATAATCATTGCTAATATGGTAATAATATAAATATCGTCCCATTTGTATAAATAAATAAATTTTTACTCTTCAAAAAATTTGATCCAAAAAAATAGAAATTTATAGATCTAAATTTAATTTTGAAAAAATAGTGTCCTAGTTTTGAAATTTAGAAAAAGAAAAACGTATTTTATAGTAGAAAAATTTAAGACACAGTTTTTCTCTAAGAAGTTATATGAGGAACTCTTTTTCATTTTTGATTGTGTTAGAAATGAAATTGTCGACCTAGATTTTGTGGTCAGGTATACCTTAGGGGGTCGTTGAAATGTTAAATGACCATATCTCGCGGTTTGATCGATTACTCCTGGCAAGTTTATGTTTTGCACACTTAATGAGACGCAATTTTATAGAAAAGTTACCGTCCATTAGCGTCAATTATGTAACCTTGATTATTCTCTCCTCCTGTCTGTCTCTTTGGCCACTCCTCAACTTTCTTTTCAATATTTTCTTTATTAGACTTTATATTAAAACGTTTATGTAATCCGCTATTATTATACCCTCGTACGGCTAATTGAAACTAATTTATAGAATTTCTTGATCCAAGTAATAACTTTCTATACTAAAAGAATAAAAAATTGTTTCTCTCTTATTATTTATAAAATCTTTTTTGAAAAGTTTATTTTCAGAAAAATAAAAGAGTAATTTTAAAATCGTTTTTAATTTTCCATTTTAAATTCTCGTCGAAACTTTTATAACTTTCTATATGCTCAAAGAAAAAAAATTGTCTCTCTTTTATAAAATATTTTTTGAGAAAAGTTTATTTTCAGAAAAAAAGGTTAATAATTTTTTCAGTGAATAGGAAAATGTTTGATAATAATTTTTTTCTTCAGAGATTGGAGAAAAATTTTATATTAAAACGGGTTGCTACAGGTCAGGGAAATCAGGGGATAATCAGGTATTACAATTATGTTCATGAAATGTTTTAAAAATTCTCGACAAAATTTAAATCTTTAAAAATAATAAAATTCTTCTTGAGAATTCAATTACTTTAAACATTTTTTATAAAAATCTAAATAAATATGAAATTATTTTCACAAGAATTTAACTGATTGTTAATAAATTTCTTTACAATAATTCAATTATTTTCATAGATAATAAAATTTTTTACAGATATTCAATTATTTTCTTAAGGGCATTTAAACCATTATGAAGTCATAGTTTGTGCAAAGCATTTATTCTAAAGGCGTGACGTCATAATGGTTCAAATGCCCTTAAATAATAAAATTCTTCTCAGGAATTCAATCATTTTTTAAAAATTTTTAATAAAACTCTTCTCAACAATTCACTTATTTTCACAAATAAAAAATTTTTTCTTAGAAATTAAATTATTTTTACAAACAATAAAATTCTTCTGAGAAATTCAATTATATTTTAAAATTATTCTCAAAAATAATGAAACTCATTGCAAGATTTGAATTTTTTGTAATACAATTTTCAATAAAATCCACGAAAAATGACAATATTTTAAAAAATTTTATTGAAATTCTCCAAAAGAATTCAAATATTTTCATAAATAATAAAATTCTTCTCAGGAATTAAATCATTTTCAAAAATTTACGTAAAATTCGTTGCAAAAAATCAATTCTTTTCCTAAATAACAAAATTATCACAGAAATTCAATTATTTTTGAAAAATTTTAATAAAATTCTTTGCCAGAATTCAAGTATTTTCATAAATAATAAAATTCTTCTCAGAAATTTAATTATTTTTTTAAAGTATAATAAAATTCTTCGCAAGAATTAAATTATTTTCATAAATAATTAAATTCTTTTAAGGAATTAAATTATTTTTGAAAATTTTATATAAAATTCGTTGCAAGAATTCAATTATTTTCAAAAATAATAAAACTCTATGCAAGATTTCAATTATTTTTAATACAATTTTCAATAAATTCCACGAAAAATGACAATATTTTAAAAAATTTTATTAAAATTCTTTGAAAGAATTCAATTATTTTCAAAAAATTTTATAAAACTTAACAAGAACTCAATTTTTAAAAATTTTCAATTATTCAATAAATTATTTATTTTTGTACTTAAATAATTGAATTCTTGACGAATTTTCAAATAAAAATTGATTTAAAAATGAATTTCAGTTAAAATTTTAGATATTAATTAGCATGAATTTTGAAAAAGTTTAATTGAATTTATTTTTTAAAATTATTTTAAGTTTTAATTTTCTAAATATTTAATTGAAGAATTTTCAAATAATCAAAATTTCGTAAAATTGAATTGTCAATAAATGGATATGAAAATTCTCTAGAAACTATTGCAAAAATCATTCAAAATAATTAATAATTGTTCATTTATTTCTATCGAAGAATTTTAATAAAATTTTTGAAATTAATTAATTTTTTCGAAGAAATTACTTAAAATTGTATTAAATATAATTGAAATCCTGTGAAGAATTTTTTTGTTTAGGAAAATAATTGAAGTCTCTCATCGATTTTTTATTAATTTTTTTTTTTTTAAATAATTTAAATCCTGTGAAGAATATTATTATTTTTGAAAATAATTGAATTCTTGCAACGAATTTTATATAAATTTTTTAAAAGAATTTCATTAGTTATGAAAATAATTTAATTCTTGCAAAGAATTTTATTATAATTTTAAACAATTAATTGAATTTCTGAGAAGAATTTTATTATTTATGAAAATACTTGAATTCTGTCAAAGAATTGTATTAAAGTTTTAAAAAATAATTGAATTTCTTTGAAAAATTTATTATTTCGGAAAATAATTGACTTCTTGAAACGAATTTTACGTAAATTTTTGAAAACAATTTAGTTCCTGAGAAGAATTCTATTATTCATGAAAATAATTGAATTCCTTTTAAGAATTTTAATAAAATTTTTTAAAATATTGTCATTTTATTTTATTATTTATGAAAATAATTGAATTCTTGCAACGAATTTTATTACATTTTTTAAAAATAATTGAATTCTTTTAAGAAATTTTTTTATTTATGAAAATAATTGAATTCTTGCAATGAATTTTATTAAATTTTTTAAAAATAATTGAATTATTTTAAGAAATTTTATTATTTATGAAAATAATTGAATCCTTGCAACGAATTTTATTACATTTTTGAAAAATAATTGAATTCTTTTGAGAAATTTTATTAAAATAGTAGATTTTGAAAGTATTTTAATTTCAGAAAAGAATTTCATTTTTTGTCAAATATAATTGAATTTTTGCAAAAAAAATTTCTAAAATAATTATACATATTTTTCAAGGAATTTATTTAAAATTGTATTAAAATTAATTGCAATCCTATGAAAAATTTTATTATTTATGAAAATAATAGAATTCTTGCAACGAATTTTATTATATTTGTTTAAATAATTGAATTGATGTGAAAAATTGTATGACTTGTAGAAATACATATTTATGGTCAGGGGAAAAATCAACATTTCTTTTTGGAAATCAGGGAAAATCAAAATTAATTTTTTGTGGCAACTCTGTAAAAGAAATTTTGTACTAAAAAAATATTATCTCTTAAAAATTTTTTTTTGAAATGAATATTAGAATCACAAAATTTGTGATTTTTTTATTCAGAAAAGTGGCGTAATGTTTTTTTTATTATTATTTTATTTATTCTCTGAAAACAGAAAGGTAATAAATTTTTTTCAATTATAATAGGAAAAATTAATTTTAAATTTAATTTTTAATTTCTAAAATTAGTTTGTAGTGTCGAAGAATAATTTTTTAAATTTTGTAATTTTTATTATTATTAAAAAAATGTAGTTTTTTTTTCTTTTTTTTATTCATTGCTATTTGTGTGATTTTTTCTAATATGACCTTAATATATTGTTTTGCAGCAACATCAGCACGATCTTAACTTTGTTTTTGAAAGAGGGCTTCGATGTCAAGGCGCTGAGGGCTTTTCGAGTGCTTCGGCCTCTGAGGCTAGTGTCAGGTGTTCCAAGTAAGTACTCCATCCAGTTCAAATAGCTTTTGATCCTGTACCTACTTTATTCAGTAAAATGTAAGCGATTCCATCAAGTCGGCTTTAGTAGCTTTTGAATTTTTCAAGAATCTGTTATTAAACTTATATATTCTTCCAATAAAGATTTTCTAGCCGCAGAATTATTGACATCAATTCAGGAATTTCGAAAAATTATATAATTTGAATCATTTCAAGAAAAGAAAATTTTTTCTTTTCATTTTCTTTTCTTTTCTTTTCTTTTAACTCGATCGATTTTCAATTATACTTTTGAAACATTTTTTTTATAGTTTACGTATTTTTTCTTTCAGACTTCGCACTCATCTACTAAAACCAACTATTTACTGCTTTTTTACGATTTGCTTCTAATTGGATACTTTTTTTTAGATTTGTGACACTCATAGCTACTTTTCTCTTATTTCTTTTTGAGAATTTACACTTCTTTAAATTTGCTAATAGTTGGAATAAAAAAATCGTTCTGGAAAATATGAATAAAATTTTCAGACACAATTATGTAAACAAATTTTAATAAATTCTTTGAAACGATTCAATTATTTTCAAAAATTTTTCGAAATTCAATTATTTTCAATATTTACCATTATAATGATAATTTCCCAAAAGAATTCGATTATTTAAAAAAAAATTATATAACATTCTTCACAAACATTCAATTATTTTTAGAAATAATAAAATTCTTCTCAAAAATTCAATTATTTTTGAAAATTTTGATAAAATTTTTCTCAAAAATTTAATTATTTTTAAAAACTTTAATACAATTTATCGCAAGAATTCAATTATTTTCGTAAATAATAAAATTCTTCTCAAGGATTTCAATTTTTTTTTTAAATTTTAATAAAATCCTTCACAAGAATTCAATTATTTTCATAAATAATATAAAACTGATAGCAGAATTTCAATTATTTTTAACACAATTTTAAGTGAATTTATCAAAAATTGCAATTTTTTTCAAACATTATATTAAAATTGAATAAAAATTCTTAAACACTATTCACAAAATTTTAATAAAATTTTTTAAAACGACTGAATTATTTTCAACAATTTTTCGAAATTCAATAGAATTTCCCAAAAGAATTCAATTATTTAAAAAAATTTTTGATAAAATTCTTCGCAAACATTCAATTATTTTCTCAAATAATAAAATTGTTCTAACGAATTCAATTTTTTTTTGAAAATTTTAATAAAATTCTACTCAAGAATTCATAAATAATAAAATTCTTCTCAGAAATTCAATTATTTTCATAAATAAAATAATTCTTCTAAGGAATTTCAATAATTTTTGAAAATTTTCAAAGAATTCTTCACAATAATTTCATTATTTTCACAAATAATAAATTTTTTCTTTGAAATTCAACTGTTTTCACAAATTTAAAAATTCTTCTCAGAAATTCAATTATTTTTAAAAACTTTAATAAAGTTTTTCACCAGAATTGAAGTATTTTCATGAATAATAAAATTCTTCTCAGAAATTCAATTATTTTTAAAAAATTTAATAAAATTCTTCGCTAGAATTCAATTATTTTTATAAATATAGAAAATGTTCCCCCAGGATTCAATTATTTTCATAAATAATATAAAATTCATCGCATAAAAAAATCATTCTGAGAAGTTTTATTAAAATTTTCAGAAACAATTCAAACAATTTTAATAATTTCTTTGATAAGATTCAATTTTTTTTTTTATTTTTATTTCGATTATTCGAAATTTAATTTTTTTTTAATATCTACCATTTTAATAAAAATTTCCCAAAAGAATCCAATTATACTTAAAAATATTTTTGATAAAATTTTTCGCAAACATAAAATTATTGTTAGAAATAATAGAATTCCTTTTTAAAATTCAATTATATCTGAAATTCAATAAATTTTTGATGAAATTCTGCACAAGGATTAAATTATTTTCACAAATAGTAAAATTCTTCTCAGGATTTTAATTATTATTTTCAAAAATTTTTGTAAAATTCTTCATATGTATTAAATTTTAAGAAGTAGTCAATTATTATCAATTATTTATTTTTTTTATTTAAATAATTGAATTCTCGTAGAAGTTTCTAATAAGAATTATTTATTTATTTAACAAAAATTATTCAAGTCTTGAATGTAATTTGATTTAGAAATTATGAAAAAAATTAGTCTTGAAAAATTGTAATTAAAATTATTTGAAATTATTAGTTAATTCCTCATAAATAATTTAAAAAGATTAAATTAAATTTCCAATTACTTGAATATTTTGTCAAATTTACATAATTAAAAAAAATTTGGTATTTTAAAGAAATATTTTGAAATATAAAATGTATTTTTTACGAATTTGAAATTAAAATTTACAACCTAATTGAATTTTGCAAAAATTTAGAATTGAAGTTATTATCAGGATAAGAAAAAAAGTAAAAATGTTTCATGAAAATTAGGAAAAAGTCAGCGAAATAAAATACAGCTACTTTTTTGTAATTTTAATTCTCATTCAACTGTGAATTTAAATATTTTGAAAATTTTAAATTTCTTTTTTCAAATTCTCCATTTAAATGAGAATGTATGAAAAGAATGATGTGAAAGAGAGAGAGAGAGACAGAAAAGAAATTCAAATTCCTCCTAATTTTATGGGATGAGAAATGTGTTTGAAAATAAATTTGCTTTTATTGAGCGGTAAAAATACCTTCTATCAAACGTTTAACTATTCGTACAGCAAAGCTAGTCTAAAATACTTGAAGCCTATATACTTATTCTCAAGTTTATGTCTATCATTTCAACAACGAAAGCTTTGCAACAAAACAAGAGTATATATAGTATGCGGTGATTCGAAGGAAATAGCTAACATGATTCTTTGTCTTGAGCATTTCCTGCATTCGGCTTTTGCACATATTGTATTCGCGTTAATAATAAAATCAGAAAATTCCCGAGAATTTGAAAATAGCCTCTTTCGTAAATTGCTTTCACAAATATTTAACATTTTTCAATTAAATATTGAAAATGTTTACGAGCAGCGGAAATTCTTTATGAAAATTAATTTAAAATTGAAATTTTCCATTTTGTTGGATTTTTTCTCGTTTCTTTTTCGTTTAGAGTTGGTATTATTTTTTTTTAATTAGAATTTATTGGGTAATAATGGTGAAAAAATGTTACATAATTTATTGTTTTTCTTTTCTAGGTCTTCAGGTCGTTTTGAATTCTATTCTGAGGGCCATGGTACCACTGTTGCACATTGCCCTTTTGGTTCTTTTCGTCATTATTATTTACGCAATTATTGGATTGGAACTTTTCTCAGGAGAAATGCACAAGACTTGTAGAATAAATGGAACTGGTAATTATGAATAATTTCATAAATCAAAATCCTGGTAAAGACACTCGAACTATTTCAATAATTTCATCAAATTTATTTCGTTTATTTTTCAATTTTTCTTTATTTATCTATTTTATTTTATCATTTTTATCTTTTCAATTTCTTTACTTTCTTTTTAACTTTTACCTGTTTTCAAATTTATTTATTTTATTTATTGAATTTAAACAGTTTTTTAATTAAATGAAAGATTTAATTCATAATATTCAATCAATTTTTAACGTCTGAATTAATTAAATACAAATTAAAGGAAAATAATAATACTAATATATTTCTCCAATATTTGGATATTAGATTCTGATTATTTGTAATTTGAAACGTTTTTATTTTTATTTTTTTGCTAAAATATTTACTTCTTTATTTCTGTATCGAGTCAATTGTATATTTTTATATTTTTGAATTCTTAATTCACGTGGGTGAAGTTCACAACGTTGACAATCAAGGATGGAGAGAAAAAATATTCTTAACACAGAGAACAATAATATTTTTTTTTAAATTTAATAAAAATTTAATATTAAAGAAAAATAATTTCTGGAAATATAATTCTTCAAAATCATGAATATTTATTTCAAATCAGTTTTCAAAAGTAATAAAATTAAATTCTTTTAAATATAAAATTTATTTTATTGAAATTTTACAAAACTTTTAAATGTTTCAAGTTTTTAAATTATTTTCGAGATTTCAATTATTTTCAACAAAATTTTAATTACAATTTTTCAAAAAACTAATTTTTTTTAGAATTTCTACATTTAATTATTCAAAAATTCAATAATTTTTGATAAACAAATATTTAAAAACTTATTGTTATTTATTTTAATTGAAATTTTTTCAATATAAAACCTTTTGAGATTTAATTATTCAAAAAATTACAACTGCAATTTTTCTAAAAATCAATTATTCTTCAGAACTTTTGAATAAAATTATTCACAAGTTTAATACTTTTAAAAAAATATAATATATTAATATTTTTTTTATTAATAACCATTTTGTAAAATTAAATTATTTTCCAAATCTTTAGTTGGAATTTTTCAAAAAATCTAATAATAGTTAAAAATAATTTTTTAAAGTGAGAAAATAAAATTCAATGAAATATAATATTTAATTTAATGAAATTTGAGAAAATTTACTATTTTTTTCAATTTTTTAAAATTATTTTCCAGAAATCAACTACTTTTAAAAAGTTTTAATTACGATTTTTTAAAAGCCTCATTTTTTCAGAATTTCTAAATAAAATTTGTTAAATTTAATTAATTTTTGTTTAATAAATATTTGAATACATATTATTATGATTTATTTGTCCACCAGGAATAAATTATGCAAATAATTGAAATCTTGTTACGAATTAAAGTAATATTTTCTAAAATAATTGAATTTTTTCGAGTAATTTAATTAAAATTGTATTGAAATTATTTCAATTCTCATAAAGAATTTAAATAAAATTTTTCATAATAATTGAATTTTTGCAAAAAATGTTATCAAATTTTTAAAAATAATTCAATTCTTTTAAGAGATATTGAAATTTCAAATGATTCCAATGTAAAACATTTTGAAATTTAATTATTTCTAAAACTCACAACTGCAATTCTTCTAATTTTTGAAATATTCTTTAAAATTTCAACTGAAATTCTTTTTCAAATCAATTCTTGTCAAAAACTTCTTCGAGAATTCAATTATTTAAATGCAAAAATAAGTGATAAATAATTGAGTATTTCTAAAAATTGAAACTCTATTAAAAACTCATTTTTATTTATTTTAATTGAAATTTAAAATATTTTTAATATAAAACCTTTTGAAATTTAATTATTTCTAAAAATTACAACTACAATTTTTCCAAAAGTCAATTATTTTTTTAGAATTTTTGAATAAAAACTCAGGGATTCTAATTTGTAATGTGAAATGTTTTTATTTTTATTTGTAAAATATTTATTTTTTTATTTTTATATAAATTCATTTGTATATTTTTCTATTTTTTAATTTTTTATTGACGTTGATGAAGTTAACAACGTTAACAATCAAGAATGGAGAGAAAAAAATATTCCTAACATAGAAAACAATAATATTTTTTGTATACAAATATTTTTTAAATTTCCGATAAAGTAATATTCCAAAACTTGTTATAGATAAAAGTTTGTTTTCCTATTTATAATTTAAATTTTTATTTATTCTTAATTATTATAACTTATTTTGATATTTTTATTCTAAACTTATTTTCCTAAATTTATTCTTTTATATTTTTTCGTTTTATTTCTCTGCAATTTTTTTTTAAATTCTTTTATAGTATTAATATAAATTTATAGTATTAATTTAGAAAAACTCGATGATAATATCATTTAGATTTCGAAACGTTGGAGCAAATTTTTATTTTAGAAACCACTTGTCAGAATTTATTCGTTTTATTATTTTCATACAATTTTATTTTTCAAACAAAACAAAAACGAAAATATAAAAATGGTTATTAATATTATTTTTTTTCTTTAATTTGTAAAAAAATAGCGCAGACATTTTTATAGAGTGTGAAGAATGAAAGGCAAAAAATTTGTATTTAACATTATAGAAAGCGATTTCGCATGTAGAATGTGATAACTACAGCATGTTGTGAATTTTATGTAAAGCAATAAGGATCGTAAAATTGTATTGAGGTAATATTGACAATAGACGATATAAAGTATGAGAAACAGTTAAATGTATCGTGCAAGTGTTGAGAATTTTTCTGTCCTACATTTTCCATGCAATTCATGCAAATCAAATCCAAGATTATTCAATGGAGAAAATTAGATTCAAAACATTTAACAATACAAATAATATATAATTGTCTTTTGTTTTAAAATGTTGTTTATTTAATCGAAAATTTATAAAATATATTCTCAGTAGTAGTTTTTGAATTTTTATAAATTTTATAAAAGGTTTTACTTGGAATATATGAAATGATTTATTTATCTTTTAGTGGAAGAACCTTTTATCCTTCAAAAGCTTTTGTTTAAAAACTTCCACTTTATGCCAACTGAGAACTCAAAGTTCAACTGTTATGCTCTTTTTATCTTTTGCTACTACATTTTACAGCCATTATGCTTTGTGATGAATTTTTAATCGTAAGCTTGTATATTTTGTTTATGGAAATTTTTTTATTTTATATGAAGTTAATTGAAATTTTTTCTCGAGTTAATATAGGAATGATAATTATTCATTTAATTTATTGTTGTAAAATTTTTGCTTTCAGATGAAGAAATGGATGAGCCGCATCCATGTGGAAAAGGAGGTTTTCAATGTGAAAATATTGGTGATAATTATTATTGCAGCGATAAATTTTGGGAAGGTCCAAATCATGGAATCACCAACTTTGATAATTTCGGTTTGGCCATGTTGACGGTTTTTCAGTGTATCACCCTCGAGGGATGGACCGATGTGCTTTACGCAGTAAGATTTATATTTAATTATTTTCCGATAATTTTACCAAAATAGAAATTGGAAACAATTATCAAATTTCAATTTGTATGAGTCAAATTTTCAATATTTCGAAATTTGAAGGCTTTCTAATTATTAATTTTTTTATTTTTAATTTCTTCCATTTGAAGTTTTTAAATTTTTCTTTTTTGTATTTTTAAATTTATTTATTTATTATTTTATAAAAATAATTTAATTGTTGCGAAGAATTTTACTATTTATAAAAATAATTGAATTGTTCTGAAGAATTTATTAAAATTTTAGGAAATAAATGAATTTTATGTAAATATTTGAAAATAATTAAATTCTTTTGAGGAATTCTATTAAAATTGTTTTGAAAAGAATTTCATTCTAGCGAAGAATTTTATTATTTATAAAAATAATTGAATTGTTCCGAAGAGTTTATTAAAATTTTAGGAAATAAATGAATTTTATGTAAATATTTGAAAATAATTATATTCTTTTAAGAAATTCTATAAAATTGTTTCGAAAAGAATTGAATTTCTGTAAAGAATTTTACATATTTATAAAAATAATTGAAATGATCGAAGAATTTATTAAAATATTAGGAAAAATTGAATTATTTTAAAGAATTTTATAGAAATATTTGAAAATAATTAAATTATTTCGAGAAATTCAATTAAAGTTGTTTTGAAAATAATTGAATTTCTGTAAAGGATTTTATTAAAATCAAGCATATTCAAAGTAATTGTATTCATCAGAAGAATTTAATTATATTTTCAACATAATTGAATTCTTTCAAATTTTTTGACGAATATATTTAAAAATTGCATTGAAAGTAATTTAATTTTCATATAATTTTTTTAAAATATTTTGAGAATAATTGAATTATTTTTAGAGAATTTTAAATTCTTGTTGAAATTGAATGTTATGAAAATTTTTGAAAGTAATTAAATTCTTTCGTGTAATTTTATTGAAATTGGATTAAAAATAATTTAATTCCTGCAAAGAATTTTAGTATTTATAAAAATAGTTGAATTGTTTTGAAGAATTTATTAAAATTTTAGGAAATACTTTAATTTTATAGAAATATTTGAAAAGATTTGAATTCCGCCGAGGAATTCAATTAAAATTGTTTTGAAAGTAGTTGAACTCCTGCAAAGAGGTTTATTATTCATAAACATAATTGAATTGTTTTGAAGGATTTATTAAAATTTTAGAAAATAATTGAATTCTTTTGAAAAATTTTATAACGAAATAAGAAAAAAATTTAAATTCTTTCCTGAAATTTTATTAAAAGTAATTAAATTTTTGCAAAGATTTTACTATTTAAACAATAATTGAATTGTTTAGAAAGATTTATTACAATTTTAGAAAATAATTGAATTCTTTCGTAAAATTTTATTAAAATTTTGTTAAAAATAAAATGGATTTTTTGCAAAAAATTTTACTATTTATAAAAATAATTGAATTCTTGTAAAGAATTATATTAAAATTTTTGAAAATGTAAACAATAATAATTAATTAATTTTGATTATGAAATTATTTTAAAATTTATATTTGAAAATAAAAAATTTTGTAATTTGCATAACAATAATAAATTGAATATCACGTTCCGCGCATATCATTTGTTAGTAAATAATATAATTGACTTTTAGAAGCGTTATTGTAAAAATTTTTAGAAATAAATAAACTTTAAAAGGTTTCAAATTAAAATCTTTGAAAATTTGAATCATCAGTAAATTTAATTTAAAAATTGTAGTGAATTTATTTTTTTGAAAGAATTTTTTTTTGAAATTTTTTTGAAATTAGTTCAACTTCTGAATGTAGATATATTATTTAACTAAAAAAATCTCGAAGAAGCAAAAATTTTTTTCTAGTTAAAATAATTACATACTTTAAAATATTTTGAATAGTCCAATTTGTTTAAATTATCTGCAATTTTTTTCTTATTTCTTCTCTATTGTTTCTTATTTCGAAAAAATGAAATTATGAGTTTTTTCATTAATTTTGTTACTTTTTTCTGTTTAGATTCAAGATGCAATGGGAAGTGAATGGCAGTGGATTTATTTTATTTCGATGGTTATTCTTGGAGCATTTTTTGTCATGAATCTAATTCTCGGAGTGTTGTCTGGGTGAGTTTTACATCGACGTTTTTATAATAAATTGAAAAATTAGTTTAGAATTTTACGGATATCGCAAAGATTCTGTTAAATTTAATTTTATATAACAGAAGATTGTTATCAAGAATTTTAATAATTAATCGTTATCTATGAATTTAATAAATTATCTTTCTATCTATACTCTAAATTATTCACATTAGAGGTACTTAAGAATTGATCAAATACTGCAGATAATTTTGATAACACTTTGAAATGTGGTTTGTAAGATTGTAGTTTCCACCGAACCACAAACAAAGACTTCATTGCATACATGAAATTCTCCTTATTAGACAAGAATTTCTAATATCTGCAGTCATGTCTTTGAATATTACAATTACTAAATGGATATTATTAAATTATTCATTTGGCAGAAAATAGATGTTTGCCTAAAATATAATTATTATCACTCATTGTCAGTTATTTGGGAACTAAATGAAAAAATATTTTAATTTCGAAAATATATCAAGATTTATTTATCTACTGAAAGAAAAATAATTAATTTCTAACAATTTCTTTAATTTAATTTAATTTTTTTTTAATTTTAATAATGGATACTAAAATATTCTTACGAATTTTTTTAATAGGTAGAAAAGATTCTTTAATTTTTAATTCTAAAATAGAAAATATTGGATGTGAAGAGTAATACACAGTATTATTAATTGAAAATTTTGTTTGGATTTATGAACAGAGAATTTTCCAAGGAGAGAGAAAAGGCAAAGGCTCGGGGTGATTTTCATAAGCTAAGGGAAAAACAACAGATAGAGGACGATCTCCGGGGGTATCTGGATTGGATAACACAGGCAGAGGATATCGAACCGGAAGCCGATGAGCCACAGATGCAGGATGGAAAATGTAAGCGATGCTTTAAAACGAAACAACTCAATAAGAATGAAATTTTCTTGACACGTAAAAAATCCTAGTATCACTCCAATGCGTAAAGTGATTTTTGTACATTTCAATCATTTGTCACCATTAAGAGATCACTTTGATGCATTGACAATTTGAATTTACAAATCTTACTTCTCAATCCTAAAGAAAATAAATCCAATTTTTTACATTCTCGTAAAAAAGAAAATTTTTTTTCTTTTTTCTCAACTTAAAAATTTAAAAAATCCAAAAGTAGAATTACAGTTGCAATTTTTAAAAATAATCAATTATTTATTTCTGTATTTAAATACTTGAAATCTCGTACAACTTTTTGTTATAAGAATTGATTTGAAAAAAAATTTTAGTTAAAATTTTAGAGAATATTTCAAAAGTTAGAAGAATTACAGTTGTAATTTTTTAGAAATAATTAAATTTCAAAAGGTTTTTCGCACTGAAATCATTTGAAATTTCAATAAAATATCTCAAAAGAATTCAATTATTTTTAAAAATTTTGTTTGAATTCTTTATTAGAATTAAAATAATTTCAATACAATTTTAATTAAATTAAAAAAATAATTTATAAATAATTTAAAAAATTCAATTATTTTCGTGAATATTACTTAAATTCGTAGCAAGATTTCAATTATTTGCATAAGTTATAGATTTTTTCGCTGAAATTGAATTATTTTAAAGAATTTAAGAGTATTTGAAGCATTATGACGTCACAGTTTTAGAACACGTGCTTTGCACAAATTGTGACGTCATAATGGTTCAAATGCCCTTAAATAAAATTCTTTTGCCAAATTTTATAATTTTGAAAAATTTCAATAAATTTCTTTATAAAAAAAAATGTAATTAAATACTTCGAAAAAATTAGATTCTTTTCCTAAATAATGAAATTCGTTTATTTTATTTTAATACAATTTTAGTATAAAATTCATACAACGATTTCAATTATTTGCATAATTAATAACATCTCTCGACAGATTCAATTATTTAAAAAAACTGTACTAAAATTCTTTGAGTGAATTCAATTATTTTTAATACAATTTCAATTAGGTACATTATTCGAAATAATTGAATTATTCATTTAAGTTTTAATAAAGTGATTCAAAAAATTTAATTATTTCCAAAAATTTGAATAAAATTTTTCGCAAGAATTCAATTATTTTAATAATAAAATTTTCCACAAGAATTCAATTATTTAAATAAAATTTAATAAATTTTGTGACAAGAATTCAATTATTTTTATAAATAATAACATTTTTCGCAGGAATTAATTATTTCTAATGAAATTTGAATAATATTTTTCATAAGAATTTAATTATTGTAAAAGATTTTAGTGAAATTCTTCGAATTAATTCAATTATTTACGTAAATAATATAATTTTACGCAGGAATTTAATTACTTTTTGTACAATTTTACAAATTTATTTTTATATTTATTTAAAAAAAAAAATTTTTTTTCAAATTTCATAATCTTATTTTTAATGAATTATATTTTAAAAAATTATTTTGTTATGAATAGCAAATTTTCATTAAATTTCAAAAAGAAAGTTTTTGTATTTTGTAACGAAAAATCGGTCAGGAAATTTCACGCGTGTAGTTTTGCTAGTAATTAACAGTAATAAATAATTAATCAATATTAATAATGAATTAATTTAATGTTAATAATATTTATACAAAATTAATCGAAATGAAAAATGTTTAATTAATGTTCAGCAAAGCAACAAAACGAAATGGAGAGTACAGATCAACTCGAGGGCGATGAGGATGGAGTTCAACAGGAATCATTGTGGAAGCGAAAGAAACGAGACTTGGAAAGGTAAAGAGAAAATAATTAAGAAGGAAAATTTACCTAAGATTAGACAGCGTTTTGTCTTAATTTCCCAGAGACTTGACTTGAAAAATTTCTTTTCATTTCAAGGTGTTGTAAATTAAACTAGATTTCAATTTAAATACGTGAAATGCTCTAAGAAAATAGTGAAAGAAATTTGTAATTTTTATTTAAAAGATGAAATGTCCTTTTTAAATACATAAGTACGCTTTTATTTAATTTTAATTTCCTTTTATTTTTCATTCTTTTAAAATTTATTCACTAAAATACCTACTTTAGAAAAAAATTACTGTACTTTTAAATAATTTTTAAATGCCTTTTTTATATTATCAAGTTCGCTGACAATTTTTCAATGAGAATTCATTAAAAGTATATATATAGTATAGAGAAAAATTTAAGTGGAATATAACTTTTTAGGTCAGACAAATCTTATATCTTTTATAAAGTTTTCAGATACATTTTATAAATTGAAACAAATTTTAGTTTCAGTGTCGATTAAAAGTTTAAAATGTTACTTACTTTTGAAAGTTAAATAATTTTAAGTACTTTTTTAATATAGTTTATGGTTTATAATTATTTTCAGAGCGAACAGGCGCATGAGAAGAGCCTGCAGAAAGGCTGTGAAGTCTCAAGTTTTCTACTGGTTAATTATAATTTTAGTATTTTTAAATACCGGAGTCTTAGCGACTGAGCATTATCATCAACCAGATTGGCTAGATGAATTTCAAGGTTCGAACATGTGAAAATTATTTTTTAAATATCAAAAGTTCGACTAAAACTGTTTTTTTTTAAATGATCTAAATTAATAATATATTATAATTACCTAATAATAAATTAAATATAATATATTATAATTAATATTAAGAAGGGGATTTTTATTTCGATTAATTAATACTTTTTTGTTGTTACAGAAATTACAAACATATTCTTCATCGCCCTTTTTTCTATGGAAATGATGTTAAAGATTTATAGTTTAGGCTTTCAGGTAAATAACAATTAAAAATTCAATTTTAGAATTCAAAATTTTTTTGCAATGAATTTTATCTATATTTTTTATGTTTAGGGTTATTTTGTATCATTGTTCAATCGATTCGATTGCTTTGTGGTTATCGGGTCCATTAGCGAAATGATACTGACGAGAACACATGTGATGCCACCACTTGGAGTTTCGGTACTTCGTTGTGTTCGGTTACTTAGGGTGTTCAAGGTTACAAAGTGAGTTGAATTTTCCAATAATAATTTGAAATTTTCCAAAGTTAAAATTCTATTTTCTTGAAATATTTTTAAAAAATGCGAAAAAACGAAAAACAAAAATTAAAAAATGAGACAAAATATTTTAAGAATATTTTTTACAATATAATTAATAAAATGTTTCTCGCGATAGTAAAATAATTTAAATTTTTCAATGTTTCATAATATTTTTTCATATTTCTAATCCGTTTCAGATATTGGAGATCTCTTTCAAATTTAGTGGCATCTTTGTTAAATTCGATACAATCGATCGCATCTCTATTGCTTCTTCTCTTCTTATTTATTGTTATTTTCGCTTTACTAGGGATGCAGGTACGTAACTGAATTTTTTTATTGAGCTACTTTTTATTTATTATAAATATTTCCAAGATCAAATTTAATAATAAAAAAAAAGAAGAAATATTTTATACTCTCGTGAAAAATAATTTTGCTCGATAGAAAAAGGATTCTTTTGTTGAAAAATATTTTAGAGAGTATAAAATACTTTATAAAATTGAATTGAAAAACTTTTAACATTATTGTCAATATTAACAAAACAAGATGTTTTAGTAAAGAAAAGTAGAACAATTTTTTTTTAGCAAAAAAGAGTCATAAAAGAAGTTTTTTTTATCAAAAACAATGTCAACAAAGGTTTTTTTTAGCAAAATTTAAAAATTTGTTAAGCAAAAACAGGGTTGCCACAGGTCAGGGAATTTTATTAAAAGTACTGGGAAAAATTAAATAATTTATATGAAAATTCTGAATTTTGGAGTCTCATAAACTATGAAATTGCCAAGAATTATAATACAAAACCTTTAATATTTTCTATTATAAGAATCCAAAAAAAAAAATTTAATTATTTTCAAAAGTGATAAACTTCTTCGCATAAATTCAATTATGTTCAAAAATTTTTCAAAATTCTCGTCAAAATTACAATTATCTTTATACATAATAAAATTCTTGGCAAAATTTCAATTATTTTCAAAAATTTTCCTCATTTCAATTATTTTTAATATCTACTATTTTAAAATAATTTTCCAATAGAATTCAATTACTTACCAATTTTTTTTTATAAATTTCTTCAAACCAAATCAATTATTTTTAATTTTCTAATGAAGTTTCTCGAAAGAATTGAAATATATTCAGATAATTGAAAAAAATAGTTCTGAGAAATTCAATTATTTCGAAAAATTTAAATATAATTCTTTTAAAAATTGTATTATTTAAAAAAATGTTAACAAAATTTTTTACAAGATTTAGTTAATAAAATTGGAATTTTAATAAAATATGTTTTGAAAAATCTTCGAATCAATTCAATTATTTTCGTAAAAATTAAAATTCTTCAAAGAGAATTCAAATTAATTAAATCTTCAAATTAATTATTTAAGAAATTTTAATAAATTTCTTTTCAAAAATAAACATTTTCAAAGGAATTAAATTATTTTAAAAAAAAATTTTTTTTTATTCCTTGTCAGATTTGAATTATTTTCAATTTTTTAATGAAATTTCTCGATAAAATTTAATTATTTTCAAAAAGTTTTAAAAAATTCTGAGAAATTCAATAATTTATAAAAATTGGAATAAAATTCTTCACAAGAAATTAATTATTTTAATAAATAATAATATTTTTCTCCAGAATTCAATTATTTTCACAGATAAATTTTTTCATAAGAATTTTTTTTTAAATTTTTCATATAAATTTTAATAAAATTTGTTGCAAGAATTCAATTACTTTCTCATCTTAAATTTATTATATAAAACATGAAGGTTAAAATCGGATTTCTTCATGTTTTTTATAATAATATTCTCATAAATTATTAAATTTTAAAAGGTTTGAATTTGAAAATCTTAATTCCTATAGAAAAATAATAATGATTAAATATTTATTTAAAAAAGAAGTTATTAACGTTTTCGAATAATTTTACAATTAAAGAAATTCGTAAATAAATAAAATAGAACATTTTTTTGAGTATTTAATAATTTTTGGAGTGAATCAGAATATTCTTCATAGTCAGGGGAAAAGTTAAAATTTTGTCTGGAAATCAGGGAAAAGTCAAGAAAAAACAAAATTAAATTTTTGTGGCAACCCTGAAAAAACAGTCAAAAAATAATTTTTTTTAGACAAAACGGAAGATTTTTTTAGTAAAATTTAGAAATTTTCCAAAAAAAAACGTCAAACAAGGTATTTTATCAAAAAAAATAATAAATAAAATATAGACAAAAAATAAATAAAAATAATAAAATAAAAAAATGAATAATGAATGAAAACATCGTTTATTAATGAAAATTGTATAAGCTCGATTTTTTATGAACTAAAATGTGTAAATTAAAAACAGAGTGTTTGAAAAATGATCTTAATTTAATATAATTTTGACAGGTATTCGGAGGAAAATTTAATTTTAATGATATGGATGACAAACCTCGTCAAAATTTTGATTGCTTCTGGCAAAGTCTTCTAACAGTATTTCAGGTATTTATCAGCTCTATTAACATTTAAAAATTATATTTCAAAACAAATAGTTTTTTTTACTTTCATTTTTTCGGCGAGAAAAAAATTTGCATTTTAATATAATAATTAAAAAAAATGTAAATAATTTGTTTCAGATTTTAACCGGCGAAGACTGGAATACTGTTATGTATACAGGAATTTTAGCTTATGGTGGAGTTGCCAGTACAGGTGTAATTGCATGCGCGTACTTCATTATTCTCTTCATCTGCGGTAATTGTATCCTTTTTTAGAACCGAAAAAAGCACAATTTTCACCATTTTTATGGGAAATAATTTAATTTTTTAATTTTAATATAACTTTTTTTATTAATTTCAATAACTATTCTTATTATGTATAATTTTAATAACTACTGTTATTAACTCTAATAACTTTTATTATTAACTCTAATAACTTTTGTTTTAAATGAAAATTTTTTAATTAAACTAAAAATTTTCTCTCTATTAATAAGTTGGCTTCGAAATAAAAATATTTGAATAGTAATAATTATACATTACTTTAATGAACAATTGAAATTTTTTTTTTGAATAAAGAGTAATATCTATAAAAAGTTTAAATTCTAGACGAAACTCGGAGCAAAAAGGAGGAAAAAAAGTACATTGTTAATGTTTTATTTTGCATTTAATTGCTAGTATTTTTTCATCACTGATTATAATTCTAATGAGTGTTCTAGTTTTGCATTTTTCATAAAAAAAGAGGGAAAAAAATGTTTTTTTTTACCCTGTTTCCTTGTATTCAAATGACGACTATCGTATTCACAAGAGAGAAAGAGAAATAGAGAGATAAGTAACTCAAACTGAATAGCATTGTACTTTTATTGATATATACATACAACTAGTAGGTAGGTCACACGTGTATAGGATTCGTGTGAATTTAATGTGTTTTGTTGGATGCGACGCTATATAATGACATTTGAAGCTCTTATGAATTAATTAGAAATTCCTCATCATTCAATTTTCAGGAGTCTTCCTTTTTCTTCATCTTCCTCTCGCGCTTTGTTCGATTCTCAACTTTTTTTTTATTTCTTATTTCCGTATTTATTAAATTATTAATTTTTTTTAATAATTCTATTATTAATTGATTTTTGATAATTAAATTACTAATTTAATTTTAGTAATTAAGGTACTAATTTATTATCGATAATTAAATGAATAATTAAATTTTTTAAATTAATTTGTATCGGTTTGTTTAAAATTTGTTAAAATTATTTACTACTAGCAAATAATAATAATATTAATAATATTATTATGCAAATTCCAAAATTTTTTATTTTCAAATTTAATTTTTTGAATAATTTCATAATAACATTTTTTTAAAATCACTTATTAATTACATAATTAATTATTATTGTGTATATTTTCAAAAATTTTAATGTAATTCTTTGCAACAATTCAATTATTTTTAAAAATAAAAAATAATAAAAATTTAAATTTAATACTAATTTATTTTTAATAATTAAATTTGTCAAATTAATTTGTGTCGATTTGTTTTAAATTGTTATTTATTTATTTTAGATTCATTGGTTAATTTTGCAGCCTTGTTGCAGTGACATTTCTCGCAGTGTTATTTTTAGTTTTCCTTAATTCCGCAAAAAAAAAAAAAAAATCAGATATACTTCTCAATGTTTTCTTGGCCATTGCGGTGGACAATCTTGCGGATGCTGAATCCTTAACAGCAATCGAGAAAGAGGCCGAGGAGGAGGTGAGTTTCTCTTGAATTTTTTAATACAAGGAGATCAATCAATTATCTATAATATATCAGCCAGAAATTCGTCCCGAGTGGTCAATAAATATTTTTTCATCTTCACTTTTTTCGTTTGTTTGTTTGCTTTATACAATATGAACAGAAAAATTTATTAGACTTTTGTTCATTTTGCACTTCGTTCTTTATTATCGTTTCTGAAAAACATTTTTTTTTTCTTTTTTGACATTCGTTCCTAATTGAATTACATTTCATGGAAATAGAACGTTTTTGACATATTTTTAAAATAAAAATCATCCAATTTCGTTGAATAGTAAAATAGGGGAAATCGTTTGAGAAAAAAAATATTGCTTTTAAATGTTGAGAAAAAATTTTTTTTTCTGGAAAAATAAAAAGATTAGAAAAAAATAAAAGATTAAAAGAAATTTAGTGAAATAGAAGATTATGTATGAAAATTCGTTTCAATTTCTTTTTTTTTTGTATGGGAGCTTTGATTAGAAAATATATTTTTACTGTATTCATTAGATAATCAAGTGAAAAAGAAACACATTTTTATACAATAAAAGTGGTCAGAAAATAGGTAATTCCCTTTAGTGTTTACTGTGACCGAGTTCGATAATAGGGTCATGCTTGATACATTGCATTCCAAGAGGAATTTTAAGTTGTGTAGTATGATAAATAGTTATAAATATTAATGAATGTATAAATATATTTCAATTATGAATTCAAAATTAAATTAAATTGTTATAAATTTATTAATTAAATTGAAAATCTTTTGTTTGTTTGTCAAAAGGCGGAGAAACATAAATCTCGTAGTCCATCACCAGAGCACGATGAAATTAGTGGCGATCCTGGTGATGATGGAGGTGATATTACCGAAGGTGAAGATGATGGTGGTGAAACGAGTCTTGAGCAGGATCCTAATGAAACCATGGACGATTACGAGGCGGCTCTAGACACTGAAAAGTAAATACGAATTTTAACATTTACAATAAAATTAGAAAATATATATATATATTTTGATGAGTAAATTAATAAGTTAGTTTGTCTTTACGAGAGAAAAAGTTTATTTAAACCAAATATAATTTACTGGAGTTAAATAAAAGTATATTTGTCTCTGAGTCTAATAAATTATTTATCTGTTTCAAATAAATTTCTTTGGGCGAAAATAAAGTCTTATTTGAACCAAATAAAATGTAGTTGAAACAAATAAAATTTTATTTCTTTGTATTATTTATTTGATTTAAAGAAATTTTATTTGGCGCAAATAAATTTTTTTGGTCGAAGATAAAATTTTATCTGAACCAAATCTTGTTTTGAAGCAAATAAAATTTATTTGTACCAAATAAAAAGTTTAGTTGGCTCTGAGGGAAAGAAATCTTTTTCCTGACTGCACTACTTAGATAAAATTGAAATATAATGAATAACATAATCATAAATTAACAAAATAAATTTTAAATCTGCTAAGATGAATATAATGAATATTAAAAAAATTTTAATTTCTTTTAATTTAAAGAATTAATTTAGCACGAAGCTGCAAAAAAATGAGTGGTTAAAAATAATATTATTTCTAGTTCCGAGAAAGGTGATGACATGAACAGCAGAGGCAAAGTTCGTTTAAACATTGACTCTGACGAGGAAGATCTTGATGCTGAAGATGAGGAAGACGATCAAACTGAAATGCATGGTGAGAGATTCTAAATATTTAATTAAAATATTTTTACTTTATAAACTAGTAAATGTTACACTCGAAACGCGATATTCAATTTATTATTATTATTATTGTGAGAATTACAAAATTTATTTTCAATTATCAATTTTAATTTTTAAATTATTTTAGATTTCAAACATTAAAAGAGTTCATTTATTAACTAATTAAATATTAATATCTATTATTTTCAAAACTTTTGATAAAATTCTTCTCAAGAGTTCAATTATTTTTATAAATAAAAATATTTAATTATTTTTAAAAATAATAATATTCTTCCAAAGAAATTTAATTATTTTCAAAAATTTTAATAAAATTTTTCACATAAATTCAATTATTTTCCTAAATAATAAAATTCTTCGCTGAAATTCAATTATTTATAACAATAGGTACAATTTTACAATAAAATTTCTTTCAAGAATTTAATTATTTTTAAAAATTTTAATAAAATTATTTCTAAAAATTTAATTACTTTGAAAAATTTTGATAAAATTCTTTCTAAAAATTCAATTATTTTCCGTAAATAATAAAATTCTTCGAAAGAATTCAATTATAATTAAAAGTTTTGATAAAATCCTATCCAGTAATTCAATTATTTTCAAAAATTTTAATAAAATTTTTCACAAGAATTCAATTATTTTCCTAAATAATAAAATTCTTCGCTGAAATTCAATTATTTATAATAATAGGTACAATTTTACAATAAAATTTCTTTCATAAATTTAAATAAAATCCTTCGTAGAAATTAACCACTTTGAAAAATTTTGATAAAATTCTTTCTAAAAATTCAATTATTTTCTGAAAATAATAAAATTCTTCGAAAGAATTCAATTATAATTAAGTTTTGATAAAATCCTATCCAATAATTCAATTATTTTCCATAAATAATAAAATTCTTAGTAGAAATTCAATTATTTTCAAAAATTTTAATAAAATTTTTTTCACAAGAATTCAATTTTTTTCCTAAATAATAAATTTCTTCGATGGAATTCAATTATATTTAATAATAAAATTTCTTTCAAGAATTCAATTATTTTCAAAAATTTAAAAAAAATTCTTCGCAGAAATTTAACCACTTTGAAAAATTTTGATAAAATTCTTTCTAAAAATTCAATTATTTTCCGAAAATAATAAAATTTTTCGAAAGAATTCAATTATAATTAAAAGTTTTGATAAAATCCTATCCAGTAATTCAATTATTTTCCATAAATTATATAATTCTTAGTAGAAATTCAATTATTTTCAAAAATTTTAATAAAGTTCTTGGAAAGAATTTCAATTTTTTTCAAAAATTTTAATAAAATTCTTTTTCAAGAATTGAATTATTTTAGATTATTATGGAAAATAAAGTAATTTCTAAATTTTTAAATTTCTTAACTTTTGATCAATAAAATTCAAATTTTAAAATAAATGAAATTCTACTTTAATGTTTTAAAGATTTTAATAATAACAAAAATTGCTTAAACAAAATTGTTTCTAATTAAATAAGAAAATAATTATTTTTTCATTTATATAATTGAATTTTTTATTTTAATAAATAGAAGAATTTAAAATAAAAATCTGTTTTAAAAAAAGGGTAATTAACAAAAAAGTTTTAGGTAACAAAAAGGTAAATATTTAATAAAGACTTTTTTATTTTTTAAATATTTAATTTTGACAGAAAAGTGGAAACATTTAATCGATTATTGTGTCTTAAGTGAGTTCTTATTTATTAATAACAAGATCAATTGAGAATATTTCTGATACTATTAATTTCATTAGAAAATGTTATAGCTGTCTGTTATTGAAGTCTGTAAATACTGAAAAAAAATTCTATATAATATTCATTAATAGATTTATTCATTTATCGACGGATCTAATTAATTAATTATTAATAAACTATTGTCTGAATTATTTCAACTTCCGTTGATACATACATATATCGCAATTTATGAATTTTTTATTCTTTCATTCGGTCGATGTCGTGTAATTAACTTTATAATTATAGAAAATCAGGGTTTAAGTGAAAATTTCTTTCTCTTTCTTGAGAGTCTTGACTGTAATATTCTATATTATTAAAAAATTAACATTTTTGTGAAAAATCAGTATTTAAAAAAATAAAATTAGTTAACAAATTAAATTATAAAAAAAAATGCGAGAAAAATTATAGTTAGTATTTCAATTGTTCTCGTTCTAATTATAATAATTATTTTTATTCTTTTCATTCAACTGTGTTTTAGTCGACAATTTAATTCATTTCGAATGATTGATCTCAGATTTTGCTAATGATGAAGCGATTATTTTATTGAGGAAGAGTATAAAAATATTAAAAGATTTAAGAGAGTGATAAAAACGAGTGTTAAAATTTAAATATTAATTTTTACTATTATTCCGTATTTAAATTTTTTCTTTCTTTTGAAAATAATATATGCGGGAAGCTGAATTTCTTGGTGGATGTGCACACACAAAATGTACCTCACACTCTGCAGAGGTTAAATCGATCTCGACGTTAATTAAGAATCGCAACCGAAGCGTGAGTAGGTGACCGCACCCTGGACGGTCCCGTAATGTTAATTAAGAATCATACTCGAAAAAAAATACAAACAACAAGTATTAATCAAATATTCTCATTTGTATTTATGTACATACTGTGTGTTTATACAATTATCGAGAAAACTTTTTATGGAAATTGTTTATAAATTCTTTTAAAACTCAGGAAATTCATTTAGCTTCCGGAAACACAGAGCAGTACTTGAGGATATTAATCTACGAGCAGTGATATTTACTGAGAGATCAACGCAAACCTTTAATAAAGTTTCGCTTGAAATCGCATTTGACCAAGAGAAAATAAAATTCTACTTTTTCTAGATGGAATCGATGGAGAAGTGTCTGCGAGGCCAAGACGAATGTCTGAATTTAACATGGCAACTAAGACTCAACCAATTCCTCCCGGCAGTGCTTTCTTCATTTTTTCACAAAAGAGCAGGTAAATTTTTTAATTTATTTCTTTGGAAATATTTATTTTTGAAACTTTCGAATTTATTTCTGAAATGTTTGAAATATTTAAAATAGATTTTATTAATAATTTTTTTTTCTATTTGTAAATTCCAAATTGAAAATTTTCCATTTTGGAAGAAAATGAAGAAATAGAAAATCGAATTTTAATGAAAGAAAATTAATTATTGGTTGAAAATTAAAATGAGTGTTAAAAATTCATTTCAGGTTTCGTATCTTCTGTCATTGGGTTTGCAATCACAGTTATTTTGGTAATATAATTCTCGTCTGCATTATGATTTCGTCGGCGATGCTGGCTGCCGAGGATCCTTTGAAATCAACGTCACCAAGAAATTTGGTCCTCAATTATTTTGATTACTTCTTCACCAGTGTGTTCACAATTGAAATTTGCTTGAAAATGATTTCCTATGGAGCTTTCATACACGACGGCGCTTTCTGCAGATCGGCCTTCAATCTTCTCGATCTTCTCGTCGTCTGTGTTTCTCTCATTTCTATAGTTTACAGGTATTTTTCAATTAATAATAGCTTATATTTGAAAATTAGTATTTTTAGTTTTTTTAATTAGTATTTCAAAATTTAACTTCAATTAATTTAATTTCACACAAAAAAATTTACGATAATTTGATAATATAAAATTTATAAAATTTAAGTAATTAGTAATTTAGTAACTTATAAAACTATTTAACGCGCAAAATATTGTATTTCATTTTATTATTATTAATATTATGCAAATTAAAAAAATTTGATATTTTCAAATATTAATTTCAATTTTTGAATAATTACAGATTTAAAATTAAAAAAATACAATTATTACTATTTTACTAATTAATTATTATTATTTATTGCTTTCAAAAACTGTAAAATATAATTCTTCGCAGGAATTCAATTATTTTCAATAGAATTTCAATAAAATTGCTCAAAAGAATTCAATTATTTTTTTAAATTTGATAAAATTCTTCGCAAAAATTCAATTATTTAAAAAAATTTTGATTCAATTCTTTATGAGAATTAAAATATTTTCAATACAAATTTTAATTGAATTACTCGAAAAAATTCAATTATTTTCGAAAATATTACTTAAATTCTTAGCAAGATTTCAATTATTTTCATAATTTATAAAATTTTTTGAAAATAAATATTTATTTATTTTAAAGAATTTGAATAAAATTCTTCGCAAGAATTTAATTATTTTCAAAAACTGTGATTCAATTCTTTATGAGAATTGAAATATTTTCAATACAATTTTAATTGAATTACTCGAAAAAATCCAATTATTGTCGAAAATATTAATTAAATTCTTAGCAAGGTTTCAATTATTTTAATAACATATAAAATGTTTCGCAGTAATTTAATTATTTTAAAGAATTTTAATAAAATTCTTCGCAGAAATTTAATTATTCAATAAAATTTTGACAACATTATTTATGAGAATTGATTTATTTTCATAATTAATAAAATTCGTCGCGGGAATTTAATTATTTTAATGAATTTAAATGAAATTCTTTCAAAAAATTTTATTATTTTGAAAAATTTCCTAAATAATAAAATTCGCTTATGTTTAATAAAATTTTAGTAAAATCATACAAAGATTTCAATTATTTGCATAATTAATAATATTTCTCGAAAGATTCAATTATTAAAAAAAAATTGTAATAAAATTCTTTAAATGAATTCAATTATTTTCCTAAATGATAAAAATCTTTGCAAGAATTGAGATATTTTTCTAAACAATAAAATTATTCTCAGAAATTACATTATTTTTAACCTACAATTTTAATAAATTTCTTCCCAAGAATTCATTTATTTTTATAAATAAAAACATTCTTCTCAGGAATTCAATTATTTTTAAAAATAAAAAAATTCTTCGTAGAAATTGAATTATTTTCATCATTAATAAATTATCTAAACAAATTCAATTATTTTCAAAAATTTTTCACAAGAATTCAATTATTTTCCTAAATAATAAATATCTTCGCAAGAATTGAGATATTTTTCTAAATAATAAAATTATTCGCAGGAATAATTCAATTATTTTTAATACAATTTTAGTAAAATTTCTCGAAAGAACTCAATTATAATTAAAGATTTTGATAAAATTCTTTCTATTTCTTTTATAATACAATTATTTCAGATTCAAAATTATAAAAGAAATAAATAAGAAATATTATAAAAGAAATATTTTAAATTGAAAACAATATTTGGTTTAATTGATTTTTGGTATTTTTTAATCTTCAAAGAATTAATTTAGAATTTAATTAATTAAAAAAATTTTAAACATCAAATGGAAAAATTATCAAAAAAATTAGGAAGCAAACAAAAATAACAAAGTTCAAACTACATACTAACAAATAACAGGATCACAACGATTATTATTAATATAAATTTAGTACATTTTTATTATTTTTTCATTTTAATTTATTAATTATTTTTCCCCAGTTCCGGTGCGATATCATTTGTGAAAATCCTGAGGGTACTACGAGTTTTGAGGCCATTGCGAGCAATAAATCGCGCCAAAGGCTTGAAGGTATTTATCTTTTCTTTTACTTCTTCTTTTTCTAAATCTTCAACTTTATACAAACTTGACAAAATTCAAACTTCTAGAAGAGCAAAAAGAAAAAAAAAAACTCCAAAACGAATTTAGGTCATGACATCAATTTCTTTTCACATTACTTTCCACTTTTGATATTAGAATATTAATTTGCAAAAAGAAAAAAGTTTTTCATTTAGAATGCAAATTGCAAAAAAAAATTTTGATAATCTTCTATTTTCATTAACTGACGATCAATTTTTATATCCCCAAGTTCTTCATGAAAAAAAATGAAGTTCTAAATAAAAATTGAGGAAATTAGATGAACGAATCGTGATAATTAGGATAAAATTATTAAATAGAACAAATTTTCTAATTTAATAAAAATTAAAACTTTTTTTTTTAAATTGTGTAATAAATTTTTTTTAAATATTTTTTTAATAATTTTTTTAACTAATTATGTACCTATGTTACTATGTATATTAATAATTGATGAGGAATTTAATAAAAAGTTGAACAAATAATTAAGAAATGATGAACTAAAAAAATAAGAGAGAGAAAGAGAATATAAGCAGAACTGGTCTTTTTGGAAAAAAAAATGACAAATTGGAAAATATGAAATTTAAAAATAATTAATGTTGAAACCTAGCACGTAGTTCAGTGCGTCATCGTAGCGGTAAAGACTATCGGAAATATAGTCCTCGTCACCAGCCTCCTGCAGTTCGTGTTCGCCGTCATTGGCGTTCAGCTCTTTAAGGTAGGATTCCAGGTCCTTGAACGGTCCTGACTTCCTTGGACTTTTAATAGTTCATTATATAGAGTGTCGTATTTTACCCATTCCAACCAAATACTTATATATTATACAAAAAAAAACCAAAAAGTTTTTCTCTTTTATTTTTCATTTTTTAAACGTTGCCGACAATAAACGACCGTCATATTTTCATAATGCAATTTATTACCAACAATAATCACCAAACAATTTAATTATTAAAATTCACTGTATAATCATCACCCCACCACAAAAAAAGCCACCTCTGTTTGCTCAACACTGTTTGATATTTATTAAAAATTTTACATTCGTTTTTTTCTTGATTTTGCCAATTTTGCTGATTTTTTTATTAATTTAGTTTTCAATTTTTTTTCAATCTTTTTAAAAATCTTGAATTTTTATAAATAAATTTAAAATACAGAAAAATACATTTAAATTCTTATAAATAATAACAGTTTTTGAGTTTTTGGTTTTTAAAATACAAAATACAAAAATTATTAAACTGAATGGATTTCTAATTGAAATTTGAAATAACTTTAAATACTTAAAATTTTCGTACTTTGGATTTTTTAAAATTCTAATCACCGTTTTATTCGTTTTTTATTCAAAAACACACAAGAATAATAATTAGACAAATTTTTTATCGATTGTCCTTTTGTTTGGAAATTTTACTAAACTACCTTTTTTTGTAGCTTTTTACTAATTAATAATTTTTTAATTTTTTTTTTAAATTTTACTAATTGATAATTTTTTTTATTTTTATTTTTAATTTTACTAATTTTGATAATTCCAATTTATAATTTTTGATTTTGAGTTTGTCATTAGTTTCAAAATAATAATAATAATAATTAAAAGCGAGCCTTCAGGAATAAAAAAGATTAAATTAAATTAATTAAATTAAATAAAATAAATATCAAAAAGCTTGAGCGCCATGACGGCTTTGTTTTTTGTTGTCAATGCACCTTTGGGTTACCCTTTTTTTTTTTTTTTTTTTTTTTTTCTTTTGTCGAAAGCTGTTTTGCGAATGGGTTTCTTGTCTTGCCCCTCTCCCTGACCATTAAAACACAAATATTATTAATATTTCCACTAACTTGAAAGTTTTTCTCTCATAAATCCTTATTTTTCAAATATTTTTATCATGTTTCTCGCACAATTTTTTATTATATATATATTTATAACTCACTCAATAGACGCCAATATATTGTATTTGTCCAAAAAAAAAAAAATTACTAACATGCACTTAAAAATTTTTATGTATACAAAAAAATCGTCTGTCTTATTTTTGTAAACGTTGCTTTCATTTTGTAAAAAAAAATTAATATTGTTTATAAATTTAAAAAAATACTTTTTAAGTATTTAATGCTTTTTAAATATTTAATACGTTCTAAGTATTTAATACTCTTTAAGTATTTAATAATTTTGAACTATTTAATACTTTTTAAGTACTTTGAAAATTTTGATTATTCTAATAATTAATCCTCAAATTTTGAGGTGGTATTTTCTCGAATTTTTTTTTTTTGAACTTATTGTGAAATTTTGAAGATTAGGTATACAATCTTTTCAAGAAAAGTGGGTCAATTTAAAATAATGATTGAAAATGAACGAAATGAATTATTATTTCGAGAGCGATCGGAGGAGAGGAGACAGAAAACCAATTCGCAGTAAAATCAGTCGAAATTAATCTCCTGAAATGGGCGGATAGAATAGAGAATTGAGAAAATTGTTTATTATAAATTGAGAAGATTATTTAATTCATAAATATTTTATTTATTAAAATATTATAAATGCTCAATCATTTGAATATTCGTCTGAATAAATAATTGAGTATCATGATAAATAATACTTTTAGATAATATTTTCTTATTTTAATAATAATATTTTTCTTTAACACTGAAAAAAAAATTTTGTCTCATATTTATTTATTTTTATTTATTTTTGTAGTGGAATAATTTATTTATTAAAAAATATGTTACTTGACTGTTATTGAACATATTTTTGTTTGAATCAAATGATTTTTATTTTTAATGAATAAAATAAAATTGAATGAAAAATAATTTTAGTACTTACAATAAATATTTATTTTTAATTGACGTCGGAGATGAATTATTTTATGGAAATAAATATTTATTATCATCAATAAATCAAGTATCGTATTATTTTTAATAAAATTTAAATATTTTTTTCCGTGTATTTTCTCCTTTTTTGTGTTTAGAGAACAAAATTTATATTTCGAAGAAGAAAAATTTATATTTGGAGAAAAAGTAAAATTTGTTTATTTAGAGAAAAAGAAAAATTTGTTTATTTGGAAAAACAGTAAAATTTGTTTATTTGAAGAAACAGTAAAATTTATTTATTTTGGAAGAAACATAAAATTAGTTAATTTCGAGAAAAAAAAATTTTTTATTTAGAGAAAACCATAAATTTGTTAATTTCGAGAAATAAAATTTTGTTTATTTAGAGAAGACACATTTTTTTATTCAGAGAAAAAGAAAAAAATTTCATATTTGATGAAAAAGGAAAATTTCTTTATTTAGGGAAAAAGAAAAATATTTTTATTTAAACAAAAAGAAAATTTTATGTTTGATGAAAAGGAAAAATTTTTTTATTTAAAGAAAAAAAGTTTTTTTTACCTATTCAGAGGGAGAAAAAAGAAAAAAAAAAATTTTTTCCATTTAGCGAAAAAGAAAAGAAAAACAATTGATTTTCTTTCATTATATACAATAATTGTAGATTGTTTTACGCTTGGAAGAAGCAACTTGAAAGTACTTTAAACGTCACAACTCTCTGTTTTTCTCTGAAACAATCACACATCCCTTTTGTCACCCACATTCTCTTTGTTTCAACCACCTAGCCTGTCGCGTGTGAATGAGCTGAGAAACAAAACAAGGCTTCGTGATTGAGGCTCCTCTTCGTAGAAGGATGCCATCAGATTGCATGCTTTGCCAGCTGAGCGTTACAGTGGTGTGCTGCTATTAACAAGAGACTATTTTGACTATTACCAACTATTCTCAATTATAGTCCCATTATTTCATTAAAAAACAAAAAAAAATAGTACAGTGCGAAACGAAATTCAAAAATCATCTCTCTGTCCAGAAACATAAACGAATTTCATCTTCTTTCTGGTAATTTTTTTTTTGTTTATTTATTTTTTATATTTTTGTTTTGTTAATATGCCTGGGAAAAATGTATATTTAATTCAGAGCTAACTAGACAATTTTTTAAGTAAATTATTTTTTTTTTTGGTTCAAATCAATTTTATTCGGGTTGAATAATTTTTTTTGGGTCAAATAAATTTTATTTAGTACAAAAAAATTTAATTTGATTTAAATAAAAGTTTATTCGGTTCAAATAAATTAAACTTTTGGTACAAATGAAATTTTCGTTTGTTTAAATAAATTTAATTTGGTTCAAATAAAAATTTTATTTCCACCCACAACAATTTGGGTCCATTAAACTTTATTTGGTATAAATAAATTTTGTTGGTTCAAATAAAATTGTACTTGTTTCAAATTAAATTTTATTTAAGTCAAATTAACTTTATTTGGTTTAAATCAACTTTATTTGCTTCAAATCAAAATTTTATGTTCGCCAAAAAATTTATTTGAGTTAAATAAACTTTACTTGGATGAAATAAATTTTTTTGGTTCAAATAAAATTTTATTCGGGTCAAATAAACTTTATTTTGTTCAAATAAACTTTATTTGGTTCGAATAAACTTTATTTGGTTCAAATAAAAATTTTATTTCCATTTAAAAAATATTGTTTGAGTCGAGTAAACTTTATTTGGCTCAAATAAATTTTATTTCTTCAAATATAATTGTATTTGAGTCAAATAAACTTTATTTGGTTCGGATAAAAATTTTATTTACACTCAAAAAAGATTTATTTTAGTCGAATAAACTTTATGTGGTTAAAATAAAACTTTATTTGGTTTGAATAAACTTTATTTGATTCAAATTAAACTTTTATTTCCTCCATAAAAATTTGTTTGAGGTAAATAAACTTTACTTGGATGAAATAAATTTTTTTTGGTTCAAATTAAATTTTATTGGGATCAAATAAACTTTTTTAGGTTCAAATGAATTTTGTTGGTTCAAATAAACTTTATTTGGTTGGAATAAAAATTTTATTTCCTCCCAAAAAAAATTTGAGTACAATAAACTTTTTTGATTCAAATAAAAATTTTATTTACATTCAAAAAATTTTTTTTGAATCGAATATACTTTATTTGGTTCAAATAAATATTATTTGGTGCAAATAAACTATTTGGCTCAAGTAAAAATTTAATTTCGGCCCAAAAAAATTTACTTGATCCAATTAAAATTTTTTTTTTTTTGAAACAATTAATAAAAAGCTCAGTAGGCTCTGAGACAAATATACTTTTATTTAACTCAAATAAATTATATTTGGTTTAAATAAAATCTTTCTCTGGGTGTAAAAATTTATTTTATTAAATTTAACAAAAAAATAAAAAAAATTTTTTTAAGTCAAAAAAGAGGAGTTTAAATGAATTTGATTTACAATTTTTTTTCAATATTTTACATTTAACTATTTTTCATGGAGTAATTTCATTTATTTTTCAAAGTACGAAAAGGAAAATTGTTTTTTCCACATATACAAGAATCTCATTCGCAGACTCTTCTTTAATATTATATTTCCCATTTTAATTTATTTTTCGTTATAATATCCATTTATGGATTTCTTTTCGAAGACCACAAATATTCGAAGCAATATTTGTTCAGTACAAAAAACCAGTTCAGAAAGAAATTAATAATTCTCGCCTTTATAAATAATGTGTGTCGAACTTTTTTTCAACTACGTGTAAAGTTTTAAAAATGATTTTTTAAAATGAGGGCAAAAAAATATCTGCAAATTGTTTCAGATAGAAGAAGAAACAAAAACAGAAAAAATCCAATACGAAAAAAAAAATTTATAATATTTATATAAATAATTATATGAATATTGTTTATATAGAGTATTTTAGAAAATTATTATTTATTTTGATTGCTTCTTTTTATTTATATTATAGGGTGATAATAATTTTTGGTGATTAATAATAATATAGTCGTGTTTTATAGTTGAAATCAATGGTGTTCTAGTTAAAAGTGTGTCTTAGTTAGAACTTTATGCTCATAGAGAGGAAATGATAATTATATACATATAGTTTTTAATTCGTCGCTAGTTAGTAATTAGACTGTTGTTTTTTTTTAGAAAAAAAAAATTATTAAACACATGCAGATACACTATGTAAACGTTTCAACAAAATATCGTATAGATCAGCGTATTTTAATTATAAGTTTCCCTTATATGTATGAACAAAAAATTTTTTTTCCACCACAAAGTTTTATTATATGAAACGGAAATTTTTATAAAATGCATATTCAATTGCAATCGAAAAAAAAATTAAGCTGTTTAAAAAAGATTTTCGCTAATGAATTTAGAGTTGAATTCATTTTAAAAATTAATTTCTTCCGTCTCTGAGAAATATTTAGTGTTATATTTTTGGAAATTAATTTTTTCGTCTCTAAGAAATATTTAGTGTTACATTTTTAAAAATTCTTTTTACACCCAGAGAAATATTTATTTGAATCAAATATAATTTATTTGAGTCAAATAAAAGTCACAGAGTCCACTTAATTATTTATTTATATTAAATATAAATTTTATTTAGCAACACAAATAAAAGTTTTATTTGAACCAAATTAAATTTATTTGAACCGAAATCTTGTTTGAGTGTAAATAAAATTTTTATTTGTATCAAATAAAAAATATTTTCAACAAATAAATAATTTAGAAGACTCTGAGTCAAAATATTTTTTTCTGGGTGCAAAATATTAAAATCCCAATAGTATTTTTAATTATTTGGAAATTTATCAAAAGTTTCTTAATTTTTTCTCTAAGAAGATTTTTATTTCCAACGGAAAAAAAATAATAATTATTATCAGAGAAAAAAAATAAAGTAAAGGAAAAGTATTTGAGAAGATGACAAAGTTCGAAATAAAGAAATTCTTTTTCTAGAAAATTTACTAAATTAGTAATTGTATAAATAAAATGTTGAAAAATTGGAACCTTTAGGTGCATTGAAATAAAAAAGAAATAAATAAAGAAATAAAAAGTAACAGTGTACTGATGGGTTGGATGGATGGCGAGGGCTTAGTTCTTAAATCAGGACTCGACGAAAAAGAAAAGTAGAAAAACAAGATGAAGAAAAAAAAACAAAAACGAAGAAACCAAAGAAATAAATAAAATAATGTGTAAAATCAAGGGTAAAAGTTTTTACAAGCCAGAGTAAAAGACGAACTGAAAAGAAAATAAGGAGGAAACTAGATAAAGGAGTTCAAACTGCAGAAATATATTGTCCAACTTTCTCTTAAGTGTACCTCAAGATCCAGTAATAACTCATTCCCTAAGAGAATCTATAGAAATTTTCCTTGGAAATATTTGACACTTTTTTAAATTATAATAGAACTATTTTTTTTTTTTTTTATTTAATTGTATATTAGTTAATAATAGGAATAATTTTATTCTTTTGAGAATTTTCAATAATTTTCTTTGAGAAGATTTTTAGGAATTTTTTTATTTTTTTAATACCTAAGACTTTTTTGTATTCTTGAGAATATTTTCGATTATTTCTTTCATAATCAACTTAAATTTTTATAATTGTTTTAAAAGAAAATTTTATTTGTCGTAAAAAATTTTTTTTGAAGGAATTAAATTTCTATTTGAACAAAATAAAGTTCATTTAACTCAAATAAATTATTTAAGCGTAAATAAAATGTTTATTTAAATCAAATAAAGTTTATTGGACTCTTAATTTTTTCCGGAGCGGAAATATAATTTTTATTTTAAACAAATAAAGATTATTTGACTCGAGTAAAATTTTTATTTGAACCAAATAAAGTTTCTTTGATTCAAATCATTTTTTTTTCGAGGAAATAAATTTTTTTATTTGAACCAAATAAAGTTTATTTCATTCAAATAAATTTTTTCTGGAGCGGATTCAAATTTAATTTGACGCGAATAAAAATATTTCTCTGGGTGCAAAATTTAGAAATTTCTTTGTAAATTGTTGCTTGAATTTAATTCTCCTCATCCAAATTTTTATTTTTTGAAAATAAAATACCCAAAATTGATTGAAATTGAAGAAAATTATTTAGGCAAAGTTTTGAATAAATTTTGTTTACGTGGAAAAGAATTTTAGTAATTTTTTAAATAATAATTTTAGTAAAAGCAAAAATAAATATTTTCAAAAATTCCAAATAACAAAAAGTATAAATATAAAGAAAAAAAATGTAAAATATTCCGAAATACCGAAAAGAAAAGTGTCATAAATTTCTTTGGTAAATTTATTATATGAATTCCAAGTGTACCCGGAAAAAATTCTTAACAAGTCAGTCCTTAAACTCATAATACTCAGACCCCTGTAGGAATGGAAGAGTGCCCTTTTAATTAATGCTATGCTGTTTTTTCTTTTTCTTTTTTTTTCTTTTTTTTTCTTGTTTCTATTACTCTTATCGACCCGTGTGCACCCTGCTCTGCTCGTTCGCCCTGCTCACCTGCCCTGACCTGAACTACGTGAAGTACGTAGTCAAGTGTGTGATTGTCGCCATTAAAACGATTGGCAACATTATGTTGGTCACCTATCTCCTACAGTTCATGTTTGCTGTTATCGGGGTACAGCTGTTCAAGGTAAAGGTCCAGTTAGATGATGCTGATAATTGTACTTATACTTATCTCAAAAATTCTAAATTTCAAAAAAAAAAAAAAAAAAAAAAGAATCAAAAATACTAAAGATGCTCAAGTTTAATTCATTTTTAATTTTGGAAAAATTTATTTTAAACAATTATTAAAAAATGGACATTTTTTCTAATTGGAATTGAAACTAAAATTAATTAAAAAAACTAAATAATAAAATTAACGGACTAATTAATTAATTATTAATTAATTAATTAATTAATAGACTAGGTAATTAAATTAATTTTCTAATTAATTATTAACTGATAAATTGACCAATTAATGAAATTAATTGGTTAGTTAATTATTAACTGATTAATTGACTAACTAATTAAATTAATGTATTAATTAAATACTTGACTATTTAATTAAATTAATTGACAAATGAATTATTAATTTATTGATTGACTAATGAATTAAATTAATTAGTTACATAATTATTAATTAGTCCATTAATTTAATTAAATAGTCAATTCATTAGTATTTAACTGACCAATTAATTAAATTAACTATTTAATTAAATTAATTGGCAAATTAATTATTAATTTATTGATTGACTAATTAAATTAATTGGTTAGATAATTATTAATTGACTAATTGACTATAGTTAATTTAATTAATTGGTTAGTTAATTACTAATTCATTAATTGACTATTTAATTAAATTAATGGACTAATTAATTATTAATAGATTAATTGACTAATTAACTAATTAATTACTTTTTTGTTAACAAGTAAAATTAATTTTTTATTATAGTTAAAATTAACAATTTTTTGATTATAATCAAATGTATTTTAAAAATATAATATTAAAATTATCATAAAATTATCAATTTTCTATTATAATTAATATTTCCTTTTTTAATATTGTAACTGCAAGAAAAAAAGCTTCACTTGGAATAGCGATAAATTTCCCTAGAATAGCGAAAGTCATAACTGAAAAATATTCTTTGATTAAAAATATTTTTGTCTCTTAACTATAATTATTGTTAATTATAAAAATTGGCTAATTGAAAAACAAAAAAATTATAGCAAAATGTTTCGGATTTTTTAATATAAAATTTTAATCAAATAGTAATAATAATAATTAAACAATAATAAATAATCTAATATTAATAAAGGAAAAGAATTATAACAAAATTATTATAAAGTATAATAATAATAATAATAATAATAATAATAATAATAATAATAATAATAATAATAATAATAATAATAATAATAATAATACGAAAAAATAATAATAATATTAATTAATTAATTATAATAAATTTTTATATTATTGTTTATTATAATAAATTGTTCATAATATTTAAATCTGTTTACTGTAATTAAATATTTTTAATTAAATATATTTAGCTTCAGTAAAAAAACATCTTAATTTAAAAAAATAAACAGAGAAAATACAATAAAATAAAAAAAGCAAAAAATGGCATTTTTAAAATATAATTAAATAAGAAATAAAAATAAATATAAAATAGAATAAAAAAAGTATAAAAACAAAAATTCTCTTTATTTCTGTTAAAAGATAAATTTAAAAAATGCTGAAACTGTCTATAAAAAATCGTTTAAAATAATATTTTCTGATAAATGACAATCTTGATCATCTTTTTCAATTTTGGTTCTCATTTATATACATATGTATATAAATATTTATTTATATATGTACATGTATATATTTTTTTTCTTTGCATATTTTTTTTATTCTTTCAAAAAACCGGTAAAAGCGGAAACATGCACGTTGACATGACTAAATTTATGATTTCATATTATATATATAACGCACGAGTTGTCTACGAAGTTTTAGAAAATTTATCATACAAGTAGATTCATAATTTCTCATATTATTATGTAGAGAATATTCTGGAGAGAAAAAAAAGAGGAAAAAAGAAAACTTTTTTTGATTATAAATGACAAGTATTCTTTCTGCATTTTCATTTGTTAGTTTTTTGTATATAAATACACTTTAATAAACTTGAGAAAAGTAGAAAGAAAATGTTTTTTTTTCCTTAAGGGCATTTGAACCTTGATGACGTCACACATGCTTTGCACAATCTGTAACGTCATCAAGGTTCAAATGCCCTTAAGAAGATTAAGTTTTTTATGAGCTTATTTAAACTTTAAAGTTTACTGGTAATTTTACATGAAGCTTAAATATTATTTTTACACAAAGTTTGAAATAAGCGTGAAAACAAAAATGCTTTATGTTAGCTGATTAACTTGTAAACTAGGCACGTTTATTAATTGACTTTTTATCATAATTAATGTAAAGTGGAAAAAAGGGATTATTTAATTTTCAACTGTTTTAAATTTATAATTTTTTTGTTCTTTCATTTTTCTTTTCTTTCTTTTCTTTATTAAATTATGATTTCTGTAAATTATAATTTTTTTTAATATTACGATTTTTTTTATTAATTTTCTATTTTTTGTTAATTTCTTTTATTAATTTTCTATTTTTTGTTAATTTCTTTTATTAATTTTCTATTTTTTGTTAATTTTTTTATTAAGTTTCTATTTTTTGTTAAATTTATGATTTTTTATTAAACTGAAAAAGTTTATTTGATTCAAATAATAGTAATAAATTGTCTATTATCAAACAAATATTTACTTGAATCAAATAATTTTTATTTAAATCAAATTGTATTTGAACCAATAAATTCAGTATTTGAAGGAAATACCATTTTATTGATTTGATAAAAAATTATTTTATTCGAATAAATATTTATTTGACAATTTGAATCAAATAAATTTTTTTCCAGTGTAATTTTATGCTTTTTGTTAATTTTACATAATTTTTTTTGATAATTTTATAATTTTTGTTAACTTTATGATTTTTTTTTATCAATTTTTTACTTTTTTTAATTTTACATAATTTATTTTTGTTAAATTTGTAATTTTCTATTAAATTTATAATTTTTTGTTAATTATTATTTTCGTTTATTATTTATTTTTTGTTTTATAATTTATTTTTTGTTTTATAATTTATTTTTGTTAATTACTATCCAGAAGTTCCTTTTCGTTTTTTATGATTTTTATCAAGTACTTTAATCGTCTAATTATTTTTATAATTATATTTACATACTTTTATCACTTTATTATTTTTCTTCATTTATTTTATCAGTTTAATTATTATTCAGAATTTTTGTTTATAGCATTTTTCTTTTATCATTTTGAGTTTATCGTGGAAAAAAATATTTGTGACCTAACTACTTTTCTTCAGATTATTATATTGTATATATGGTTAATATTTATTTTCTATTTCAATTTTAATTATTTCTTCTTTTTTTTTTAATAAGGAAATATTTTTCGAAGCAATTTTTTTTAATATTATCTTGCATGTTTTTTTTGTAATGAATGAATTTTGAAAATTCTGTGGATATAAAAACTTCGGAGACATCTCAGAGAACAGCTCACTTCCGCCCTACATATTGTATCCTATATAAGCTCGTAATACTATAATCTTCATCTTTATCCTGTGTGTGCTTCCCTTAATTTTGGTGTTATAAATCAAGACAGAGTAATTTTCAAAAAAAAAAAAAAAAAAAAATGATAAATTATTAATACCAAAGAGTGCTTCCTGTTATGAATTATTCGAAGAAAAATTTTTTAATTTTGGAATAATGTTAAAATAATAATGAAAAACAAAAATAAAATAAAAAGCGACAGCTTTTTATTTTATTTTTGTTTTTCATTATTATTTAAATTTAAATTTTTTAACATTTTTATTTTTTCGTGAATGTTTTTCTAATCAAAAATTTTTTATCTATTAGCAAATTTTAGTAAAATTTTATTTTCTTATTAATAATATATTAATTATTAATTTTTATTAATATATTATTAAAAATAATATTTTTTTAATAACATTTTATTATTTTAGTTTTTTAATATTAATAAAAACAGTACTAAATTATTTTCATTAGTATTTTTCTGTTCGTAAATATTTTTTGGCATTAAAAATTTTTTATCTAATTTCATTAGTATTTTTTTGTGTATTTTTTGTCATTAATATTTTTTTACCTATGAGAAAAATTCTATTAGGAATTAATTGTTTGAAAATAATTTGATATCATACTATTATTTAAATAATTAAATAAATAAATAATGGTTTAGTTTCGTTTAAATATACTTTAATAACGAAATGATGTTTTTAAGTAAACTCGAATATTGATTTTTGTTTGGTAAAAATGTTCATTTCAGAAATAGGGAACAATTTTTTTCATTTTCAATAGAAAGCACTCTATTCAATGACACTGCAATTACATAAATTGTTATCTACTTGTGTTTGTAAATATATTAACACTTTCATTAAAAATTAAATTTTTTTTTCTTCGATTAGCTAATTTAATTTAAGGAAAAATGGAAAAACAAAAATTCGATACAATTTAATTTGATTTAATTTTAACTACTTTATTTATAAAAACAATATTTATTTTGATGAAAAAAACGTAAAATAATTAATCGCAATATTCTTTAATTCAATAATTTTTTTCTGAAAGTTTCAAATTTTTAGAAAAATTATTTTGTTAACTTCATTTTATTCGAGTAATAATTAAAAAACTTATTTTTTATTCTCATCAGTTGATTAAATAATTGATTGTCACAAATAAATGTTTATTTGATAATAATCAAGCTAATCGATTCTTCGTATCAAATAAAAGTTTATTTATTGCTTTAATTCAATTCAATGGTTAACTATTTCATTTCACAATTTATTCCAATAAATTATTTAAATATAAATCGTCAGTCACTTTAATTGACAATTTAATTTATTGTTGTCAATAATTACTCAAATTTACTGTTTGATTCATTATTAAATTTTCATTTTCATTTTGATTTTAAAAATATTTAATAGTTATTTAAATAAATTAAATTATTAATTATTAAAATTAAATAGTTTTTTTAATTATTTTTTATATTATATTCATTTCACTAATTTTATGATTGAACGACGTTTATTACGAGCAATTATTTTATTATTAAAATATAAATACTATTTAATTTATTTTATTAACTAATATATTTATTTTTCTTTCAAGTGTTTAATATATTTTTATTTTTCTGAATAAGAAAAAAAATGTTTAAAACTTTTTGTAAATTTAAATTAAATTGACTTGAAAATGAATAATTATTAATATTAATTTATTAATACTTAATTAATAATTTAAAAAAAAAAAAAATTTTATTCCTTCGGACAAGGAAAATTTATACAAGGAGAAAATAATTTTTGTAATTAACAGAAATAATTTCTTTTGACAAAGTAAAATAAGTAAATAAAAATTTTACAGTTATATTAAAATGAAAACTTTTGAATTAATAATTATATACCTACACTATTAGTTTATTGTTTGTTTGTGTGAGTGTGTGTAAATTAAAAGAGCATGAAATATGTATTATAAAATTTTCAAGCATGCATTATCCTTTTATTACATGTAGATATAAATACATACATATAATATTATGTGAATGGTATTTTACCGTCGTGAATGTTTGTGCCTGTAATTTCATGGTTGCATGATGTCCTTATGTTAATGTGTTGTAACCACAAATCCAATATTGGAAAATTAATTCACAACCCACACTATTCAGAAACGTCAGGAAAATGTTTCGTATCTATACGTTTCAAATATTGAATAATATACTGCTTTTAAAATATATATGCCATTAGAGGCTATATTGGTAAATCAATTTTTCCCCGTAAAATATTTTATGTCAAAGAAATACATATATATTTATATCCTTATTTCTATAATTTCAACCATTTTACATAATTAACATATTTTTAATTCATTTTTTCGAATTTATTTTTTTTATTATTATTTATTTTTGCCATTAAACTTTTTACTGTAATTAATTTTTACATTTTCGTAAAAAATGAGGCGTTTTTTTAATAATAATAATAAAAATAATAATTTATTTTATTTATTCATTTAATAATTAATAATAAATTAATTAAATTTTCAATAATAAAATATTTAAATAATTGTAAAATTTTATTTATTTATTTATTTATTTATTTATTTATTTATTACTCAATTTAGTAAATATAATTCTCAAAATAATTTAGTTGAATAATTGATTGTCTTTTGTTAAATTTCAAAACTATCTGGATTAATAATTTAGTCAGGGATATTATTATCCATATCATTATTATATATTCAAATATTGGAGTTTCTAGAAATAAAATTCATAGAAATTTCCATTGTAAAAAAAATCAGTTATGTAGTTAGTTTTCATTAATTTATAAAATTATTGAACTATTTAGATTTTTGTAACAATTTAGTGGAGTAGATTTTTTTAAAAATAAATTAATTATTAATATTCAATAATTTAGTTCAGGTAAAATATAAATTAAATAATTAATTGTTGATTTCAATTAATAATTGAGTATTCAGTTAATAATTATGAAATTAGTAATTTAACTGATAAATTAGAAAAAAAGGTTAAATTGGTAATTAACTACTAAATTACTAATTATTTAATTAGTAATCAAGTACTAAATTAATAATTATTAAATTAGTAATCAAGTACTAAATTAAGAATTATCCAATTAGTTAATTAATTAATGATTAATTAATAATAAATCAATTAGTAATTAACTACTAAATTAATAACTGTTAGATTGTTAATTAAACTCTCTAAATTTGAATTACTAAAAAAGTTTACTAATTTGAATCAGTGACTAATTTTTGCTTCTGAATTAGTAAATTTTTTATTTATTTATTTATTTTTTATTTAGAATAAATAAATAAAAAATGTTACTAATAAAATAGTAATAATTAACTAATTTTTTAGTAAAATTTACCAATTCAAAAGCAAAAATTCCGTCACTAATTCCAATTAGTAAATATTTTTACTAATTCAAATTTACAATGTAATATTAAATTAGTAATTAATAATATTCATTTAATAATTAGCTATTTTATCGATAATTAGTAATAATTATTAAATTTGTTATCAACTACTAAATTAAAAATTATTAAATTAGTAACTATCTACTAATTATTAGTAACTTTATAATTAATAAATGTTAATTAAAAATGTTTAAAATGCATGTATATTGACAATTATATACATATTTGTAAAAAAATACGTTATAGTGACATTTTTTCATAGAGTTAGATAGAAATATTTTTATTACATTTTATATAAATAATTAATAGCCATTACTTCACTGCTATTAATTAATAGTTACTAGATAAATAATTATTTTATTGTAAAAATTATTATTATGCCATTACTACGTATGGTATTAATTCATTTTATTATTTATTTTTTTTTTATATATTATTATATTTATTAATTTATAAATATTTATTTATTTATATATATTTACTTATTTATTTATGAATAATAATTTTTTTACTAATGCACTATATTAATATTTATTGTTTATAATATTATTTATAATAATAAATTAAATAATTACAATAGTAATAATAAATATAGTAAAAATAATAAAAATAATAATAAATACAGTAAATATTTATCTATAAATATGTTTATACATATTATATATTAACTTATTTATAAATAAACATTATTTATTTATTCACAATATAGAATTAATTTCTAAACAAATATGTAAAATTCGAAAAAAAATTTTAATTAAATTTCTTATAAATTGTAGAATTTGCAACAAAGGGTTTTGTACTGAGCATGATTAAATTTTGCCTTTTAATCGTGAATATAAATAAAAACTGTCTAACACACGGAAACGATTTATATAAATAATATGCTTTTATATTCAAAGAATTTTGCATGTTTTTTTTAATTTATTATTTTTATTTCGCATTCGCGACTCTTCTCTACTTACTTATTTATTATAAACATTTATTTTTAATAAATGTAATTTAAAAAACTGGTTAATTTATAATTATGTGCCTTTTTTTTAGAAAAAATATCTGCATTATAATAAAATTACACATTTTTGAGATTTTCTCCACACCACTTATTGATGATTTCGTCAAAAATAATAATTATTCAAAATTAATTAACTGTTTGCAAAGCTTACATTTTTTAAATTAAAAAAAAAAATTTTATTTACATTTTTCTTTTATTGCTGTTTTTTGCTTTTCGAAATCGAATTGAAAAATGATATTAAAAGAGAATAATTTTTATTTCTAAAATTGTAATAAATTGTCGCAATAAGTAATATTTTATTATTAGAAAACTTTTTCAGTTTTGAAAAAATGCAAACTTTGTACATCAGTAAAATTGAAAAGAAAGTAAAAAAATGAATGAAAATTGAATTTCAAAAAGTTGAACACCTTTTAGTTTCAATTGAAGAAAATATAGAAAGTTGATATAAATTTGAGAAGGAAAAAAATGAAAAAATAGGCGATGAAGGAACGTTTTTGTAAATTAGGAACGAGGATGGAAAAAATCACCGGTAGAATAAAAAAAATATTGTACAAAAAAAAGATACAGCTTAAATATTGTATATTTGAATGTAAAAAAATATCGTCGAGACGATCGATCGACGACACCAAGTTGCATACCGCATTGCACTTTTATGCACGCCGGAAGGAATGTTTTTATTTTTGAATTTCGTTTACACTTTACTTTGCTCGTATTCTTGCTATTCTTTAATATTGTAGCTTTCTGCCAGGATATTATAATTAACATCATTGTGTCAATATTGTCTACCATTTTTTTTTTGGCAATATTTCAAAAATAAATTTTTTTCTACCGTTTAATTACAAAAAAAATTGTTAATATTGAATTTTTCATTTTTACAATCTAGGGGAAATTTTTTAAATGCAATGATGGATCAAAAATGACAGAAGCTGAATGCCAGTAAGTTTTACAAAAAAAAAAATTTTGTTTAATGGACTTTTAGTGACGTTATTGATTTTGTAATTAAAAATTTTTTTTCACTCTTTTTTCAGAGGCACTTACATAATATACGATGATGGAAATATTGACAGGCCTAAAGTGGTGGAAAGAGAATGGACGAAACATCGTTTTCATTTTGATGATGTCGCTAAAGCAATGCTAACACTCTTCACTGTTTCCACATTTGAGGGATGGCCCGGGTAAAAATGAAAAATTTTTCTATTTTATTTTCATTTTCTTTTTGTGTTCGAAAAATTAATAATTTGTGAAAATATTTCTAGTTTGAAGAACTGGAATTTATTTTTAATAATATATTGAGAATTTTTCACTGTTTTCTAAATTAAAAGAATTCTTTTAAAGCAAAATGATTTTTCTAGATTAAAAGGATTTATTATGAATTTGAAAATATTTTACTGGATTCAAAAAATCTCATTAAAAATGAAAAGAAAAAATTTCACTAGAAAAGGATTTGTATTTTATTTTCTTCACTTTTTCACTATTTTTTAAATTCAAAGAATTTTTTTATAAATGAGAAAATATTTTTCTAGATCCGAAAAATTTTATTAGAAGATAAAGAAAAATATTCACTGGAGGAAGATTTAAATTATGAATTTAATTATATTTTTTGTTCTATTTATTTCTCAGGTTAAATTCATTAAAAAAATTCCCCTATTTTCTAAATAAAAGGAATTTTTTATAAATTTGAGAATATTTTTCTGGATTTGCAAATTTTCATTGTAAAAGAAAAGAAAAAATTCACTAAAAAAGGATTTCAATAATAAATTTGATTTTTTACTTTTTGATTATTTATTAAATGAAAAGAATTTTTTATGAATTTGAAAAAAATTGCCTGGATCCGAAAAATGTTAATCATAAGAAAAATAGAAAAATATTCACTATAACAAGATTTTAATTATAAATTAGATTTTATTTTTCATTTTATTTATTTACCGAGTAAAATAGTGGAATGGTACTTAATTTTTATTTTTTATATTTATTTATTTGTTTAAATTAAAATATTAATAGTTTATGAAAAATAATAATAATTTAGAAGTAGAATTTATTTTTCAATTAAACATGCAACTTTTTTCACTATTTTTTAAATTAAAAGAATTTTTTTATGAATTTGAAAATATTTTTCTGGATTCAAAAAGTTTCTTTGAAAAAGAAAAGAAAAAAAATTCACTGGAAAAGGATTTAAATTATAAATTTGATTCTACTTTTTTACTTTTCCACTATTTTCCTAATTAAAAGAATTGTTCAGAAATTTGAGAATATTTTTCTGGATTTGCAAATTTTTATTGAAAAAGAAAAGAAAAATATTCACTGGAAAAAGGTTTTTAATTATAAATTTCATTCCTATTTTTTGCTTTTTTATTTCCCGAATAAAATTGTAAAATACTTTTAATTTTCATTGTTTACAGTTAAAAATTAATATTTTCTGTAAATATTTTTAATTGAAGAATTAGAATTTATTTTTAATTATATATTCACAATTTTTCACTTTTTTTCTAAATTGAAATAATTTTTCTATAAGAATTTTTCTTAATTTTGAAAATACTTTTCTGGATTTGAAAAATTTTATTAGAAAAAAGGAGAAAAATATTCAGGAGAAAATGATTTTAACTATTAATTTGTTTCGAATAGTTTGCGAGAATATTTGAAAATATTTTTCTAGATTCGAAAAATTTCATTAGAGAAGGGAAAAATTCACTAGAAAATGATTTTAATTTAAATTTGTTTCAATTTTTCCTTTTATTTATTTTCCGGGTCAAAATTGTAAAATTCTTCTATTTCATTTCCATTTTTCTTTATTTAAAAATTAATAGTTTATATGAAAACATTTTTGGTTTGAAGAATTACAATTTATTTTTAATTAGAAACTAAAATTTTTCACAATTTTCTAAATTAAAAGAATTTTCTTATGAATTTGAATATTTCTTTTTTTTTCTAGATTCGATAAGGATTTTGTTATCTTTTATTTTAGGAAAAAAAAATTTTTTTCACTAGAAAAGAATTTTAATTAGATTTGATTGTAATCTTTTGTTTTATTTATTTCAGATTATTGTACGATTCAATTGACTCGAATAGAGAAGATTATGGACCAATTCACAATTTTCGTCCAATAGTTGCTACTTACTATATTATATACATTATTATTATTGCGTTTTTTATGGTCAACATCTTCGTGGGTTTCGTTATTGTAACATTTCAAAATGAAGGAGAACAGGAGTACAAAAATTGTGAACTCGATAAAAATCAAGTGAGTTGATTCAAAAAGTATTTAAGACATTAATAATTAATAATTTATTACTTATAATCATTAATATCTTAATAAATAAATAAATGTCTTAATTAATAATAATTCAGTAATAATTATTAGTTATGAATAAAATAGGCTGCTTTTATGTTTAATTTTCATAATTTCGAATTTAATCTGATAGTTGAAATTCGAGGTAAACACGGATATTGGTTTAAGTTTTATTGTTAAATGTTTCAGCGAAATTGCATTGAATTTGCTTTGAAAGCGAAACCAGTGAGACGCTATATTCCAAAGCATCGAATTCAATACAAAGTGTGGTGGTTTGTAACATCCCAGCCCTTCGAGTATACAATATTTATTTTAATTATGATAAACACTGTAACTTTGGCAATGAAATTCTACAATCAACCGGATTTCTATACAAAGGCCCTCGACGTTTTGAATATGATTTTCACCGCAGTATTTGCTCTTGAATTTGTTTTCAAACTTGCCGCCTTTCGATTTAAGGTATGTTTCTGATTTTTTCCAAATCAAGAGAAGAAAAGCAAAAAAAAAAAAATGTATTTTTTTGGTTTATTTCAACTAAATATTAATTTTCCTTACAGAATTATTTTGGAGACGCCTGGAATGTTTTCGATTTTATTATTGTTCTGGGAAGTTTCATCGATATTGTTTATTCCGAAGTGAATGTAAGTTATTGTAATTTTTATTTATACCTAAATTTGAAATTTATCAGGGTTGCCACAAAAATTTAATTTTGTTTATCCCTGACATTGCCCTGATTTTCAGACAAAATTTTCACTTTTTTCCTGACTCTAAAGAATATTCTGATTCATTCTAAAAAATGATTAGATAATCTGTAACTGTAAAAAATTATTTTTTGAAAAAGTTCTTCTTGAGAATTATCAAATCCATTTGTTTACATTTCAATTTTACGTGAAATTTCGATTATTCGGAAATTCTTCAATTAAATATACATTAGAAAATGAAAACTTGAAATAATTTTTAAAAATTTCGCTTAAGCTTTTTGAAGAAAATTAGTTTCATAGAATTTTTTTAATTAAAAGTATAAAAAATTCAGATTTTCAAAGATTTTTATTTGAAACCTTTACAATATACCTAATTACAAATTCAATTATTTCTAAAAAATGCAATTATTAGTAAATTCTCCAAAATTCAATTATTATCTAAAACCTTAACTGAAATTAATTTTTAAAATCAATTTTTCAGAAGAAAATTCTACGAGAATTCAATTATTAACGTACAAAAATAAATAATTTATTAAATAATTGAATATTTCTCAAAATTGAATTCTTATAAAGAATTTTTATAATAAATTTTTAAATAATTGAATTGTTTTGACGAGTATTAATAAAATTTTTAAGAACAATTACATTTTTCGAGGAATTCGATTAAAATTGTATTAAAAGTGATTGAAATTTTACAATGAATTTTATTATTTATGGAAATAATTGAATTATTGCGAAAAATTTTATAAAAAAGTTTCAGACAATTGATTTTTTTCGAAAAAATGTATGCAAATTCTATTTTTAATAATTGAATTCCTGTGAAATTTCCATTATTTTAGAAAATAATTGAATATTCATGTAGAATTTTGTCACAATTGTTTCTAAATAATTGAATTCTTTTAGGAAATTTTATTAAAATAATTGATATAGAAATTATTGAATTAAGAAAAATTTTTGAAAATAATTGAAATTTTGCAATGAATATTATTAAAATTTTTGATAATATTTCAATTTTATTACTTTTAAAAATAATTGAATTCTTGTAATGAATATTGCTATATATGAAAATAATTGACTTCCTCCGAATGATTTTATTATTTATGAAAATAATTAAATCCCTGAAAAGAAGTTTAAAATTTATGAAAATAATTGAATTACTGGGAAGAATTTAATGATAAATTTTAAAACATTTGATTTTTTTGAAAAAATTTATGAAAATTCTATTTTAAATAATTTAATTCCTGTGGAATTATTATTTTTTTTTTTTTTTGAAAAATAATTGAATGTTCGTGTATAATTTTATGAAAATTTTTGTTTAATAATTGAATTCTTTTAGAAAAATTTAATTAAAATAGTAGAATATTAAAAATCATTGAACTAAGAAAATTTTTTGAAAATAATTGAAATTTTGTCTTGAATTATATTAAAATTTTTGAATATAATTGAATTTCAAAAGTAATAAATATTAATGTTAATAAAAATAATTTATGGTAGAAAATTTGAAAACAAAAAATTAAATTTTCGTGAAGAACACAACAATATTTTACTATAAACAATTTAGAAGAAAAAATATTTTTCTACGCAGATTTTTACAAATTTTCCCTTGAAATATTTTTTGGAAATTTCAATTCAATTTTTAATTCAAATAAGAATGTACCTAATATTTAATATTTTTATCTTTTTATTAATAAATAATATGGATTTTTAATAAATTTCTAATTTAAATTTAATTTAATTTTCATTTAGAAATAAATTTCGATTAATAGATTTTGCTTTTAATTTCAGCCTGGTTCGAGTATCATTTCGATTAATTTTTTTCGACTTTTTCGCGTAATGCGACTTGTGAAGCTACTCAGTCGTGGGGAGGGCATAAGAACCTTACTCTGGACATTTATTAAATCTTTTCAAGCTCTTCCCTATGTTGCTCTATTGATAGTGATGCTGTTCTTCATTTACGCTGTCATTGGAATGCAGGTGAGAAAAAAGCTTCTTCATTTTTCCAATTTTTGAATTTTTCCACTATTTTTTGCATTTTATGTTTTTTTGGGGAAAAAAGAAAAGACAGAAAAATTTTAGAGTAAGGAAGTAAAAAAAGTAAAAGAAAAGAGTAAACATCGAGTCAAAAGTAAAAAAAAGTCTTTTTTTCTTTTCTTTAAAAATTTTTTCAAATTTTAATATTTAAATTTTATATTCTAATTATTTTTATTAGAAATAAATAAATATGTATAAATAAATTTTCATATTTTTATATGAATAATGAAATAATTATTAATAATTAAAATATTTTCTTGATTATTATTTCTCCAATAGATATTTGGACGAATCGCCATCGACGATGAGACGCACATTAATCGAAACAACAATTTTCAAACATTCTCACAAGCTGTTCTTATTTTATTTCGATCAGCGACGGGTAATTAAATTATTTGTTTAAATTAGTTCATTGAAATAATAATAGAAAATTAATTTTTAATTTATAAGGAATGAAGTGCAAGAAGGAAGGGATTGAGATGTTCTTTTTGTCAATTTAATTAGAGTTTATTAATGAATAATAAATTTGCAGGCGAGGCTTGGCAAGAAATTATGCTGGACTGTTCAGCTCGAGTCAATATAGTGAAATGTGACAAGAAAAGTGAGGATAAAGATAAGGATACCTGCGGTTCGGATATGGCGTTTCCATATTTTATATCCTTCTATGTTCTTTGTTCCTTTCTCGTAAGTATTCAATCATTAAAATTAAGAAAAAAGAGGATGAAATTTAGATTTTTACTTTAAATAATTTTATAATTATTAATTCTACTAAATTTATTAATTTTGTTATTAATTTTATTAATTTTTCTAGATTATCAATCTTTTCGTGGCTGTAATTATGGATAATTTCGATTATCTAACTAGAGATTGGTCAATTCTTGGACCTCATCATTTAGACGAATTTATTCGACTCTGGTCGGAATACGATCCGGATGCAAAAGGACGAATCAAACATTTGGACGTTGTCACGCTCTTGAGAAAAATTTCCCCGCCACTTGGTTTTGGCAAATTGTGCCCTCATAGAGTAGCTTGTAAGGTAAATTTCAATAGTCACTTTTTAAATTTCTCCAAAAAAGTTTGTATCCAATCCGTTATTTTACTATAATTTCGATATAAATTCATTCACAGTAATATTAATTTAATTAATGAATTACTTTAGTATTTTAATTAATTAAAAAACGTTCTTACAGAGATTAGTTTCCATGAATATGCCATTGAACAGTGACGGAACTGTTCTTTTTAATGCAACTTTATTTGCTGTAGTTAGAACCTCGTTACGAATAAAAACCGAAGGTAATATTGACGATTGTAACGCAGAGTTACGAGCGGTTATAAAAAAAATTTGGAAAAGGACGAGTCCAAAATTATTGGATCAAGTCGTTCCACCGCCGGGTGGTGAGTTGAAAATATATAAATAAAAATGTGTTTACTTCTTTTTTTTAAGATTAATAATTAATTTGAGAATTTACTTTAAATGAAATGAATTTCAGTGGATGATGAAGTCACAGTGGGAAAGTTCTACGCGACTTTTCTAATTCAGGACTACTTTAGGCGATTTAAGAAACGAAAGGAACTTGAAATGAAGGAAGGGGACAAAGATTGTCATAACGCCGTTACGTTACAGGTAAATTTTTAATAAAAAACATTAAATTAATGATAAGAAGAAATATATTTAGGAACCAAATGATAATATGTAAAATAAATTTTTATTTTTATTCAATTTAAGTTTAATTCTAATTTAATTTTAATTTAAGTTTAATTTTCATTTTAATTTTCATTTCCATTCAATTATTTTTATATAAATAATAACATTCTTCGAAGGAATTCAATTATTTTTATAAATAGTAAATTTTTTTGTAAAAATTCAATTATTTTTAACAAAATTTTAATAAAATTTCACGAAAGAATTGAATTATTTTCTAAAATTTTAATAAATCTTTCTAAACAATTCAATAATTTTTTTAAATAATAAAATCATTGCAAAAATTCAATTATTTTTAATTAAATTTCGAAGAAAAATTTAATTTTTCTCTTAATTCGTTATAAAATTTCACGAAATAATTCAATTATTTTTGTAAAATTTTAATAAATCTTTCGAAACAATTCAGTTATTTTTATAAATAAACAGTATAATATATTTTTATAAATAGTAACATTTTTTTGCAAGAATTCAATTATTTTCAAAACAATTTTAATTGAATTCCTCGGAAGAATTCAAATATTTTTAAATATTTCCATAAAATTCTATTATTTCCTAAAATTTTAATAAATTCTTCGAAATAATTCAATTATTTTTATAAATATTAAAATTCTTTGCAGAAATTAAATTGTTTTTAATACAATTTTAATAAAATTACACGAAAGAATTGAAATATTTTCAAAAATTTCCATGAAACTTAATTTCAACAAGAATTTAAAATTCTCTAAAAATAAAACAATTATTCTTAAAATATTTTTAAGAAATTCTATATGAAAATTAAATTACTTTCAATGCAATTTTTAAATATATTCGTGAAAAAAATTGAAAAAAATTCAATTATTTTCAAAAAATAATAACATTTTTTGGATGAAGTCAATAATTTTGAATATACTTAATTTTAACAAAATTGTTTACAGAAATCCAATTATTTTTTAAACAACTTTAATTGAATTTTCCAAAAGAATTTAATTATTTTCAAATATTTCCATAAAATTCTCCAAAACAATAATTCAATTATTTACTAAAATTTTAATAATTTCTTCGAAACATTTAAATTATTTTTATAAATAGTAAAATTCTTCGCAGTAATTAAATTATTTTTATGAATTATAAAATTTTTCTCAGGAATTTAATTATTTTTAATACAATTTTAATAAAATTCAATTGCTTTTAAGATTTTCAATTAAAATTATTTAAAAAAAACTCCATAAATTTAAAAAAATTTTAAGAAATCCTTCAAAAGAATTTAATTAGGATTTTAAAAAATTTTAACAAAATTCTTTGCGAGAATTTAATTTTCATAAATAAAAAAATTATTCGAAGGAATTCGATTATTCTCTTTAAATTTTGTTTGATAAATATACTTTGCAAGAATTCAATGATTTACAGTACATTAATTTTAAAATTAAAAATATTTAAAAAGAAAAATTATTTTAAAATTTTATTTTAATGGTAATAGTAATAAAATTAAAATTTACTGAAAATTTTCCAGGCTGGTTTGAGAACTCTACACGAAGCTGGTCCAGAGCTAAAGAGAGCAATTTCGGGAAATTTGGAAGAACTAGTCGATGACAATCCTGAACCAACGCATAGGGTAAAAAAGAAAAAACAAAAAAAGTTCATTTAATTATTTAGAAATTTTTCTTCACTGTAAATTGCTTTCCTTCTTTTTTTATATTTTCTTCGATTTTATTTATTCGATTGTAATATTTCAGAGAAATCACTCGCTTTTCGGTAGCGTGTGGTCGAGTATGAAGAAAGGTCATCACAGTTTTCACAGAGCGAGGTCGCTCAAAACAAATTCCACTATTCCTAAGGTATTTTACGAGCAAAATTGTAACGCTGTATTTAATTTAGTTTTTCATTAAAATTTAATTTTTAAAATATTGATTTTCTTTACTCTCACAGACTTCACCGACTAGTTCGATAGACTTTTTGCCGTACGCTTCCTTACGCAGAGTAAAGCACGATGCTACAAATCAAGTTACTGCAAGATCCCATCAAGTAGTGCCCAACATCGGAAGGTAGAATTTTTTTCCCGTACATATAAAAATTGTTTTTTTAAACAATTTTTAAATTTTAGTACACGAATAATGAATAACTAAATATTTCAAATTTTCATTAATTATTTTAACAGGTGCTAAAGAATTAATAAATTAATGATAGACTAATTAACAATGAAATTAATTCCCGCAGAAAGATATTTTTAATTTAAACAAATTCGATAGAATTAAATTAATTCTAAATCAATTAAATTTAATTGATTAAATCAATCAATTAAATAATTAAATTAAATAAATAATGAATATTATAAATAAATATCGCTAAATTTTCCAGTGGTATGAGTGACACTACAATGAATCAAATGGGAACTGATCCAAGACTGACTGGAGTTGAGGAAAATATTCCACTGAGACCACTCGCAGTTTTTGGTATTCCTGGCCAGCAAACAAATTACCAAACTACTTATAAAGTACTCGAGTAAGTGAAAAAAAGAATATTATTCCTTCACTATAAATATATAGATAAAATAAAAGTCGTGTTATAGTTATTGTGTCACAAATCTCGGTTCTTTGCGTAAATTTGATCATTTTTTTTTCGTGTAACGTAATGTGTAGTGCATGCCGAAGAAGCATCGGTACTTATCGCTGTTTATCATTATCATATTCTTTCATACTTCTATAAACGCAGATATTTAAAAAATATATATATATATATTTAAACAAACAACCGCTTTTTACACAAAAGCTAAAAAAATATCAAACACTTTTTCTTTTTACCAAGAACAAATATATTTCACCACGAAGAATCAATTAATTTATTTAAATATTAATTAAATGATTATTCTCTTTGTTAATTTACCGACTAGTTTATAGATCAGTAAATTGATTTAATTAATTTCATTAATTTGATTAATTTGATTAATTTGCTTGATTAAGCAGTCAAGTGTTTAATTAATCAGTCGAGTGTTTAATTGAACCGAAGGATTGCAGAAAGGCATAAATTGGTAATGTAACTAAATTTTACGATTTGTCGGTTCAATTAATCAGTTGAGTATGAAAAAAATTGATTAGACATAGTAAACTGATAATTTAACTAATCGGATAATTAAATTTAATAATTAAATTCGAATACATTATACATCAACAAACACGGGGAGAAAATAAATGTTAAATTTTGTAAAAGTATTTCACAATTTGGAGAGAAAATACGATAATGCGAAATTTTGATATCAAAAATACTAAACTTTAAAAAAACTTAATTTAAAATTTAGTAGTAAAATTTAGTGTAGAATAAAATATCAAGAATGGTAATTAAATTTCCTCCTCACGTGAAGTGAGTATTTTTTTATTCTAAATTGTTTTACTACTCAAATTTTAATGTTAAAAGTTTGACAATTAATTTGTAAATAAAGTGATTAGTGTTTTAGTGAAATTAATTTCCCTGGAATTTTTACATTAATACGATTTTCACAGGACAGGGAAATAAGTAAAGCGAGGAAATTTTATCCGAAGTATGAAAAAAATATCAAATTATGTATTCAAAATCTTAGTCTATAAACTTTCTTTTAAAAATTTAAAAAAAATCCATAAGTAGACTTACAGTTGCAATTTTTAGAAATAATCATTTATTTAGTTTTGTATTTAAATAATTGAATTTTCTGACAACTTTTTCATAAAAATTGATTTGAAAATGAATTTCAGTTAAAATTTTAGAAAATATTTCAAGAATTTCAGTTCTCATTTTTGAAAAATAATTTAATTTCAAAACGTACATTTAAATTATTTGAAATTTCAATTAAATTAGATAAGAATAAGTTTTTAAATATTTGTTTAACAAAAATTATTGAATTCATGAATAATTTAATTTAGAAAATTCTGAAAAATTGTAATTCAAACTTTTTTGAAGATAATTGAATTCCAGAAAATATTAAAAAAAATTGAAGCAGTTAAAAGTTTTGTCAAATTTCATTGAAATAAATTTTATCTTTGAAAGAGTTAAATTTTATTACATTAAAATTATATTTTTAAAAAAATAATAAATTTTTGTTTAACAACAAGTTAGTTTTGAATTTTTGAATAATTTAATTTAGAAATTCTAAAAAAATTGTTTTTAAAAATTTGTTATTAAAATTTTTTTGAAAATTTTTTTCAGCAAATAAAATTTGAATAATAAAAATTGAAGCAGTTAACAGCTTTGTTAATTTCAAAAAGAAATTTTTTGTAACTAACAATTGGCTGTAAAATTTTACGCGCGCATTTAATTTCTTTTAAAATTAAATTTAAATTTAAATTTAAAAATTTTTTTAATTAAATTTAAATTTAATTTTTTAAATAAAAATTTTGCTTTGTCGCATTTTGTCCTTAAATTTAATATTTATTTTCTCTCCACGTACATTGTGATAAACATTTTAAAACAACGATTGTATATTATTTACAAAACACTCAACAAATTTTATTTTTTCTCTAGAATTAATTGTGGATATGTCAGAACTTGTTAATGTTAATGTTCTTGCTGATGAATTTTTATTTTCATTTAATTTTCCAGATAAATAATGATTATGAAAAATTGACAATGTAAATTATATATATATGTATATCAATTTCGATAAATGTTTTTATGAGCTTCTAGTGTTATGTAAAGTTTTTTTTTTATCAAATTTTACGAAAGGATTTTTTTTTCTATTTTATGACATAAATCATTAAATATGTATTTTGTCTCGCATGAATCTTTTTAGGATTTACACGTGTGACATTTTTTTTAATGTTAAAACACTGCCCTGGCTATTTTGTTTTTTTTTCTTTTTTTTTTTAATCGATTAGAAATTTTGAAGAAAATCCTCCTCATTGTATATTTTACATTTTATATTGATGTTGTTGCCCATATGAAATTTATCCTTCTTTTTCTCTATATCATCTCGCTCTAATTTTTTTTTCTGGAAATTTACAGTCAGACGAACTGAAAATACGAAAATTTCCCTCAAAACAAGGATTTTCATAAAAATTTTTATATTTTCTGATTTTTTCGTTATTCTATGCGTCTGCTCATTGTCGTACGTTTCAGTGGACCAGGTAGCGGTAACTATCTTCATCCAAATACCGAATATGGTAAGAATTTTTTTTTTAGGGAACTCATGACTTTTTTCCAGCGAATTTTCAATTGCCAGTTTGCTTCAGCCAGCTATTTGCTTTGCATGTGAAATGCTTGTGAGATTATTTGGTTTGTTTCTTTTTTTTTTAAACTAATCTTCTAATGTATTTTTGTTTTCATTCTTGTTTTAGAAGTATTACTGTTTCTTAGTTAAATGTTTATTGTCTTAGAAAAATTTTTTTCTATTTTAGAAAATTTTGAATCACAGAAGAGTATTTTTAGAATAAAGCATGCCTATTGGGCACAATATTGAAGTTGATAAGATTTTCTCTTTTTTCAAAAGTGTTGAAAACTTTACTAAGTTACTATTTTGAAAATCGTTTTATTGTATTCATTTTATATTTGAAAAGTAGTTAATTTTTTGATAAAAACATTTTTTCTATTTCGCGTAAAGAAAAATTGTAGGTTTATTTAGAAATGAAAATTCATTTTCAAAAAAAAAAAAATTAAGCATGTTTATGCACGTTATAGGAATGCTGAATCAAAGAAAAATAGTTTTTTTCTCTTCTATGCTTCAAAATCTGTAACATTTTTCAAAAAACTAATCGCCGCCGAACGCTCCGATCGTTGCACCTTTTTTTCGTGCTTTAAATGGAAAGTTCAACAAAATTTTCGTGGTTGTAAAAATGTAAATACAATAATTGCTATTTTCAAATTTCAATGCAATATAAAAAATCACTTATTATCATATATTCGTTTGTGTCAAGAAATTTTTTTTCTTTTTGTATTTTATAATTTTGTATATTAATGAGCAAATCACAGCGTTGTTGCTAATATTTGCAGCTATTTTAATTAGAAATTATTCAATGGACAAAAATAATAATTGGCGCAAAACGTTTTATCATTATTCGCATATATATCAAAGCTTACAGGCAATGTTTATATTGGCAAATAGCTTAAATATTTAATTTTTTTCGTTGTGTTCCTTTTCTAAAACAAATCTCCCAAATTTTACCTTTTCGTACGTTTTTGATTAACATTTTCCTTTTTTTTTTGTTCGGTGAATTATTTTTTACTTGGATTATTATTCTTTTGGATAAATTTCTAATTTTTAATTTGTTAATTTAATTCTTTGTTCTTTAATTGAATTTTTTTATTGAATAAATTACTTTTTATTTGGATAAATTTCTAATTTAAAAATTGTAAATTTAATTATTTTTGTTGTTGAATTGAAATTTTTTGTCTTTGAATTTTATTTTCTTTTAGTTTGTAAATTTTCCTTTTGTTTGTATATTTTTTTTGTTTGTATATATTTTTTGTTTTTAAATTCGATTTAAATTGAATTCGTCGATTGAGGTATAGACAAATTTTTAACATAAAATGACAAAAAAAATAGTTTTAGATGAGAAAAAGAAAATGAGCAATTTTGAAATGATTCGGAGTTTTCGAGGTAGGCGAGAGATTGGCTTTGTTTTCTTTTTCGTACTAACATACTAAGGGATGCTGGTGTTTTGCTACTCGGAACAGTCTTCAGGACGGAATCGAGCGGCAGTTGACGCCACCCACACCTCCTCCAAGAAGGAACCCACCCCCGCCCGCAAATATTATTGTCACCGTCACAGCCACGACGACCGTCACGACCGTCACAACGGTGTCGACGAGCGTCACGACTGCAACGAGTACGACTTCATCGTCAACGACCGCAACAAGTCCCAGCCCTGCATCCTCCACGAATGGAGGTCCTGCAGCTTGTTACTATGCTTATGCGACAAGAGGATGCTGCGTCGATTGTGCAGTCTGGAACAATCACGGTATGACAAAAAAAATACTTTACCTAAATAAAAATACTTTTCATTTCCAAATTTCTTTTGTTTTCTTCTTTTAATATAGTTTTTTAATTCTTTTTCAGACTATTGTTTCTATATCAGTCGGAAAAAAAATTCACAGTTGCTGCGATGATGTACCACTGATTCTTTTTCACAAGAAAAAACAATTGGGAATTTTGTAAACATTATTTTGTAAAATTTAGTTTGTTTAATTTATTTTACAAAAATTATTTTACAAATAAATTTTTCCCCTGAATTTTTTCTTTAAAAGAATTTCAGTCGAAAAAAATTCAGAATTGCTGAAATTATGTACCATTGGTTCTTTTTCACAAGAAAAAAGATTTGGGAATTTTTGTAGAAATAATTTTGTAAAATTAAGTTTGTAAAATTTATTTTGTAAAATTTATTTTGTAAAATTAGGTTTGTAAAAATTGGTTTACAAAAATTATTTTACAAAACAATTTTTTTCCCATAAAAGAAATGTTTTATAAAAAATCTGGGAAACTTCCTCTATCGCAGCAACTGTGAAATTATATTGAAATCTTGTTGTGAATAATATTCTTCTATTTGAAAATATTCACTTAGAAGAAATTGAGATATTAAAAGAGAGTCTTTTGAATGGGAGAGAAATATTTTTTGATTTCCTCCTTTGATATTGTCCAATAGAGAGTAAATAATTTGTTCTTCGTTTCAAAGTGTTCATTCATAACTTCAAATCGTTCTTTTATTGTTGTGAATATTCTCGCTCTTTTTTCGTAGATATTTGTATCTGCAGAGAAAAATTTCACTTTGAATTAATTTAGTTTTTAATAATGAAGATAATTCAGTGAAAGATATTTTTTTATTCAAAAGTCTCTCTCTCTCTCTCTTTATCTTCTTTATTATAAAGAAAATATAAAATTTTTAAATAATCGATAGGAAATGAAACTAATAATAATTGAATAGCCGTAGTTGAATGCGATGACGATTCATCGGCTGAAAGTGCGTCCAGTGGATCAGGTAGAAGGAATGGCGATAGCGAAGGGTGGGTTCGACCACCAAGGAAATCATCGTCACGACGCTCGCGACAACGAAAACGAGACGCGGTTACTGGAAAAAGTTCTTCGTTTCGCCAAACCGGTAATGTTTCTCAACAAGCTGAATCAGGAACGGGAAATCAAGCCACCAGCGGTCGTACTGTGGCAAATGGTCTTAAATTGGCACAAACTCAGGCAATTGCCGTTGCTGGATTCCTGGCAGATGTCGATTCTCGACAGTGGAAGGTCTGTGATACTTGTTTTTCACATCGAGCTTCCTATCACGGCAGAGGTGACTAATTATCAAAAATTTTCTCCATTTTCATATACAACATTATTGTAGATATACTCATCTCATTTTCTTTGTCTTAAAAAGAATTATTGTTCTTTCTTACAAAACATGATTTTTTTTCTCAAGTAGATTTTAAATAATTTTTTGAAAATAATTTTTTTAATAATTCTTTTTGTAAAAAGTTGTTTCTATTATTCAAAGGCTTCGTACTCGTTCGACAATCGAAAAAAAGTACAGGGTTGCCACAAAAAATTAATTTTATTTTTCCCTAATTCCCAGACGAAATTTTGACTTTTTTCCTGATCCTAAAGAATATTCTGATTCACTCTAAAAATTATTAGATATTCAAAAAAATTTAATCATTATTATTTATTTACGAATTTCTTTAATTCTAAAATTATTCAAAAACATCAATAACTTCTTTTTTAAATATAATTATAAAACATGAAGATATCGAGCACTCAGAGTCTTCGACTCGAAGTGATCGCTATCTTCATGTTTTATATTAATTTAAACTTCTACAAAATTAAAAAAAAATAAATAAATTATTTACACAAATTTTCCTAGGATTTAAATTATTTTTAATACAATCTTAAATGAATTCCTCGAAAAATGTAATTATTTACAAGAATTTTTTGGAAGAATTCAATTACATTTCACAAATAATGAAATTCTACGCGAAATTCAAATATTTTCAAAATCTGCTATTTTAATAAAATTTCTCAAAAGAATTCAGTTATTTAAAAAAAGTATGTAATAAAATTCGTTGCAAGAATTCAATTATTTTCATAAATAAAATAAAATTCTTTACAGAATTTCAATTATTTTAAAGAACTATGTAATAAAATTCGTTGCAAGAATTCAATTATTTTTATAAATAATAAAATTCTTCACAGAATTTCAATTATTTAAAAAAAATGTAATAAAATTCGTTGTAAGAATTCAATTGTTTTTAATAATTTTTGCAAAAGTTCCTAGAGAATTCTTTAAATCTATTTGTTTATAATTCAATTTTACGAAATTTTGACTATTCGGAAATTCTTCAATTAAATATTTAGAAAATAAAAACTTGAAATAATTTCAAAAAAAAAATTCAATTAAACTTTTTCAAAATACAATTATTTCTAAAAATTCATGCTACAATGCTTTTATTATTCAATTATTATCTAAAATTTTTAACTGAAATTAATTTTTAAAACAATTTTTATTAGCGCCAATTCTACTAGAATTCAATTATTTAAATACAAAAATAAAAAAATTATTGAATAAATAAATGTTTTTCAAAATTTAATTCTCATAAAGAATTTTATCAACAAATTTTTAAATAAATGAATTTTTTCGACGACATTTTAATAAAATTTTCAAGAATAATTACATTTTTCGAAGAATTTGTTTAAAATTGTATTAAAAATAATTGAAATTCTATGATGAGTTTTATTAAATAATAAAATTCATTTAATCAATTATTTAAACAATTATTTTTGTGAATATTCATAAAAATAATTGAATTTTTGTAAAAAATTTTATTATTTATGAAAATAATTGAATTATTGCGAAGAATTTTACTATTTATAAAAATAATTGAATTTTTCCGAAGAATTTATTAAAATTTTAGGAAATAAATGAATTTTATGTAAATATTTAAAAATAATTTAATTCTTTTGAGAAATTCTATTAAAATTGTTTTGAAAAGAATTGAATTTCTGCAAAGAATTTTACTATTTATAAAAATAATTGAAATGATCGAAGAATTTATTAAAATTTTAGGAAAAATTGAATTGTTTTGAATAATTTTATAGAAATATTTGAAAATAATTAAATTCTTTCGAGAAATTCAATTAAAGTTATTTTGAAAATAATTGATTTTCTGTAAGAAATTTTATTAAAACTAAGCATATTCAAAATAATTGTATTCATCAGAAGAATTTCCTTATTTTTTTAAAATAATTGAATTCTTTCAAATTTTTTTTTACAAATATATTTAAAAATTGCATTGAAAGTAATTTAATTTTCATGTAGAATTTTTTTTTAATATTTTGAGAATAATTGAATTATTTTTAGAGAATTTTAAATTCTTGTTGAAATTGAATTTTATGAAAATTTTTGAAAATAATAAAATATTCTTTGGTGTAATTTTATTTAAAATAAAACTCATATAATTCCTGCAAAGAATTTTAGTATATTTATAAAAATAGTTGAATTGTTTCGAAGAATTTATTAAAATTTTGAGAAAATAATTGAATTTTATTGAAAAATTTGAAAATATTTGAATTTTGCCGAGAAATTCAATTAAAATTGTTTTGAAAAGAATTGAATTTCTGCAAAGAATTTTACTATTTATAAAAATAATTGAAATGATCGAAGAATTTATTAAAATTTTAGGAAAAATTGAATTGTTTTGAAGAATTTTATAGAAATAATTGAAAATAATTAAATTCTTTCCAGAAATTCAATTAAAGTTCTTTCGAAAATAATTGAATTTCTGTAAAGAATTTTATTAAAATTAAGCATATTCAAAATAATTGTATTCATCAGAAGAATTTTTTTATTATTTGGAAGCAATTGAATTCTTTAAATTTTTTTTATGAATATATTTAAAAATTGCATTGAAAGTAATTTAATTTTCAAATAGAATTTTTAAAAATATTTTGAGATTAATTGAATTATTTTTCAAGTATTTTAAATTATTGTTGAAATTGAATTTTATGGAAATTTTTGAAAATATTTAATTTCTTTCGTGTAATTTTATTTAAATTGGATTAAAAATAATTTAATTCCTGTAAAAAATTATGAATCCTACAAATTTAATTTTTTCCAGTACATTAATAAAAATTCCTGACTTTTTCCTGATTTCACTGACCTGTGGCAACTCTGAAGTAGCAAAAAGTAGAATTAAGACTGAAAAGAAGTACATACAGCAAAAAAGTAATTATCAAAAAATTAAATTTGACGTCTAAAAATCTTCTTTTAGTCAATTCAATCTGCAAAAAAAAATATTTTATTCAGGGTTATCACAAAATTTTATTAAAATATTTTCGTGATTTCCAGGAAGAATATTAACTTCTTTCCTTATCCGGCTAATTCTAAATTTTTCTCAAATTAAATTTGTTCCAAATTTTTAGTTAGAATTGTGCAAAAATACGATTATTTTTCAATTTTCAAAAATTTCCTCTGTATTTCTATACATTTTGAAGAAAATAAATATTAATTTTATTTTAGCAGATTTTTGAAAAAAGTAGGCAGCTTTTAGTGGCACAAATTAAAAAAAAGTATAGTAAATTTTAGGTTTTAGTAGATGAGTGCGAAGCCTAAAACTATAATAATTTTTAGAAATTTTAAAGATTTTTAGATATTTTTATAAATTCCGCAGAAGTTAAACTTTGTTTATTTGCAGGATTATGAAAAGAAATCTGTATTTTGTATTTTGTAAAATTTGATTTCAGTTTATTTTGTCTGTTTTCAGGATTAGTGAAAAAAATATTTATAATTGATAAATTTATGATTTTTATTTGTTTTCAGGATAGTATTGAAAAAATTGAATATTTATAATTTGAAGATATTCACGGGAGTAGTATTCATACCCTGCTCAAATTTCCCTTTATCATTTTCTTCCTATTTTTTGTTTTCTTTTTTGCTTTCAGTTCGTTTTTGTTCCGTGTATTACTATTTTTGCATGTGCTTTTTTGAGCTGGCTTTGCAGCTTTGTGGAATTAACAAATAACCAACTTGTTCGTTTTCTTAAATAAGATTAATCTCCTACTATTCGCTCTCTCATTAGCTTTTTGAAAGAGAAAATTGTATTAAAAATATTTATTAATAATTAACATTTATTTATACTATACTACACATTTATTTATTATTGCAATTTAATTTATTAATAGATGAAAATTAAACCGAATGTGTATTTTTAATAATATATATATGTTAATTAAAATTTCTTTAATTGCAAATTGTGTTTAAGAGAAATTAATACTAAGAATGGTAAGAGGCTGAACTTATAATGAGAAATAGTGTATGAAAATAATTTAGAAATGTATTTTAATTGAATTTTTCGTTCATTAGTTTCTTGGGCTGGAGAAAGTAATGGCAGTGTTGGTACAGAGCGATTGTCGCACAGCTTGCCCGGAAGTCCCGCTGATCGGAAACCGAATTTTGAAGTTATTGGAAGTGCCGAGAGTCTCGTTGGTCGGGTACGTTTTTAATTGACGACCGCAGGACAATGAATTGAATTATCAGGAAATTCAAGGCAAAGTCAGGGATTTTTTATTAAAAGCATTGGAAAAAATTTAATTTTTAGAATTCATAAGAAAATTTTGAATTTTGATGTCTTTTTTTGTTCGACGCATAAACTATGAAATTACCACGAACTCTAATACAAAACGTTCAAATTTTTCTATTTTTGACAAAAAATTCTCTTAATAAATTCATTTTTTAAGAACTATCATAACATTATTATTCATAAATAATTTAATGAATAATTTTACTTAAATATTGAAAACTTAATTGAATTTTAAAAGAGTTGCGCTTACAATTTTCACAAATAAATTAACTTCAAAAGGTTTCAATTTAAAATTTTATAAAATTTCAATTTTGAATGAATTTAATTAGAAATTTTAAAGAATTCAGCTTTTTGAAAAATTTTAATAATTCAAATTCTTCTGATATTATAGTTAAATTTTTTAATATAGATATATATATATATATTTAATTACCTAATTATTTAAAATAATGAATTTATAGAAGAATTTTAATTAAAAACACTAAAAAAATTGAATTTTCTAGAAGTTTGATTGCAGAAATTCAATTTTTTTAAAAAGGAAGAAAATTCATAACAGAAATTCAATTATGTTCAAAATTTTTTAAAAATTCTCGTCAAATTTCAATTATCATCTTTATAAATAATAAAATTCTTCTATAAAATTAAATTATTTTCAAAAAATTTCCTCAATTCAATGATTTTTAATATCTACTATGTTAATAAAATTTTCCAAAAGAATTCAATTATTTAAGAAAAAATTTAATAAAATTCTACGCAAACATTTAATTATTTTCAAAAATAATAAAAATTTCAGAGGAATTCAATTATTTACAAATTTTTCGTAAATTTCTTAGCAATAATTCAATTATTTATATAAATATATTAAAATCTTTTTTTAGGAATTTAATTATTTTCAGCAATAATAAAACTCATCACAGAATTTAAATTATTTTTGATACAATTTTAATTGAATTTCTCGAAAAACGTATTTGTTCTTAGAAATTTTATTAAATTTCTTCGAAAGAATTCAATTATTTAAAAATTTGTTGATAAAATTCATTATGAGAATTCAATTTTAACAAAAAAATTAAAAACAAATTTTTTGTATTTAAATAATTGAATTTCTTCAAAGAATTTTACTATTTATAAAAATAATTGAAATGATCGAAGAATTTATTAAAATTTTAGGAAAAATTGAATTGTTTTGAAGAATTTTATAGAAATAATTGAAAATAATTAAATTCTTTCCAGAAATTCAATTAAAGTTCTTTCGAAAATAATTGAATTTCTGTAAAGAATTTTATTAAAATTAAGCAAAATAATTGTATTCATCAGATGAATTTCCTTATTTTTTTAAAATAATTGAATTCTTTCAAATTTTTTTTTACAAATATATTTAAAAATTGCATTGAAAGTAATTTAATTTTCATGTAGAATTTTTTTTTAATATTTTGAGAATAATTGAATTATTTTTAGAGAATTTTAAATTCTTGTTGAAATTGAATTTTATGAAAATTTTTGAAAATATTAAAATATTCTTTGGTGTAATTTTATTTAAAATTAAAACTCATATAATTCCTGCAAAGAATTTTAGTATATTTATAAAAATAGTTGAATTGTTTCGAAGAATTTATTAAAATTTTGAGAAAATAATTGAATTTTATTGAAAAATTTGAAAATATTTGAATTTTGCCGAGAAATTCAATTAAAATGGTTTTGAAAATAATTGAATTCTTGCAAAGAGTTTTACTTATTCATAAAAATAATTGAATTGTTTCGAAGGATTTATTACAATTTTAGAAAATAATTGAATTCTTTTGAAAAATTTTATAACGAATTTTAAGAAAAAAATTAAATTCTTTCATGAAATTTTAAATTGAAAATAATTAAATTTTTGCCAAGATTTTACTATTTAGAAAATAATTGAATTGATTAGAAGGATTTATTAAAATTTTAGAAAATAATTGAATTGTTTTGAAGAATTTTATAGAAATATTTGAAAATAATTTAATTCTTTCGAAGAATAATGTTATTATTTATAAAAATAATTGAATTCTTGCGAAGAATTGTGTTAAAATTTTTGACAATATAAACAATAATAATTAGTTTAGAAAGAATTATTAAAATTTTAGAAAATAATTGAATTCTTTTGTGAAATTTTATTAAAATTTTGTTAAAAATAATTGAAGTTTTGCAAAAAACTTTTCTATTTTTAAAAATAATTGAATTCTTCCGAAGAATAATATTATTTTTGAAAATAATTGAATTCTTGCGAAGAAGTATATTAAAATTTTTGAAAATATAAACAATAATAATTCATTTTGTACTCAATATGTGAATTTTTATAATTTTGGTTAATGAAATTATTTTGAAATTGATATTTGAAAATAAAAAATTTTGTAATTTGCATAACAATAATAAATTGAACACCACGTTCCATATCATTTACTAGTTCTTATAATAAAAAATAATGATTTTATCAATCGGTCATCTTTAATTATTATAAAACATGAAGACATCGATTGCTCCGAGTCGAAGACTCGGAGTGATCGGTTTCTTCATGTTTTATAACAATACTTCTATTCTATTCTTTTTTTATATATACTTTTTTATAAACAGTTTTTTTTTTATTAAAATACTTTTATAAGTTTGTCAAACAATATTTTTTAAAGAAAAAAAAAATACATTTTGCTAAGAATGTAAAATTAATTAAAAGAATATGTTCTTGAGATTGATTATTGGATTTATTTTAGGTGCTCGTAGAACAAGGTTTAGGGAAATATTGTGATCCCGATTTTGTAAGATACACGTCAAAGGAGATGCAGGAGGCGATGGATATGACACGAGAGGAAATGGACCGAGCGGCTCATCAATTGTTACTTCAAGAGCGACGAGGACAACCGTTGACGTTTCAACTTCAACAGGGAATGGATCAACATTGGAACTCGTCGTTTCATCAGGGTCAACAACCAGCAATTGGTTATGAGCCGCTTCAGGAGCAATCGGCTCCGCCTCAAGTTCAACAGCAGTATCAAACCTATCAGCAACAACAGCAGCATCAGCAGCAACCTCCGTCTTAGCACTAGTGAAAACGCGCGAAGCGTGTTTCTTCAAACCTATCTCTTTGATGGAGCCGGATAAGAAATGAATCCGGATTTTTTGGGCTACTCTTTTCGTTACAGTGTAACCCAAGAGGAAAAAAAAGATCGTCATTCGTGTTCATCATACACTCTCAATTCCAGAAAAAAAAATGGTAAATTGATATTTGATGATCGAGTGATATTTTTGTTTTTTCAAAATCGTCTATCGAAATTGACGATAATTTATTTAAAAAAAAAAAGGAACCGAAAAAGTTACATGAAGTAACTTTTTTTTACTGTGAAGTGTTCGATTTTGGATATCGAACTTTTATTGTGGTTGTTATGGAGAACGAGATAAGAACGTTTAATTGCCTGAAAAAAAAGAACAAGGACATTAAAAATTGTTGAAAGGGATTTAAATTTCTAAGTTCGTCAACAACAAGCTCGTTTTGTCAAGATGTCAAGGAAAGGTACCCTGTTCCATGGATCATCGAAAAGATCAGGTATTCTTTTTAAAGTGGTACATAAAATATTTGCAAAAAAAAATAACCCTTTTTAGAGAATTTGACGAACGGACCGAGCTTTCTAACAGCAACGTATTTTGTACCGTTTTTTAAAATCATAATTCGACCAAGAGCGTAGTTAAAAAATAGGACTGTTAAATCGTTATTAACTCGCCAAGTTGCGTGTTAATGTTCGTATTAAAGAAAAAAAAAAGTAATAATAATTGATTCACGGACTTTGCTGGTTCTTTCAACATTAAAACTTCGACGTCAGTAGATTTACATTTTCTAAATAACGTTTCTAATATCATTCAACACCCTCTCCAATATAGTCTCGTATTGCTCCAAAAGGTACAAAAGAAAAATTATTTCACCATGTAATATAAAAAAAAAAAATAATACACCCATCGCCATAGGGTGTTGTGTAAAATATTCAATTTTCTCCTCATCATCAAACAAAAAACGTCAATTTTAAATACGATATATAAAATTAATTTTCCCAAAGAAGAAAATTTTTCAACTTTTTCCGCTTTCTTTTTTCTACACTGCACGCTATTTACCAACGGGCTGAATGAAAACGCATTACAAAAATTGAAAAAAAAATGAATTAACATACGTTTGTTGATAATACACAATTAAATTCTATAAACAAAATTTTATCCATGTAAATAGAAGACTATTAAAAAAATTGACTATTAGAAACGAATTAAATCAGGAAAAATCAAATTAGAAATTAATCAAAGAAATTATAAAAAAAATTAATTTATCAAACTTAGGTGTAAAATATTGAGTTATTAATTAAAATGTTGATAAATCGAATTTGGTCTTCTTTTCTAAAATAATTATAACCGAATCTTCTTCTACATTAATAATAATAAATTTTTAGTAAAATAATTGAATTTTGAAAATTTTTCAAATTAAAATCTTTATAAAAATCTGAATTTTTAATACTTTTAACAAACAATTCTGTATAATTATTTCTTTTTTTAAAAGTTTAGTTGAATTTTTTTGCAATTATTTAAAGTTTTTATTTTTGAATATATATTTAATTGAAGAATTTTCATAAAATCGAAATTTCCTAAAATTGAATTGTAAACAAGTGAATTTGAAAATTTTCAAATTTTTTTTTGCAGAGATTCAATTGTTTTCATAAATAATAAAAATCTTTTTTGGAATTCAATTATTTTTATAAATAAAAAAATTCTTCGCAGGAATTCAATTATTTTTAATACAATTTAAAATTTTTAAATGTAATTATTTTCAAAACATTTATTAAAATTTTTCGAAAGAATTTAATTATTTAAAAATTTGTTGATAAAATTCTTTATGAGAATTCAATTTTAAGTTTTTAAAATAATCTTCTTTGTTATTAATTGAAATTAAACATTTAATTATTGAATTTATTGAAATTTTAGAAAATAATTGAACTCTTTTGAAAAATTTTATCACAAATTAAGAAAAAAATTAAATTCTTTCGTGAATTTTTTTTTGAAAATAATTGATTTTTTGCAAGGATAATATAATATAATTGAATTGTTTTGAAGGATTTATTAAAAGTTTAGAAAATAATTGAATTTTTGCAATTAAAAATAATTGAATTTTTACGAAGAACGTTATTATTTATGAAAATAATTGAATTTTTGCGAAGAATGTTATTAAAATTTTTGAAATTAATAAACAAGAAAAATTAATTAGTAAATTAGTGAATAATTGAATTTTTTACAGTTTGCATATAAAATTATTAAAAAATTTATTTTTGAAAAAAAAATTTGTAATTTGCATAATAATGAATTGAATATCACGTTTCGCGCGTAATATAATAATAATTAGTAAATTAAAAACTGTAAAAATGTTTTATGATAAACAAATTGTTACAATATGTGACAAATAGAAAAATTTTTGTAGAAAAAATAAAGTATATTTACGTTAACATGTACACAAACATATATTGAAGTTCTTTATTTTATGTGTTAATTATATGTTAATCATTATGTTAAAATATATAGTAATATTAATATTGTTTAAATAATTTGATGAGTTGATTAAAATTTTATAATAAGAATCGAAGTGATCTTATTTATAATAAAAAATAATAATTTATAGTAATAATAAAGAAAGAGTAATGCGCTTTTATTCCCCGGGTAAATTTATTCATAATCAACATAAACGAATCGTCAAGACTATAAATTAAGCGACAAATCAGATACTTTATAAAATAAAATTCGTAATACAGAATTAAAAGTACTCGATCTCTTGATATGTTTGAAAATTTTATGTCACAAGTAAATCAAGACATTTTCTCAGAGATCGAGAATTAAAACTTCAATGCTTATTACGATATTGAATTTTATTACTAATTTTTAAAAATAAAAATTTGCAAATATTTGAGAGTGAAAATATTTGAAGTTTGTAGGGGAATGTAGTCAAGGTTGGTCTATTGTCTAGGTAGGCCATCGCGATTTTTTGGACAAGTTCACTAGCGCCACCTACGCGCTTGCTTGTCGAAGCTTGTCTTAGTAAAACCTAACTTTTTGTTCAATTACATTTTCGGAGGATCGAAAATTGTGTTTTCTGTGACGTCGGTACAAAAAAAGCTGAAAAAAAGTTTTGTGCATAATGTGAAAAACCAATAATAAAAGATAAAAAACAAATTGAATCGTCAAGGCAAGTATGCAGAAAATTTGTGGGACTCATGGTTGAAAGGAAATCGAATCCCAAAACGTATTTCTTTATGGTTACAACAATTCGGTAATGTTACTTACTGTCAAGGTCGGCCACTATGTGTTTAAAATGCGCAAAGATGAGGACGAGCTACTTCATTTGCAAAAACTGCAATTCTGTATAACTCATAATATAATTGATCATCTTATTAATATTTTTATTTAATTTTATTAATATTTCAGTGCAAAATTTTTTTTTATTTATATTTATTTTTTTATATTGTTTATTTTTATTATTTTGTTATTTCATTAAGTTACAAACTGTAAACAATAAAGAATCAATTTTCCGTAACTCCAAACATGTTATTTTATTTTTAAAGATTAATGCCCTTTGAATTTTAAACATGGCCGACCTTGACTGTAATGGCCAACCTGGACTACAAATTTTTTTTTTTTTAAATCTTTATAACTTTTTCATTTTTAAACCTGTCAATTTACTTTGTACAGAAAAAATGTTCCTATTAAACAGGACTTTCCAACCATATACTTCAATTGTCCAAATTCATTTTTAAAAAAAAGTTATAAACAAAAGTCAAAAAGGTGGCCGACCTAGACTATGTTCCCCTACTGTTTAGAAAGCAATTATTTACAATTATTAAAAAGAAATGGTTTAATATTTTTTTTAATTTTAATAATTAAATTTCAATTTAACAATTTAACGCAAGTAAAATTTTTTATTGTTACTTCAAAAAATTTTCTTACTTAAAATTCAATTTTTATGATTTCATTTCAATTATACTGTCATAAAAGGCATAAATAAAAATATAAATAAAATAGTACCTAATAGTAAGGAAGGAATAATATTGTGTTTGTAAATTTTATTTTAAAAAATAGTTGTTTTTTAAACTTTACAAACTTCGTAATTAAATGCATAATATATTAAATAAAAAGCAGTATTGTATAGACAAATTGTTTTTACAAAACTTGTTAATGGAAAGAATTTATGAAATTTCCTCAATTTTTTAAACATTGTTATTCTTGATTTTTGTATGTAAAAAAATGGTCCCAATGGAAGCTTCTTCACGGATTTTGCAAATAGAATATTAACCAATTTTTTCTTTCGTTAAAAAATACAATTTTATTGTTATAAATTGTTATAAATATTCAAATTATATTCATTAATAAGAATTATTTCAAATTAATTATATAATTAATTGAATAATTAATTTAATTTTTTTTTCATTAATTTAATTACACTAATCTGTCAACAATTAGTCAAAGAAAAAATTGATCAAGTTTGTTTTTAACAGGGTTGCCACAAAAATTTGATTTTATTTCAAGATTAAACAATAATTAAAATTAATAAAACAAAATTGATTTGAATCCGAATTTTAATTATTTTAATGACTTCTTCTTTGTAGAATTTAAAAATTAATTTTTAGAAAGTTCGTATCACTTTTGTTTTTATTAGTTTAAATCTTTAATAATTCAATTTAATTATTTTTTTGAATTTTATTAATTAGCCAAATTAATCATATTAATATTAGACTTGGAAAAAAATTAAATTAATGAAATGTGTAAAAATTGAGAAAAAAAAACGTTAAATCAGTGAACAAGCTCATTGTCTCTTATTATTTGCTGTTTTGTAAGACGGATCATAGATGAGATAACAAGTGCCTAAGTATCTAATATAACTTCTTTCGGACCAGCGAAGACTTTTATCAACCTAGTCAAAGTATGATTATTCGGGTGCGCGACTCGATTTGTTAAGTACTATTGTATATTGTGTACATCACGCGTACTATTCCAAAGAAGTGAATGACTCAATGTCAATATGACAAGAAACATTCTAATTCAAATAATTTCAAAAAACCCAAAAAAAAGAAATAATAATAATAATTCCAGTGCAATTCGTAATATTATTGTAATAAGCAAAAACTTCTCCAATAACTTTGATGATCAAACAATTTTCAATAAACAAAGAAAAATATTTTCATAAATAATTTTGCCATATTTTAATAAATAATTATTTATTTTAATTAATTAACTAAAATAAATAATTCTTATTTGCTGTTTGTTCGCTAATTTTTAATATATTTATTAACAATGAAAATTATTTTCTATTAATTTTTTCAATGTAAAAAAAAAATGAAAAAAAAACTTTTGTACAAAATTGTTTTCACAAAATATAAAAATTGTTTTCATTTTATTTTCTCCAGTATAATATTTCTAATTTTTCCATAAAGTTAATTAATTTTGTATTTTATAGATTAAAAGTGGAAAAAAATAATTTGAAAAAAAATTCCGAAGAGTATTTTAATCGCAGCAAAGGCAATAATTTTGCTAAATGATTGAATTTGATTTGTCTAATTTAATTTTAATAATATAACATTTTTTTTATTTTTATTCACGATTGATTCTGTTTTTTGATCATCGAAGAAATGAAAATATAATGAAAGAAGTTGTAATGAATACCGTAAAACATCCATGAAAATTGAATAAGAGTATACATTATCGATGGACATTTGTGTCTCTATTCAATTTCAAATTTTTTGACTCTAATAAATAATTAAGTTAATAAAAGATTTCAAACACGAAATCGAGAATGAAAAACAAATAGACTTCGTTAAAAAAAAAATTGTACATTATTGTTCGAAAACAATCTTATTCCTATATTAAATATAGACTGTGAGTTTCGTAATTCATTTTTTTTTTAACACGTCTTTCTTACCAGGATATCTAGGAATCGTTTTTACATAATTTATTTATTCATAGAGAAAAAGATATTAAACAAAAATCTAGAGATCGCTCTGGTATAATAATTGGCTCTTTCACAAAGCAGCGAAAATCAATTTAGAAAAAAAATAAAAGTTAATTTTTTATTCAAATGCTGCAAATTTATTTTCTCTGAAAAAAAACAGTGAATTTCAACGAAGAGGTGCAAATTAAAAAGTTTTTTAATAATCGATAAAATGTCCAGTATTTTTATGGAAATTCAGTGCGTGATTTTTCAGCTTTCATCTAACCGCAAAGTAGAAAACATTTCGAATTTTTCACTAAAATAAAAAATAATAACAAAATATTATAAAGTTTAAAATAGAGCACAATTATTTATAGTATTTTTACTCCTCTTTTTACTTGTCTTTTATCTTTTTATAATTATTTTCTCTACACAAAACAAAAAAAGTAATATAATTCTGGAATGAAATTGAACTCCCATTTTAAAATTGATTATATATTTCAAACTTATAAGTCTGATTTTTAAAAAATATACATTATACAAATTGCTCTACGTTTTAATGCGCACTTTTTGTCACATTATTATTATTACTAATTATTATTATTATTATTATTATTATTATTATTATTATTATTATTATTATTATTATTATTATTATTATTATTATTATTGTATATTCAAAATACGTGTTTATCAGAAGTCTCAATTTTCGCTCTTTACGATTTTTAAATAATTATCTATAAATTATATTTCTTGCATTTTATTTCGCTGTTATTTTCCAATGAAACATAATATAATTAATGACCAATTTTAAAAGCACAAAATACTTTTAATGACAATTTAACATTTGGATAAATCGAAAAATTGATTAGCAAACATTTTTCTATTTTATATATATGTAATAATAATTAGAACAGAAAATATAGATTTTGCCACTTCTTCTGACGAAAATCACAAAATTAAGACTAATTTATTTTTACAAAAGTGTTTCATTGAACGAGATTTTGTTAAATTGTATAAAAATAATAAAAATTTGATTTCAATTTTAATGGCAGTGATATTCATGAAATAGAAAATGTATTTAAATACAAATTTTTATATACATATAGATAAAATAGAATTATTTATTTAAAAATAAAATTTAATCGCAGCGATTCATTGTATTTTTTTTTTTTTTTTGAAAAACAATGAATTTTTATATCTACCACAAAATTTTCTATATAGCGAAAGTTTATCCAATTTTTTAATTTTCAAAACAAAATCTCATTCGAGAGACTCTTCTTTATATTCTGCCGTCAATTTTGTAATTCTGTACCTTAAAAAAAAATTCTAACGCGATAATTACATGTCGCAAAAAATAGCACAAAACGTTTTTTAAAAAAATAAGGTGACGACCAAAGAGTTCTGTTAAAAAAATTGGACAGATTTAAATTTACAAGAAACTAATTTTTAATTACGATAAATTGAAAATGAAATTATTAATTCCAATAATTTAATTTCAAAATTCATTATTTATCTCCGTCCAGTTTTTTTCTTTTCAAACAGAGTACATTTAACATTGTTAATATTTTAGCACTCGAGAAGAAAAACCATTTATTATAAAACTCCAAACAGCTTTTATCCCATAATTGAGAAATTCAATAATTAAATATCAACGATCACTTTAAAATGAGCTGCAAAGTTTCTTACGGCACGCACTTATTAACATTCCAAAATTTTTGTACAATAAAACTAAAAAAAAAAATAAAAAGAAAATTTAACTTGTAAAAACAAATATACATTTCTAAGAAAGACTCATATTTGAAATTTGTAAAAAATAATAATAATTCTAATGAAAAAAAAAGAAAGGAAAATTGCTCTACCACTTAAGGCACATGTACAAAGTGTGTGTAAGAAGCTTCTCATAATAATTTCAAAATAATTCAATTCTCTAGATTCTCTTTGACCGCAACAAGTTGTGCGTCCCATGGAAACAATGTGGCACACGAAACGACATTGAGATATTTTCGTAAGAACCATTGTTGATTAAAAGCCAGTCCATTAATGAGATTCAAATCATTATAAATTCATCTTGAGTCTCAAATTTTTGATAGCGACACAAATTTTTCATTATTTCGAATTTGCTCAAAATGTAGAAACTGAAATTAAATAATTTAGATAATAATAATAATTTGTTTATTATAAATAAAATAGAATAAATTTTAATGTCCATTGTTAGATACAAAAACTTTCTGTTTGAAATTTAATAAAAATTTATTATTTGAAAATATTTTTCGAAATGTAAGTCTTCAAAAATACGAATACAATTTCAAAGTAATTTTTAAAAGGAATTAAATTAAATTCTGTCAAATATTACATTTATTTCAATGAAATCATCAATAAAGAAATTTTAATTACAATTTTCCAAAAACTTAATTTTTTTTAGAATGTCTACATTAATTTATTCAAAACTTCAATCATTTTTTTAAACAAATATTTAAAAACTTATTGTTATTTATTTTAATTGAATTTTAAATAATTTTAATGTAAAGCCTTTTGAAATTTAATAAAATCAATTTTAATTAAAATTCATCGATAATTGAATTATTTAAATAAAAAAAAAATACAACATTTTTTGGAAAATTAATTATTTTCGAAATTTTTAGTCACAATTTTTCAAAAAATATAATAATAATTAAAAATAATTTTTGAAAGTGAGGAAATAAAATTCTTTGAGATATAAAATTTATTTATTTATTTTAATAACATTTGAGAAAAACTATTTATTCAATTTTTTAAAAATGTTTTCGCAAATTTAATTTTCAAAAAATTTTAATTACGACTTTTTAAAAACCTTATTCTCTCAGAATTTCTAAATAAAATGTTTTAAATTTCATTAATTTTTGGTTAATAAATATTTAAATACTTATTGTTATTTATTTGTCCATCTGGAATTAAAATTTCAAAATACTTTCAATGCAAAACCCTTAAAAATTAATCACAAGAATTGAATTATTTTCAAGACAATTTTAATAAAATTTTGTTATAAAAATTTAATTATTTTCAAAAATTTAAATAGAAATTTTAAATAGAATTCAATTATTTTTTGAATTTTTATTAAAATTTTGTTATAAAAATTCAATTATTTTCAAAAATTTAAATAGAAATTTTAAATAGAATTCAATTATTTTTCTTGAAATAATTCAATTATTTTTTGAATTTTTAATAAAATTCGAAAAATTTCAATTATTTATCAATATTTTTTAATTCAATTTTTCAAATTGAATAGAATTCAATTATTTCCAATAGAATATTAATAAAATTTTTTTAAACAATTGAATGATTTTTAAAATTTTATTGAAATTCTTCGCAAAAATTCAATTATTATTTTCTAAAATTTTAACTGAAATTCCTTTTCAAATTAATTCTTATCAAAAAATTGTACGAGAATTCAATTATTTAAATACAAATATATGAAAAGAAAATAATTGATTATGTTTTTCAAAAATTGTAACTTTCACTCTGGATTTTTAAAAATTTTTAGATAAGAAAGACAGAATATCTCTATTATTATACATAATAAATAAATAATTATTTTTTAATAAATTAATTTTTTCTTAAATAAAATTTTTATTTTACTAAGAACGATTTTTGAATAAAGAGAAAAGTGTAAATTAATTTATTTTTAACTATAAGAAAATGTAAAAAAATATAAATAAATTTGAAAACATTTTCTGAATACAATAAATAATTATCTTTAATCTCTGTGTCGCTATCAAATTTAGACTTTCTCTTGTATATATTTGGTAGAAATTGTAAAGAGCAGTGAACGTTACCCATTCAGTTAATGTATAAAAAAACGAAAGTGAAAAGAAATGAAAAAATACGATTAAAAGAATGAAATAACTGAATGTTTTTACGTGCGGGTGCGTGAAAAAAAGAGAAGCGCACATAAAAAAAATGTACCTACAATGTCACGCACATATTCGAAAATCGTAAACTGCCGACGTTTATCTTCTATTTTTCTTTTCAATTGACAATAGATTGAGTTCTTTTTTTTATCTCCCTAGATTTAAAAAAAAAAAATTAGGGAACTCAAATAAACAATCGATCAATATAAAATTTAAACAATAATTTTAGTTCACTATATTTTTCTTGTTATTAAATTTACATTTTATTATTTAAAAGAAAAAACAAACAAATTTTCGAGGGGATTACGCTGAAGGAACTGTGAATAGCATTTTGTCGAATACGAAAAAAAAAACTAACACAAAACTTGTTGTTGTTGATGTTGTTGTCGAAAATGTGTCAAATTAAAATATAAGGATTTCAACTATCTTATATAACTGTGTATTATTTTGTATAAAAAACATATTATATTATGAATCCATTAAAAGAAAGTTCCTCTTTTTTCTGAAAACATTTTCAATTGTTCAATGTAACAATTTCCCTATTTTTCTTTTCTCGTCAATTTCAATATTTTTTTTAAGGTAATTAATTAATTTTTTGTCAACACTTGAAATAATTGTCATAAATTGAAAATAATTCGTAGATTTCCATAGTAAGAAATTTATCACTTTGTCAAAATAGTCTTTTTAGCTGGAAATTTTTGTTACAAAAAAATAAATTGATTATCACATTCTAATTTCATTTGAAAAAAAAAATTTTAAAATCAAAGCTTTCAGGTGAGAAAGCAAAATTATGTTTTTTAATTTAAAAAAAGAATTGTTTCCAAGCGCTTTAGACTTCTGATGTTAAAAAAAAATTCCATATCAACACTTTTTTCTTTTTACTATTTAAAGTATCGAAATAAGCAATGTCGCGTTATTATTGAAATTTTCTTACTCGCGGGAAAATTTCATTTTTTTTTGTATAAAGCATCTGCGGTCTCGTGGACAATGATCGCATATATAACACTTTTCATTTTAAATGTCATTTGAATTAAATAATTGCGATTCATTCGCAGTGTTTGCAATTGAGAATAAATTCTATTACTCCCTAGGAGGAAACGACATCCACCGGTAATGCTTTTTTCTTTGTCATTTAATAAATTATAGGACAATTCTAATTTTAAATAAAAGTTAACATTATTTTAAATCTTGAGCGGCCTTCTTTGCTTTAACAAGTTCTACCAATTCCTGCAAATAAAAAATTAATGAGTTTTCAATTAAATGAATTAAAGAATTTGATAAATTTTCAAGTAATTAAACTAATTAAAATAATCACAAGCCTCAGATAATATTTTTTTACTATTCTCAAGAAATCCGCCTTTTTCGACTTATTTTCAAAAAATGTCTTTTTTCACTTTTTTGGTATAAAATAAAAATTATTTCGATTTGCTTATTGTGTGAAAAATAATTGTAGTAAAATTTTTTCAAAAATTATTCTGAAATATTTTTTTTTAAAACAATTAAATTTTTGACTGATGCAATTTAAAAATTTTTAAATAATTGAAATTTTGTAAAATTTTATTGAAAATAATTGTCTTTTTCTCTATTTCATTAAAAATTTTAAAAATCAAATTTTGAAGAATTTTCATCACAAAATTTTGAAAATAATTGAATTGTCAAAATTTTTAATGAATAATCTTCAAAAAAAAATTATAAAAGTAGAAATTAATAAAAATTAGCTTCAGAAAATTATATTAAAATATTTTTAAAAAAAGTAATTCAAGGAACTATTTTTTAAAATTCAATTATTTTCAATATTTTTAATTACATATTTCCAAAAATTTAAATAGCTTCAAAAAATACATCAAAGTTTTTTTTTTAGAATTATTATTAAAATTTTGGAGAAAACAATCATCTTCAAAATTTTTAATTAAAATTCTTCAAAAAATTAACTAGTTTCTTATATTATCCAAAAATACGTTTAAAAAATTCCAAACTTTCTGGAATTTTTATTATTTCATTACTTTTAAAAAATACAATTGCAATTCTTTTAAATTTTAATTATTTTCTAGAATTTCTAATGAAAATCATTTAAAAGTTTAATAATTTGTATCAACTAAAATTTTCAACACTTTTTCAATAAAAACCTTCTAAAATTTAATTATTTCTAAAAATTGCTATTTTCACTTCTCCAAAATTTAATAATTATTTTCTAGAATTTTTAACAATAAAATTCGTCTCTAAATCAATTATTTTTTTATAATTTTGTAAAAATTCTTTACAAATTTAATTATTCAAGAAAAATAATGTTCACTTAAAATTTGTCTAAAATCCAATATTGTTTTCAATTCAATTTTACGAAATTTCGATTATTTGAAAATTTTTCAAGTGAATATTTGAAAATTAAATAAATTTCAAACAGAAACATTAATTGAAATTTTTCAAAAACTGAATTGTTCAGAATTTTTCAATTTTATTGCTTCTAAAAATTGTTATTATAACTTTTTTCAACTTTCAATTATTTTCTATAATTTTTAATTATAATTTTTCTATAATTCTGTAAATCAATTACTTTGAATAATTTTGAGCCAGTTGTTTAGAGAATTCAATTTTTAAATTCAAAAATTCAATTTTTTATGGACTAAAGACTTGCAAAAATTAAAAAAAAATTTAGAAGAAAAGATTTGACTATAATTATTTTTCACCTTTTAAAAATGAAAATAAGTAGCATTTTATACCAAAAATATGGTATTTTGTTGTAATTTGAGAAAGAAAAAACGAAATACTCGCAGTTTATTGAAATAAATCGAAAAAAGTCGTCATTTTGAAAATAGTCGGAAAAAATCTAAAAACTCGTCAGAGTTTGACGAGTTTTTTTAGTATATTTTGTTTTTTATTTGCCTTCGGAAATGACTTTCCAAAGCAATTATTGAAATAAATTTTCAAACAATTAATTTTTTTGAAAACTAATATTTACCTTGCATCTTTTCATACACTCTTTCTTTGTTCTTGAAGGTATACAACTGGCAATTTGATCCCATCTATCGGGCACAGTGGTAGGAAAAGTTTTCAGTGCTTGCTCGAGTAGTTTTTGTTCAGCAATGGTCCACGGTTGCATTTCCTTTTTGGACTCCTTATCATCGTTCGTCGTGATACCATTTGAAATTGGATCCAATCTCTCGGTTACTGCTGGCATTTTTTCCTCGATATTATCTTTGACTTTTTTATCGGCAATAAAATTGTCGAATGCCTTTTTATTTGCCTGCTCTTTGAGGCTCGATTTACTAAAGTCAGTCGACTGTAAATCCTTGGCTTTTGCCAGAACTTCCTTGGCATCACGTTTCACATTATTGGCATTATTACTATGTTGATTAATAAAATTTGCCACAACTTCCCAACGTTGATTTGTACCGGCGGGAAATAAATTCACGGCTTTTATTAAAAGTTGTAAATCACTTTCGGACCATGGTGCACATGTTGTCTTGACCTGTTTTTCAAGTGTATTCTTGGAATCAGGCACTGTACCAATTCTTCTTTCGGCTGCAATTTTTTGCTCAGTTTCGGCAATTATTGTTAAAAATGCACTCTTACCGTTGGCTTGCAATTTTTTCATTGTTTCTTCTAATTGAACTAATTTGAAGAGTTCGCACATTTTTTCGACACTCTCCATATGTCGAATACTTTCCTCGGTGTTTTCGGCGAAATAATTTTTCGATTTGCATAAATCTCTTAGGGCTTTTCGTTCTTTACGTAAGGCTTTCTTTTGGGCTTCTCGCTCCTGTTTGAGGGCATCTTGTCTTGCTTTTTCTTCTAAATCGCGTTTTTCTTTCTCTTGTTTTTCCTTCTCGGCCATTTCTCGCGCAATACGTTCCTCCTCCATTTGTTTGGCTTTTATGGCTTCTTGCTTCGCTCGTTTTACTGCATTCTTTCGATCCTTGTCTTGTTGTTGGAACATTTTTATCCGCGGATCTAAATTGTACGCCATGTCAACCATTGAGCGTATTCTGGTCATTTCCTCCTTCTTTCGTTTTGCTCTCGCTGCTTTGTTCTTCTTTTCGATCCATTTACGCATATCGCGACTGAAATCAAAAGCGAAATATGAAAAATTGTAAAAATAAATTTCTAATAATATAGTTGTTGTTACTACTCACTCCTGTCCGGATTCTTTATCCTCTTCGTCGAGATATGAATATTCTCTCCATGATTCAAAATCGTACCAGAAAGAATAAAATTTTTCCACTGCCTCCCTTGATGTGCAGGGATTTCCAAGACGGGGTACAATTTTTTTCACCGACCATCTTGAATTTATTTTAAAAGCTTTGCCCATAATTTGGTAAAAATTGTCCTTTGCCTCCTTTTCGTCCGGCAGATCATCATTAAAATATGGATCGATACTGTCGTAACTTCTTCTTTTGGTAGTGTTTCCTAATGTTTCCCAAGCACGAGTTATACACGTGAAATAATCGTCGTCCGCACGAACATCTTCTCCCATTGCCTTACGCTTGTCAGGATGGTGTTTCAGAATTTTGTGTTTGTCTGCAATTTTACAAAAAGAAAAAATGTCAACTCGAAAATCAAAATTTGTGGAAATAGAAATTTTACACAAATAGTAAACGCAGGCCTCGGATCAACTTTAAGACACAAAAAAAGTCGAAAAAGTCGTTTATTTATTTCAATTGAATTTTTGAAAAATATAAAATAATCCAAGGCCTGTAAACGAACAAAAAAAAAGGAAGAAAACAAATATTAAATAGAAAATTACAAGCTCGTTTAATAATATCCTCAGTCGCCCTATGCCTAAGACTCGAAATTCCCAGCACTGCATAATGATCCTGATCTTTCCATTCCTTTGGATTCAGCGAACGAAGATAATCGAGATCGTCCTCAAATTGAAAATCAGTAATATCCTCTTCATCGGAAGATTCGACATTTGAATTACGAGGTGCGTTACGATCCAAAATTGACTTTAACCAAGTTTCTTGCGATACATACAAAACTACAGCGCCTGCCGTTGTTGACTCAGTCTTACGTGGAGCTAAAAATATAATATAAATATTACACTAATTCTTCAAACTATACATACTGCTTTAATTGAATGCCAAATGAATGTCAGACATTAGCAAAAAAGAACCCCTAATCAATCGACTTAGAGACAACATAATAAATAAATAAAAAGAAATCTTAACACTACAATAGAGAACTATTTTACATACATATGAATTAAACATTTTTATTTAGAGAACTTCATGCAACATTTGCCCTCAAAAAAATACCATTTAATTTGCTCCAAGAAAAAAGTAACCTTCAAAAAAAATTTCAAAATTCAAGGAAAACATAACAGAAATAAAGAATACTTTAAAATCAATAAAATAGTTGTATTTATGAACATTTTTTTTTTGGAAATTGTCAAATAAGGCTTAATTAGTTCATTAATTGGTAAAAATGTTATGTTAACCTCCAATGGCCGGTAGAGAAAATTAAATAAAATTAATATCTTACTAAATGCTGCATTAGAAATAATATGCTCGTCGGAAACTGTGGTCTTTGCCATTTTTCCACACCGAAACAATAATTTTATAAAATATATGAATTTTATTCAAATAAAACGAAAATTATGAAAGGTAAATCAGCACGCTGTGAACATTTTCCGCGAAACGATGCGAATTACAAGGAGAAAAGTGAAGTTAGTAACAGGATGATAGCCAACTTAAAAGAATTAATTTTTATCGTCTGTCGATAACTAGTAGAGAAAATTCTTTATTTCATAATTAATAAAGAAGATTAATTGAAAAGATTGAAAATAACAAGTAGTAGCTAAATTAAAGTTTAGAATTTATTTTTATTTTATTATTTTCTTTATAATTTAGTTAACTAATGGCTGAAAAGTAATATTTCGTTTATATTTTAGTAAGAAAAAGTTTGTCCACCAATCAGTGTTTGTCATGTTGCCGCCAGTAATATCTTCAACCAATAGGAATCTACTTAGGTTACTACTGTTGTAGACAAGTTTATTCCTGTCGAAAAAGTCATCTGTAATGGCGGCGGAGTTCGTTAGCTACTGATTTTTCTTCAAAAATAAGGTATATTTACTTTAATATTTACAAAATTGGTACATTTTACTTGTTGCTCAGGTCAAGGGGCACCACATATTATAAAGATGCTGTAAATAAACAACAAATAACGGGGAATATGTAGAATAATTATTGTGCGCGCGTGGGCCATTGTTCAATACCTTGTTGTCTTGTAAATGGCAATAAATCGTAATAAATTTATAAAGTGTCGGTTTTTTACTTGATTCTCGATTATATTAAAGTATTAGTTCATGATTTTGGTATTTTTGTGGAAAAATTGTTTGGAGAAAAAAGTATATTTTTTGTTAACAATTTTTCAAGATGGCGGCATGTCTAATATTTAGACAACGTGTGCTCCCGGTGTAGAAAGTTACAGACAATTTTTGATAAATTTTCATCGTTTAGTGGATTTTTGTGAAATCGGAAGGGAAATTATTAAGTTTAAATTAATCTATCTCGTTTTTTTGGTGAAAGTAGGTGAATATCCTGACATAAAAGATAGGAAGGTAAAGTTTTGGCAAAACAGTGCAAAAATTTTTTCCGCAACCAAGAAAGGAATTATTTATGGCGTTTATTCCAGGTAAACTTTTACCAAGTCTACATTTTCGGTGCTTTTTATAGGTAATTCTCACATTTTGAGAAAATTATCTAGTCTTTTCGATTCAAACATTAAAAATTTTACATAAATATAGCGTAATATGTAATTAAATATATATATGTATATAATTATAGTTTTTTATTCTTAGAATTTTTTGTCTTTATTGTTGCATATTTTATTTTTTTATTCATCAATGATTAATTTAACAGTAGAAATTGAAGATCGAATTATAATGTAACCTAATTTTCTTTACATTTAGCCTTTTTTGAGTTTAAGTTTCGAATTTTTTACTTTCAAGAATGAACATTTTTTCTAACCTAAAAAAGGGTTTATCGAAATTTAATCAACATTTTATAAGGATTATTTACTATAAAGTACTTTAAATTTAACGTTTATTCTATTTAATCTATTAAATAAATCAAAAACGATCTTCAACTATCCTAATTTTCTCTTTTTAAAAACAAAAATATGAAAACTAATTGCTAAAAATAGAAATAGTAAAATTTTTCTTTGTTGCTAAAATGTAACAATTCTTTTTTTAAACCTTTCGATAAAAAAATTTGGTACATTCATTTCTTAACAAAGGAAATTAAAAGTTGAATTATACCTAATTAATTACAATTTTATTAATATAATTAATTAATTTAGTTTCAATTTTAATTTTTAAGTTTTTTTTAAATTTAATGTTAATTTAATTTTTAATTTAATTTAGATTAATTAATTAATTCAAAAAATATTTCATATCCTTATTAGACTAATTTATAATTTTCAATTATTTAAAATTAGTAATTAGTAATAATATAAGAATAATACTAACAATTATGATTTTTAATTATTTAGAATTTCATTTTTATTGCTTATCTTATTGTTTAAAGTATTGTAAAGTTATTTTTCATTTATTAAAGAAAGTAATTGTTATTTTATGGTTTTTATATTTTTATTTCCATTTTAACTTTAATTAACTTAGATTTTTTTTTAGGAATGAAGATTTTGCCGAACATGAGTCACGATTTTGCATAGCTCATCAATTTCCAGCATCCGAATCCAGTTGCGAATTAGTAGGATTTCTGATTAGAAACGAAGCAGATTTTGCAGAGATAAAAAAAATCACATCCAAATAAAGGATTGAGACCAAAAATCAATATTTGCCAACATCTCTTTCACGTGAGATCTTTAACCTGGTGAGTTTTGTATTATTTTAATTATTATAATATATAATTTATTATATACGTATATAATAAATAAATATTAAATAAGTAATTGAATTTTGAATTTTTAATTTAATTCAATTTTTAATCTTCATTAATTTAATGAGAGTTAAAATTTTCAATAATTCATTTTAATAATAAATAAGTAATAAATTACTTAATTTTCAATAATTCATTTTAACTCTCATTAAATTAATGAAGATTAAAAATTGAAATTAAATTAAAATTCAAAATTCAATTACTTATTTAAAAAAAAATTTCTTAAACTAAAGATAATAAATAAATAAGAAATGAAATAAGAAGTGTCATAAAAATAATGGCAACGAGAAATCAAAGAAATTTAAAATGAAAATGTATTTTTCTTTAATTATGAACATGATAATAATAATTACAAATTAGAATATCTTGTTTTAATTACAAAAATAATTAACAACAAGTTACATTTTACAATTGACACTAATTGCTTATTAGCTGATCTTTTTTTTCAATTAAACGCAAAACTTACAATTAAAATTACAATAAAATATTATCAAGTGCAAATGCAACTTTTTAAATAATTTCCGTAACAACGTAGATATACATATAACAAATTATTTTTCCAAAATAAAAAAATTTCAAACTGCAATTCATTATTCACGATGAATTACAAAATGTAATAAATTTTAAATATAACAAACATCGATTAAACTATTTTATACTAATATTTTTTAAAAATTACTCTTTTTTCTAATTTCAATTTTTAATGAACGCTTTTTTCAAGGCACTATAAATCTTTACAATTCTTTTTCTATTCAATTTTTATTCGTAGGCTCACTATCAAATTTTCATTTTTTCAATTCAATTATCTCACAATTAAATAAAATGAACACTAAATTACTTTAAGTAAATTGTATAAACACCTCGGGATTAAAATATTTAAGATCACATAGTAAAGACTAATATTTTTTTTATAACTGCCTTTAAAGAAAACTTAAAACATTTTTTGGACGGAGTGAATTTTAAGTCGTTTTTCGCAAAAAAAAAACAATTTTGTTTTTGATAAACGCAGAAAAATTGGGGTGTTGTTTATTTATTGGAAGATGCAAAGTTCTATTAGGAAGCTACGAGTCTTTTGCGCATATTAAATAATTAGTTGGCACTTTAATGGATCTGGGAGTGATTAATAATAATTCTTGTATTTTGAACTTCCAAAAATGTTAAAAACTATTTTCGCAGTTAACCCCTTCGCAGTCTAGTTGAAAATCGCTTGTGGTCCAAAAACGGTCCGAAAAAAAAGTTTACAAAAAAATATGATTTCATCATATATAAGGTTTTTGGGGTCGCTGAATTCGAATTTGAGGTTAGTTTTTGAAAATTCAAAATGGCGGATCCAATATGGCGACCAAATATGGTGGATAATTTTAAAATTAAAGAGTTTTAAGGGAAATTCATTTCTCGGGGGTTTTCGAGGTCGCTGAATCCAAATCTGAAGTCAGATTTAAAAAATTCAAAATGGCGGACCCAAAATGGCGATTTCAAAAAAAAATTTTTTTTCAGATGTTCTTAAAACTCGTTACTCGGGGGTTTTCGGGGTCTCTGATTACAAATATGATGTCATATTTTCAAAATTCAAAATGGCGGATCCAATATGGCGGATGATTTCAAGATTGATGCGAAAAAAATATGAAGTTACCTCAAAAACCCCTGAGTAAACATTTTAGACAAATTTGTCAACATTCAAAAAATTTGATCGACATATTGAATCCACAATTTAGCATTTAGAAAAACGAACATCAAATTCGAATACAGTGACCCCAAAAAACCCCGGGAACCGAATTTCGATCGAAACGCATAAATTTTGAAACTATCCGCCATATTGGATCTAACATTTTGAATTTTGTAAAACGAACATCAAATTCAAATTCAGCGACCCCAAAAACCCCTGAGAAACGAATTTTAATCCAATCGCATCAATCTTGAAATTATCCGCCATATTGGATCCGCCATTTTGAATTTTGAAAATCTGACCTGATATTTGTAATCAGAGACCCCGAAAACCCCCCAAGTAACGAGTTTAAAGCGAATTTGAAATTTTTTTATTTTTTGAAGTCGACATTTTGAGTCCGCCATTTTGAATTTTTTAAATCTGACTTCAGATTCGGATTCAGCGACCCCAAAAACAGTAGTATGTACTTCGCTACTAAAATCAAATCATGTTTAGTATTTTTTTTTTTGAGATGGCCATATATGGCCACAGACGCGAAGGTGGCACGACTTTTCGTGGCCATATATGGGCCATGGACTGTTAAGGGGTTAATGCAAAATGAGGTACGATATTCGAGAGAGAGACTTCAAGTTAGTTTACACACTGGGGACAGGGAGGGGGATTAATTACCTCAACTATTATTTGATTATTATTGAATAATGAATCAAAAAATATTTTTAAATCCACTGAATAATATTTTTGGATTTATTTCTCGAATTTAATTCACTTTCGGATCAAAATTGAGTCTAGATCTTTTTTTCGATAATAGTTGTTGTGACGTGTTTCTTGAATCTTTTCCTTTTTTTAGTTATAGAAGACACTCGAAATTTATTTCCCAGATAAAAATTATTGATGTCCTGGCGACGAAAGACGTCTTTGAGTTTGAAAAGGGTTCTGCAAAAGTCGTGGAGAACATTCAATTACTCGAAGCAGTAGGGCGTCGATGTAGTTCTCTAAATCGTGAAGACGTTTTTCGTTGTTTGCCGCCTCCGACTGTAGTTGAAGTGTCATTTCTATTAAGTCCTGAAGAAAAAAAAATGTTATTTAACGTAATTTAGGACAAATTTTTTTTGAAATTCTTATCACTATAATAATATAAATAAAATAGTATGAATCTCTCAATTTTATCAATTAGGTGCGGTAAAATTTTTCGAACTAATAATTAGAATAGAATAGAATAAAACAGGAACCAATAATTAAGTAATTAAAACAAAAATAAATTTCTTACTTCTCTCGATTTTCCTTCGAATTTGGCAAGTACTTCATGTGGCAATCGACTTTTGTTATTAATATTTTTCGTAGCGTCCTCACCGCCAATGATAATTCTCTCGGACGACGAACGTCCGTCTTCAATATTATGTTCCTTGAATTTATGTTCTTTCTCCTTTTTCTTATCTTTCTTGAAAATTTTCTCCTCCTTTGGACTTCGAGTCATTGATTTCTCATCCTTTGGACTTTTATTTGATTTATCCTCTTTATTATTTTTCGGAAGAGAAATCTCACGAGGAGCCGGATTTGGCGGCTCTGGCGTATCTCTAAATCTCGAAGTTGGCAACGGCGAGGAAACTGGTGACATTTCACGATTCTCATTTCTTGCCTCGTCAACTACAATTCTAGGATTTGATTTATTCTCCCATCTGAAAGGAAAATTGTTATTTTATTTCTGTGAATTACAATAAGTGAAGAGATTTTCTTTTTAAGAATTATTTTTGATAGAATGGAAAATTAGACAAATTTTTACTTCTACATTATTAAATTAATAATAACCAGCATAACTATAAGTTTTTAAATATTTGTATAGCAATAATTATTAAAGTTTTGAATAATTTAATGTAGAAATTCTAATAAAAAATTAATAGCATAATTGAAACTTTGAGTTCTATTGTTAATTACAAAAACTTTCTTTTTGAAATTTAATAAAAATTTATTCCTATTTAAAAAATATTTTTCGAAATATAATAAATTCTTCAAAAATTTGATTATATTTCAAAACAATTTTTAAAAGTAATAAAATTAAATTCTTTCAAATATAAAATGTATTTCTATAGAATAAGACAAAATTTTTATTTATTGCAATTATTTTAAAAATTTTTTTAGAGTTGCTACATTAAATTATTCAATACTTGAATAATTTTTGTTAATCAAATATTCAAAAATTCCTTTATTTTAATTGAAATTCCAAATAATTTCAATGTAAAACTTTTTAAACTTTAATTATTTCTGAAAATTACAACTGCAATTTTTCGAAAAGTCGATTATTTTGTATAATTTTTGAATAAAGTTATTCAAAACTTTAATCATTTTATTTCAAAATAAAAATTTTAATATATTTTACAATTAAAATTTTTAATGATTTTAATTTAAAAATCTTGTAATTCAATTTTAAATCGATTCTTATTAGAAAATTCTACGAGAATTCAATACATTATTAAAATACAAAAATAAGTAATTTATTCAATAATTGAATTCTTTCGAAAATTTTAAGAACATTTTCAGGAATTCAAAAAATAAAATTAAAAATAGTTAAAATTAATTTAATTATTATAATAAAAATAATTGAAATTAAATTAAATTAATTAAACAATTGAAAATCTGAAAATTTTATTATTTATAATAATATGTAAAAATAATAACATTTGCAGACATAGGTACAAATTCAAAATTTAAATTTGTACGAAGAATTTAATTAAAATTATTCTGAAAATAATTGAATTCTATTAAGAAATTTTGTTAAAATTTTCAATAATAATAATTTTATCAAGAAATTTTATTCAAATTTTATTGAAACTAATTAAATTTCTCCGAAGAATTTGATAAGAGTTTTTGAAATTAATTGAATTTTTCCGAAAAAAATTTATAACTTATAAAAATATTGAATTCTTGCGACGAATTTTATTGAAAATTTTTTTTAAATAATTAAATTCTTTTCAGAAGTTTTATTGAAATAGTAGATTTTAGAAATAATTGAATTTCGAAAAATTCTTTAAATTAAATTTACACGAAGAATTTTATTAAAATGTTTTGAAAATCGTTCAAGAAATTTAATTTAAAATTTCAATTTAAAACCTTTAGAAATTTAATTAATTTTAAAAATTAGAACTGCTCTTCGAATTCTTAAAATATTTTCTAAAATTTTAACTGAAATTCTTTTTTAAATGAATTCTTATCAAAAAATTGTACGAGAATTCAATGATTTAAATACAAAAATAATTAATTATTTCTAAAAATTGCAACTGTAACTCTATGTACTTATTGATTTTTTTTAAATTTGAAAAAGAAAATTCTTATACTATTTACGATTTTCAATAATTTGAATTTGTTTTTAATACTTTGGATAAAATTTGATCTGTAAAAGAATTTGGAATCAATAACTTCACGTGAGAGTAGAATATCTCGTTTATTATATAATTAAATAATTAATAGAAATTGTTTTTTTAAAATTTAAAGAATGTGCATCTCTCTGTGGAATTTGAGATCAGCAATAAATTATAAATATTAATATGAAACTGACACGCAACTGAATTTATAATACAGAACGCAGAAACTGTCCTTGTTTTCATGCTTTGTGGATAAAAACAATCGTTTTTGAATTGAAGGTCGAATGTGTTAATTAAGATGACAGGGAGGATTTAATTGCAGATAAATAGATAATTGACCTTTTTTTTCATTAAGGCATTCTTAAATTAATTATAAAATGTGTTTGTGTGTGTGTGTGCAAATTCAGTGAATCAACTTTCTCGAACGTAAAATAGGGAAAGTTTCGTGATATTGCGGTTTTTACCTTTTTAGAGCATTGCCACCTTGCTTTCCATAAAGCTTAAGTCCCCATTCGTCTTCTTCTTGATTTTCTCCTTTAATCAGCGGCGAATTATTGATTGCCGTTCGTGGCGGTTTATTTGGTGCAACATTTGAAATTGGAGTCGACGAATTTATTTCGTTGATGGCTTGAACTTTTTGTGATGTGTTGCTTGAATTTGTCGTATTTAAGGTATTATTAGAATTCCCAGTTGGATTCGCTATTGTCGGGGCATTTAGAGATGACGCCGAACTCTTGTGAGACAGGTCATCGAACTTGAAATGGAAAATTTCGTTTAGAAAAAATGCATATGGAAAATTTTAATTCTTAATATTATATTCTTTTATTTTTTTTCTACTTTTTGTTTTACTTTATGTTCTATCTTCTACTTTTCGTTCTATCTTTTGTTTTTTACGAAAGAATTTGGAGGAAGTAAATAAAAATTGATTCTTACTGTAAATTCGTCCTCGTCTTCACTGATGACGCCTGGATCAGCTTCACCAGGTTCCTGTCTAGTGGGTCGAAAATGATGTTCGTCTCGTTCGTCCAATTCATCGTGATCGAGTTTATTTTTACTTTTGCCTTTAACTTTGTTGCCTATCGATTTTGCGAGTTTTTTCAAACCCTTTCTCTTCTCGAGACTGCCAATGCTTAATAAACTGCCACCGATTGATTGTGCGGCTGTCGACAATTGTCCCAGGGAGCTTTTGTGACGTTCCTTCCTCGTTAGATCTGTTAGACTTCCTGCTTTCACGATGAAGCCAATTTTCACCTCGAGTTCACCTCTTTCCTTAGTGTTCTCTTTACCTGGTTTGCTCCTCAATGTGTACCTGTTAATAATTTAAATATTTTTATATTTTATTATTAGAAATAATAAATTTAATAATTAATTAATTAATATTTTAATAATAATTTCTATCTAAATATTATTTTTATATTTTTACTTCTTTGTGTAGTTTTCTTTAAGAATTTCGAATTATTACAGATTAAAAAATTTAAAGAATTCACTCATTAAGTACATAATATTAAATATTCTTGTTTATTATTATTCAAAAAATTTTAATAAATTTTTCGCAAAAATTCAATCGTTTTCAATGCAATTTTAATAAAATTTCTCGAAAGAGTACAATTATTTTTAAAAAAATATTAATTAAATTGGATTATTTTCAAGAATTTTAATATAAATTCAATTATTCTCAACAATTTTGATAAAATTCTTTTAAGAAAATCATTATTTTCAAAACTTTTAATAAAATTCCTTTAAAAAATTCAATTATTTTCAAAAAATACAAATAAAATTCTTTGAAACGATTCAATTATTTTTATAAAAATATTATTTAAATTCAATTATTGTCAAGCGTTTTAATAGAATAAAATTCTTGAAATGAATTCAATGATTTTCAGTAAATCGACAATTTAATTATTTCTGGAAATAATTAGATTCTTGAATTTGATTCTAATAAACCTTTTTTAAATAATTGAATCCTTGCAAAAAATTTATTATATCCACAAATAATTGAATTTTAGCAAAATTTTCAAAAATAAGTGAATTTTTGAGAAAAATGTTATTAAAATTGTATTTAAAATAATTGAATTCCTGTGGAAAATTTACTATTTACTGATATTATTGAATTCTTTTGAAAAATTTTTAAAAAATGTTTAAAAACAATTTAATTTTCCCTGGAATTCAATTAAAATTCTATTTAAAATAATTGAATTCCAGCTAAAATTTAATTATTTTTAAAAATAATTGAATTCTTGAATTTGATTTTAATAAACCTTTTTTAAATAATTGAATTTTCTCTGAGGACAAGATTTTCAAAAATAATTGAAATTTTCGAAAAAATTATTAAAATTGTATTGAAAATAAGTGAAATCCTGATAAGAATTTTATTATTTATAGAAAAATAATTGAATTTTTTACGAAGATTTTTATTATTTTTAAATTGATTAAAAAATTTTATTACAATTATTGAAAATAATTGAATTCTTTATAAAATTTAATTATTTTCAAATTTTTTTTATCAATAAACAGCAACTAACTTCAAACTGCGAACAGATTACCGGAATACAACGATTATTAATATAGAAGAAGATTTTTATCTAAATAATAAATAATATAAATGCAATAATGGAAAATTTAATTTTTGAACTTTGTTTAGATTTCCTCGAGAAATAGAAAAATTTTCTGCTGAGAGAGAAATGGAAAATTTTAATTACCATCTGTTTTTGGGTCTCTCGTAGACGTCGAATGTGGAAAGGGGTATGCTAATTGCTCCGAGAAATTCGTCGACTCCTAGAAAATTGCGATGAAGTGCTGTTAGGACAATTTCGGCAGTGTTTCCTTGTTGTGGAATTTGTAGTTCGCATTCCTCGTGCCATTCGACATTTTCACTTGCCTTTTCTTTCACTGAAGTTTGATATTTTTCTTTGCCAAGCGATATCGTCACGAAACAATCGTTGGTTTCTGCGATCAAATCATTTAACATTAATATAAATATCATTCCAAGGGACGTGTGTGGGTTTTGAGGCGGTCAATTTCTGAGGTCACTGTCATTATTGAGATTTATCAGAATTTATCCGATTAAGTCACCTTTTGAATATTAAAAGTCATTATTATTTATGACACCCAATGGCATCTGGTACCATTTTATTTTTCGACCACAAAAAAAAAATAGGAAATTTTTATCCTTAAATTAAATTAAAATAATTTATTAAAATTACTTTACGAATTTAATTAATTTAAAGAATTAAATTTTGGTTTAAAAAATCTATTCGGATTTTACTTTAGAAAATTAAATCGAATTTTAGTTTTAAAAAATCAAATCTGATTTTAGTTTAAAAGTTTAAATCGAATTTTTGTTTAAAAAAATAAATCAATTTTGAATTTAAAAAATTAAAACCGAATTTAAATAACGAAAGCTAATTTTGGAAATCTGTCAAATATTAAAATTTTTATGACGTGAATCCGAACAAGAGTCGTAAAAATAGAATTTATGAATCGAAAAAGTATTTTTCTGAAAATTATGTCACTTGGTCTATTTTAAAATCATAGTTCATTATTGTCACATATAAAAGATAATTACTTCGTGCTCTAATGCCACTGACACTGCACTAATTATGTCACATGTTCTTCAAGTGTCTAATTGCAATTTTCTTTTTGTAATCTGATTTTGAGATCTTTTTTAAAAATTGCCCCGTCAATTATTTCACTTTATTCTTTAGTTCAAGATAATAAATTTCTCATAATTAAATTCGTTTGATGCCTTTGATCGAAATTATTATCAAAAAATTGAAAACGTTGACAATTTTTTTAATAGTTTTTAAAGAAATTTGTAAATTGTTTTATTCTCGAACTTGAATTCTTGTTGTTCTAATTATCAATGAAATTATATTTTAAAAATGGGACAAATAAGTAATTAAACGTTAAAAAATATTATCATAATAAGTAATTATTATATGTAAATGAATACTTTTGTTGGGCATAATTAATAATTTATAAATCGTGTGAAGTTTTGAACTTGTACTCACTGTGTTTTCCTTTGGTGAGCAATCCTTTGGCTCTTTGAACTGAAACAAAACAGAATTGCATTAATTTTAATTGCTCAAGGTGGAATAGTAATTTTTTCAGTGTAATTGAAAATATAATTTCAATTTAAAATATAATTTCAAATTACAAATATAAATTCAAATTGAAATATAATTTGAAATTAAAATATAATTTCAAATTAAAATATAATTTTAAATTACAAAATATGATTTCAAAAAATATTATTTAAAATTACAAAATATAATTTCAAAAAATATAATTTTAAATTACAGAATAAATTGAAATAAAAATATAATTTGGTTTATTTATCTGTATATTTTTGAATTGGTATAAAATTCCGAAAATAATAACTACTGAAAACAACGAAATCCGTAAAAATGAACTGATTTACAATAACTTCTTTCCCACGAGTTTAACGAGAGAAACATTCATTGTAAATCAGTTTTTTTCTATTTAGCTATATACATTAGAGATAACTGGGTATTATTTTAAGTTTTTATGCCTTTAAACAGTGTATCAAATTGACAAGGCCTTTTTAAAGTTGGATGCGCACATTATAAGCGGTTAAGTTGTAGTATACTGTACAAAATTATAACTTCATATGTCAGCATTTGTAAAATATAATAGTCTAGCGAATGAGAAAATTACTTCTTTCGCTACATTCTTAAAAAAGTCGAGTGTATAGGGATTATCTATATATCCCCCTGCCATATGCAGAAATACCGTTTTGGCGGAAGTTGGTATTTTTCATGCTTCACGGAATTTGTATATATGTATATATATAGAGAGACGACGGGAACTTTGAGAAAGTTACTTTTTATAATATAGTTCATCAGCTATATAATTATTGTAATGGCATTTTTTTTAATTGCAATGCATTTAAATTGTCATGATTTTCATGAGGATTCACTATATTTTCATTCAAGTGTCATTCAGTTCTTAATGATTCCCTTTACGTATTTTCTAATGATGCATCTACATTTTATATTTATTCTTAATTTAAATTTTCTATTATTTAAATAATTTAATTAGCTAATGTTTAAAAGATATTATTTTAATATCTGAATTTTATATAAGAAAAATAAAATAGAAAAATAAAATAGAAAAATAAAATAGAAAAATCTAAATCAATAATAAAATCTAATAATATCAAACTAGAGTAAATGAAATTCTTCGCAGAAATTAAATTATTTTTCGAAATTTTAATAAAATTTTTACTCGAATTCAATTATTTTGATAAATAATAAAGTTCTTTGCAGAAAATCAATTATTTTCATAAATAATAAAATTCTTCTCAGGTATTTTAATTATTTTCAAAAAATATCTAGAAAGAATTGAATTATTTTCTAAAACTAGTAATAAAATTTAATAATTAAAAGCTTAATCACAATTATTAACAAACAGGATAATTTAAAAAAATGCAATTCAATTCTTTAGAAAATTCTATATTATTTTCAAAATTTTCAATTTGGATTTAAGAAAAAGTCCGCTATTTTCAAAAAAGTCAAAGAAATTCTTCAAAAGAATTCAATTCTTTTCAATGCATTAATTTTAAAATTCAGAACATCTAAAAAGAAAAATTATTTAAAAAGTTTGGAGCAAATAAATTTATATTGTGTAATTATTTTTATGACATATTAGTATTTAATAATTGTTTATAAATAGTAAATAAAATATTTAATTATTTTTATCGTTTTTTCAGATCCCTGAAGGCGGTGACAACGCTGAGCGTCGAAAATAAATTTTTTTCGCGAAATCGAAAAGAATCAAACAAATATATTTCAAAGTTTTTTAGTTAAAAAAATTATCCTAAACTTTTTTTTAACTTCCTAGGTGAAAAAAAGTAAAATTAGTAACATTTTCTGTCTTTAAAAATCCTAAATAATATTTTTCGACGCTGAGCGTCGACGCCAATTTCAGTGACATTTTTTTTTTTTAATAATAAAATAAAAACGTAATTGCAATTATGATTCTAAAGTTTTGGACGTTAAAGTGGATGAAATTTATTTATTTCTCCCTCAAATTAAATTTTTATTACAATAATTTTGTGTCAATAAAAAAAATTTATATCTAAAATTTCTAAAAGCAAAATTCAAGTTATAAATTTTTTACTTACAATCATAGTAATATATGAAAAATATTTGTAATAAAAAAGTATTTCGTTCATTTGAACGTTCAAAACTTGTAGGATTTTTTTGAAATTAAAGAAAAAACTTGTATTTACATTGCACTTGTTTTAAAATATTGAAAAAAGCGCAACTTATAAATTTTTATTAGCTTAACAAATGAAGTACAAGAACTACTTATCCTATAATAAGTAATTCTTGTCGGCTTAAAAATACACTTGACACAGTTTCTATGTTTTGCACTCCAAATAAAAAAAAATAGAGACTAAAATTGCTACAATGACAATTTTTCTAACATAAAGCTGCGTCAATAATTTTTCACTGCAGCTAATATTATAAATAAATAAGTAAATAATAATAAAATTATAAAAGTATAATAATAATTCATAATGATAATAATATTAATGATAAGAATAATAAAAATAATAGTAATAAATTAAGACTACAAGTAAAATAAAACTTGAATTTCAAGAAATAAAATTCTATTCTAATAGTAATAAGTAATAATAATATTAAATATTATTATTGTTATGTTATTGTTATTGTTATTGTTATTATCTGAATAATAATTATAGTAATAACTAAAATGCGGTACAAAAAAATAAACTAACAATTAAATATTTCACGAATATAAATTAGAATTATAACTAAATTGAATAGTAAAATACTGAATCTAAAAAAAATGTTTATGACACAATAGAAAATCATCCATTATTTATTATTATGCAACGCAAATTCTCATTGGTACGGTGTAGTTTAATATTCCTTTCTCTAATATATGAAGTTTATGTATTCTATTCTTTTGAGATTTAAAGGAGTTCTCAAACTATATATATACAACATGATCCGTTAACACTTTACGGTATTCGAAATTTTTTTCATGGCAATTTTTTTTCTTCTTGAATCTGTAGAATATTTCTCTCAATTTTATTCAACTAACTAATAACACACGATTCTATAATAGAAATAGAATTAATTTTAGAGTGACCTTGAAGACTTCCAATAAAATTACAATAAATAGCTGTTAGAATAACAATAGAGATTCCAATTGATGAAAAGTAGAGAAACGGGTAAAATTATAAATTATAATAAATTTAAATTATAAATAAAATAATAAAAAATGGGGAAAAGAAATAAATCATATGTTATGGGTATTTATTTATTGAAATTGAATGAATTAATCTTGCGCTATGCAGTTTCATTGTTGCTTATTCACATGAATTGTTACAAAATTTGCAATTAATATTTCACAATTAATTATTATTATTATTACTGTTTCTTCACATTATCCAGGGGTATTGTTTTTTTTCAATCTCAAATCAGTGTCAAGGTTTATTTTTAATCGGATATGTTACATGGTGTTTGATTTACATTAGGTGTTTAAATTGTTTTCTTTTTCAAAAGTGAATATAGTTTTCTAAAAGATGGAAGTTTTTTCCAATTGAGTGCCATTTTTGTCTCTTTGAATCCAAATTAGTGAAAATCGAGCCAATGATTCTCAATAGTAAAGATATTCACTAATTTTTAGTCGAATATTCTTTCTTCTTTTTGTAATTAAAATTAGAATAAAATAATTACCATTTTCTTACTGCAGTTTTAGTAAAAAATTCATTAAATTATTTTTTTGAATTTTGACCAAAATTAGTCAAAGAATTTTACAATTTTAGTAAGTAGATTTTTTTTTACTGAAGTTTTAGTGGAAAATGATTAAAAATTAGTAAAAATTCTTACTAAGTGGCTCAATTTTCAAGAATTTAGATTTAGAGGACCCAAAACGTAATTTTTATTATTTGAAGAATTCGTAAAGATTTTGTAATATATTTAAAGTGACTTTTGTCATTTTTCAAAAATATATTGTGTAACTTTGAGGCTTGTTTTTCATTGCATAATTTTAAAAAGGCGTTGATGTTCTCTGTTTAATGTCAGTAATGAAAGCGCAATTTAAATAATGATTAGACTAGATTGGCACGGCCTTTATCGACAGTAAATTGATAAAACTGCATTCAAATTTCGCTGTTTGTAATTAATCATCATATTACCTTACCAGAAGGCTGTTTGATAAGTTTGCTTCTGGATATATTGTTTCACATGTGTTCATTTTTTTATATTTCTCTTTCTCCATCACCATGAGTAAAGATAGAAATTTTTTTAAAAGTTACTAGTTTTGGTCGTTTAAATGAACGAAATTTTTACTTAAAAAATTAAATTAAAATTTTTCATAAATTTTATTATAATAATTTTTATTCACCTATTGAAAAATTAATTTATAAAGTTTTAAAATGTTTAATTGTTTTTTATTTTTATTTCATCGGGTAATTTTTGAAAATATTTCCGTTTCTTTTGAACGTTCAGAATTTTTTCAACAATCGAATAATATTATTAATAGCAAATTATTTTTAATGGTAAATTTAATAACAAAATTAATAATAAATATAAAATAACTGAAAATTAAAAAAAAATGATTGTACAGTTGATACATTTTTTCGTTAATTGAGTGAAAGTAGATCAGTATCAAAATTTATGAGCAAGGCAAGTGTTTACAAACAATTACCCACATTTTGTTTTTCTTTTAAAAAATTTTTTGTGCAGAATTAAATTGCTTCAATTACATTGATGACAATTAAATTACTTTACCAATTATATTAAGGTGAATTAAATTAATTTCATTAATTATATTATAAATTAATCACTGCAATTTTATAGTAATTTCATTAATTAATAATAATTAATTAACAATAAAGATTTATTGTTAATTAATTATTATTTAGAATTCATATTATACTGAAAATCATTTGCTTATAAAATTATTTAACTAAATAAATAAAATAAATTGAATTATTTAATTATTTGAAAATTGAAAATTTTAATTAATAGTAATTAATTTGAAAAATTTTAATTATTTCAAATTAATTAATTTTAGCACATAATTAACAAATGAGTTAATTAATTCTAATTATTTAATTTGAAGTAATTTTTTAATTTTAGACTTAAAAAAAGGAAATGCCTACTTTTTTGGCTACACTTACTTTGCTCTAATTCTAATGCACTTATTTTGTGCCACAAACACTGATGCGTAAAGACTACATTTTATTTTTGGAGTTCTGCTTTTGCTTTGAAAGAAAACAGCTTTCTCGGCCAGCGCGTGCATATATTGCTAACAATTTACAAGCTTTACAAAAGTGCTTATTTTATTTTGCCACATTTCACGATTGTTGAGAATTTTTTCACTTTTGGATATTTTTTTTCTAATATTAAACGAACTAAATTTGATTTTAAAATGTACGAAAAAGTGTTTATTCTTTTTTTATGTTATGATAAAATTGAACGAAGCACTTCGATTTCACTTATTTTTTTTCATTAAAGTTGAAAACCTGCTGTTGCATTTGTGTCATTTGCATTTATAATTTCTAATGGATTAGAATTCAATTAAAATGTCCAATGGAACTTTCTAGAAAATTGTTGGTATTTTTTATTGAAAAATTGCATTTAAAATATACTTTTTATATTATATCTTGATTTTTTTCTGCATAATATTGTAGTTTTTTAATTAGAAGAACATTTTCTTTTGTTTTTTAAATTTTATTTGTGATGAAAGGCAATTAATTATCTGAATTAATTTTTGAAATTGGAGGATAAAAATTTATTATTTATTTCACACTGAGAAATTGTATTTATATGCAAAGCTATAGATTTTTTAAATTTTTTTATAATTTCTTTATATTTTTTTAAATTATTTTTTTCTTTTTTATTATATTTAATTATTTTTATTATTAAATTTATTAATATTAAAATCATTATAATTGAACGATAAGATTATTTTAAAGCACTGAAAGCAAGTGATTGTACTTTTTCAGATTTAATTTAAAATTTTAATTTTATCTGATTTTATATCTTAATCTTTCATAGAACACCCAATATAAGTACATATAAGCTAATTGATATATTTAAAAAATTTTCTTTTACATTTTTTTACCTTATCATATCAGTCGTTAGTCATAAAGAACTTTGCAAGATTTGTCATACTCTTTATTATAAGTTGGGTAACCGAGAAACTTGTATTGAAAATGAAGGAAAAATTGTTTTTCAGCATTTATCTTATTTATGCAGATTAATTAGAATTTATTTTCAATGCGGAACGAAGATTTTCTTTCCCCTTTTTTTTACATTTATAAATAATATTAAAACAAAAAATATTTATTCAAAAAGTTCAGAACTTTCAGAAAATCTGAAAATTAGTGAAAATATTTACGAATTTAAATTAGTAGAGGAACGGTAATTTTCACTCGAGATTACCAATAATATCTTTTTATTTTTTCGTAGAGTTCTTTGAGATTTTTTCTAATTATCGATTTAATTACCTCTTGTTTTTTTTTGTTTTTGTTTTTGTCGATTGATTTTCTCTATTATTGTTCATGTAAGTCTTTGTATTATGTAAGAACATTTGGGGTTGTATTTAAAACCTTACGAATTGCCACAATTCTTTATGTAACGCTTTTTGCATTCCAAGTTCTTTTAAAAGTTCCCTTTAGTTGAAATTATTGCAATTTTTAATTACAAATGTAAATTTTTAATTGTACATTTCAATTTTTAATTGCAATAATTTTACTTTTGTGGAATTGGAAAAAATTTCAATCTCATGAAAATTCATAACTATAATGCGTTCAGAGTAAAAAGAAAACATTGTAATTTTTTAAGTGTTCACTGCAAATACTTCAAGTTTAAATGTTAAATTCTTTTCGTTTAAATTACCGCATTTTTAATTAAGGGGATAATTAGGAATTCTTTTTTTGAACCACTAGTTTTGATTTATGGTATCGTAAATATATTTCCGATGAACGAAATATTTTTTCACAATAAAAATGATTTCAAAGTTTATTGACTGCAATAGAAATAAAAAATTTAAATTAAACACTTTGAAACGTGTTCTAAAAATTACAAAAATTCAAATGAACGAAATTTAATTGTTTCCTTTTCGAAATAAATTTTAATTAATTAATTAATTAATTAATTTTGAGTTATGTCCCGAAAGTTTCGAAAGTTCAAATGAACGACATATTTTTACTTCTTTTAATTTGTACTTTGTTATTGAAAAAATTATTTTTTATGTTAAAAATTAATACTTGACTAAATGTTTAATTTTAAATATTACTCCTTTTTTACTTGTATAGTAGTTTTAAAAAATATTTAAACAAAAAGAATTCGTTCATTTGAATGTTGAAAACTTTAGGAAAGTTTTGTCTTCCTCTCACAAAATATTAATTCTAGTTTCTAAATGTAAAATTTTAGTTTTTAATTTCTATTGCAATTAGTAATTTATGAAAATATTTTTAAAGGAAAATATTTTGTTTATCTGAACGTTTAAAACTTGTGAATTATCTTTGAAACTTTATGAAACATTTTTTCATGCGTGACGGAATTTTTATTTTATTTATATTTATTTATAAATATAAATTATAAATTAATATTTATTTTATTAAATTAAAGTATTATATTTTGAATAATATCATAAGTAAAATATTATATTTTTTAAAATTAAATTTGAATTTGGAAAAAATAAATCTCGTTTAAATTTGAATGTTCAGAACTTTAGGGGAATACAAATTTGGAATCCTTTTTGAAAAAAGAAATGTAAAGACTACATATTTTTTGATACGAATTGTTTAAAAAAAATAAAAGAAAATTATTCTTACGTTTAAAAACAAGCAAAAATATTGGTTTCTATCATTTAGAATTTGAATTGTAATGAATGAATGAGGATGTAATTCAAATTGCTGGTAATAAAGTTTGTGAACGATACAATTTAGATTTTAATTGGTACAAACCATTGTCAGTAAAGAAACTGTACCGAGAAAGTTACTTGTAATTTTTTATTATTATTATTTTTTCTGTTTGTTTGTTGCTATTACTTTATTGTTATTTTTTTTCTCTTATTTCCAATATATATTTTTTTAAATTTCTGATAGTGAAAATATATGTTTGATATCTGCCTTTGTATTAGTGTGTATTTCATTGTTGCAACTGATTCCTTCATTGTATCATTTACAGGCACACTACAATATCATTTACTGCATTCCATAACGTCACTGCATGTTTACGCGAATGAACCACCTGATGGTGTAGTAATGTCAACATTTAATTAATGCTCCATCGCTCTTTAAAGACCCACATGTTCCTTTTTTTCGAACGTTCTCTCTTTAAATCTAATCTTCTCTTTAAATTAAAAAAAATTGACATTTTTTTTCTTCTAAATTTGTCAAAAGTTTAGTATTCGTTTTCACTTGTACGTGTATTGGCTTACGGTAAAGGCAGAGTGTACGATCTGACCTATTATCTTACCTGGCTCTGTTGTTTTTTTGTCATTCTTTTCTCACTGAATTTTTGAAAAATCTGTTTAATGTTTGTCAATTATTTATTTGCTTACCTGTAACTTGAACGTGAGTTGGACTCCACATTTCGACAAAGAAATGCTAAAATCCACTATTTAGAATCTCAAAATCATTGAGTCACACACACACACACGTATTTTACGGAGAAAATGTGTAATAACTGTATATAAAATTCTTAGGTAAACACTGGTAGTAATGTCTTTGTGTGAATTCGTAACATAATGCACTTGATGAATGAAATATTTGGCAATTAATGAAAATAGTAGGAATTTTGATAAATTTTCTTTTTTTCTTTTTTTGGGGGGAATATAAATGTGAATATTTCTTTGATACACAAAACACTTGAATTGATGTGGAGAGTATAGCTGCCACTAGCTGTCAGAACGTTCGGAAACACCGCTACTCCGTATCACGACAGCATAACATTAAATTTACCTTGTGCGCATTTTACGTGCGCAGGAAATATTGAGGTGTTCAGGAATGTAGTGAAAATAATTATAACCCCGTTTTATTATGATATTTTTTAATTTTATAATTATTAAATTAAATTAATAAATTTTTCATTCTTTTAATATTCTATATTTTTTTCTCGAAAGATCTGGAAATTTTTTTTAGAAATTTGTTAATAGTAGTTAAACAGGTAGCTTCATTTTTTGACTGGATATAAAATATTAAAACAATTAAAACTATTTAATTTCAATATTAATTCGTTATTTAAAAAAAAAAATATTAAATGTTAGACAAAATTATTTATTTTACAATTTAAAATTAATTTTGAAAAGTAATTTAAAAATTCGTTTTTATGAATTTCGTTTCGTATTTTGTTTATTTGTGTTTTTATTATTAAATTAAATAAATTATTAAAATAACGATAAATAATAAATTAAATTATTAAATTAAATTTAGATATTCAAATACGTAACAAAAACTTGTAGTAAAGTAGTTTTCTTCAATATGCTCGGATTATATTACAAACTTGCATGTACGTTGTGAGAATAGATGTTCTTTAGGAGCTAAATACTTTCGTTTGCGATGACTTAACATTATTTATAATCAAAGTCCGTTTCTAAGTAATAAAATAGTTTTTCCTTTTCAGATATTTTATTGTTGTATTTGTATTTTTAATAATTAATTTTTATTTGCAGATTTAAAGGTTCATATACTTGGAGCTGGCAGCATTTTTCTACTGACGAATTCATCTTAATTTCAATACTATTTTGGACTAATGGGGAAAATTTCGCCATTTTCAATTTCCAACTGAGTGTAAATTTCTTCGTTTGTCGAAACTGTTTCGAAAGGATTAGAAACGATCAGAAGGACCAGAAAATCACGTCAACGGAGATAATCTGCGACTGGTATAAAATTATTAGTCTAAAAATATTAGAGTTCTATTTAATAATTTTACTATTTTGCTACTATTAGTATTATTAGTACTATTATTCGTTTTTTAAGATATTTTTGCAGGATTATTAATATTGTAGGGTTGTCACAAGTCAGGGAAATCAGTAAGTTCAGGGAGAAATAAGGAAAAGTAAAGTTGGTCAGGGGAATCAGGAAAAAGTCAGGAAATTTTATAAACCTTAAAAAAAACCTGTAAAAGTTAGGGAATTTTGGTCGAAATCCTGGAAAATTGTTGTTTTCTAAAGTTATTGTGTTTATTCTTGAAATCTAATTTCACTTAAATATTTCAAAATTAATTCAATTTTAGAAGTGTTACGTTTACGAATTTCATAAATAAATAAACTTCAAAAGATTTTGATTAGAAATTTTGTAAAATTTCAATTTTAAATTAATTTAATTAGAAATATTAAAAAAAAAAATTTTGAAACTAAAATTCTTCTGAAATTAGTTAAATTTTTTAATATATATTTAATTGACTATGAAAAATAATGGATTTATAGAAGAAGTTTTGTTAAAAACACTAAAACAAATTGAATTTTGAAGCAATTACCTACAAATGATTGCAGAAATTCAATTATTTTCAAAAATTTTAGTAAAATTCTTGGCAAAATTTTAATTATTTTCAAAAACTTTCCTCAATTCAATGATTTTTAATATCTGCTACTTTTATAGAAATTTCTAAAAGAATTCAATTAGTTAACACAAATTTTAATAAAATTTTACGTAAACGTTTCTTTATTTTTATAAATTCATAGAAAAATATAATAATTATTCTTAACAATTTTATTAAAATTTATCAAAGAAATTGAATTATTTTAAAAACCTTTGCTACAATTTATTTATTCGAATTTAAGTATTATTTCCAATACATTTTTAATTTAAGTTCTTTAAAGAATTAAATTATATTCAAAAATTTTAATGAAATTCTTTGCGTAACAATTCAATTTTTTTGTTACATAATTTTAATAAAATTCTTACAAAAATTCTCGTCAAAATTTAAATTATCTTTATAAATAATAAAATTCTTCTCTGAAATTCAATTATTTAAAAAAATTTTAATAAAATTCTTGGAAAAATTTTTAATTATTTTTAATACAATTTTCATCTTTCTCAAAAAATGAAATTATTCTTAAAAATTGTATTAAAATTTGTCAAGAGAATTCAATTATTTAAAAGTTTGTTGATAAAATTCTCAATGAAAATTCAATTTGAATAAACATTCAATTGTTTAATGAAAAATTCATTTTTGTAGTTAAAAAATGGAATTCTCGTAGAAGTAGAATTTTCTAATAAATATGGATTTAAAAATGAATTTCAAATTAAAATCTTTTAAAATTTGAACTTTTCATAATTTCAATTAAGAATTCTGTAGAATTAATTTTTTTTAAAAAATTGAATGGAATTTTTTTTAATTATTTAAAGTTTTTAATTTCTAATTCTGAAAAATGGCAGAATAATCGAAAATTTCGTAAAATTTATTTGCAAATAAAAGAATTTGAAAATTCACAAAGAACTTTTTCAAAAATTATTTTTAAAAAATTGACTTGAAGAAGAATTTTAGTTGAAAATTCTTGAAATGAATAATCGTAATAATGAAAATAATTTTTGAAGAAGTTACAGTAACAAAGTAGCAAGTTTTAATTATTATAAATGTTATTGAATTTCAAATGTTTGAAAATCTTAATTTCTATAAAAAAAAATAAGTAATGATTAAATATTTATTTCAAAATGAAGTTATTGATGTTTTCGAATGATTTTCGTTTTAAAAACTTGGAAAAGTCAGGAAATTTGAAAAGAACAAATTTTTTTTGTGACAACTCTGCATTAGTACTAATATTATTACTTTTTTAAAATATTAGTTATTAGTTTTTAAAAATAATTAATTCTATTATTCATTTAGCAGGAAGCCTTCCCTTCAATTACGAGATTACTTTTGCAAGGAATTTGGTAACACCGTCGAATTTCGTCGAGACACAAAAACATTGCAGCAATGAGGGATTCATCGGCCTGTGAGTCCTTTTATTTATTCTGATTTACAAATTTTGAGTTTTTATTAAACCTTGTCTACGTTGACATATCGTCCCTCCCCAGTGCTTATTTTGTTTAGTTTTCACTAAACTTTCGGAAAAGACGATAATGGACAAAAGGTTTAAATATTTTTTGGCCCTGTAATTAACAGTATTTAGTTACTTTGACGTAACTTAATTTCGTTTAACTTAATTATTTCAGAAATAATTATCTTTAACCATAATTCATAATTCGAGAATTCACCAAGAGAAGAAAAGTATGATAAAATATCGCAACTCTTCTAATATTATTTATAACTTTTTTTTAATTTTCTATTTTTAATGCTGAAAAATTCGGCTATAAATATCTCGTATTTGAAATTAGGTCTAAATTTAAAAAGTAACATAGATAAGATTTTAATTAATATTGGGCTTATAACAAGAATTCTTTTTTAATCATTTTTTTAAAATTATAGTAAAATCTATTCCAAGAAAATTTACTTCGAAAATAGTAAAAAGTGTGAAGAGGTTCCGGACTTTTTTTTTGGTTTTACTTCGTAAATAGTAAAAGTTACTCTATATTTTTTTCGTAGTTTTGTAGTAGATTAAAATTATCCTAATAAATAAATAGTTGAGGCGAATTGTTATTTAGTTAAAAATCTATCTTGATTATAGACAATTTAGAAGAAATGAAAGTAGAAAAAACTGAAATAATACTATAGATTCACTTTAGATGATAAATAACTGTGGTAAAGTATTGTCGGAAACGTTACATACCATCACGCTCTTTTTCATCAGCACTTGTATTGAATGTGCCACTAATACTAACAATTAACAGTGCTGTATCAAGATTTTTTAAAAATTATTATTATATTATTATTATTATTACTATTATTAGAATTTTCAGGAATTTTTTTATCCTGTGTTCATTTTTTTTTAGTATTTTTTCTGATTTTATTTCATAATTTAATTTTTTTTATAATTTAAAATGTGACAGTGACAATAATAAGTTGCAATGATAATCAACAATAGAAAATAATTTTAAAAAAAATTCACTAATACATTTGAATAAATTATCGTGTCTATAATTTAATTTATAAAAAGAGTGTTCACCTGTTGCGTCACTAATTCAAAGATCTTTGAAAAGCACGTGATCGAAGATAAAAAGAAATATTTATTTGTTTAAATAATAATTATTTACTGTTATTTGAACATTTTTATTTACTATTATTTAAATAATTATTATTTACTTTTATTTAAATAATTATTATTTACTATTGTTTAAATGATAATTTCTAATCTTTTAAAGAAAATTTTGTTTAAGTTCTTAATTTACAAAATTCATTTGAGTTGATTGATTTAATTTTTAAAAATTAATTGTACAAATGTACCTGATGAAAGTTATTTTATTATTTTTTTTTTCAATTTTTAACCTACTTATGCATAAAGAAAATATAAAAGAAACTTCAAACGATTCGTCATCGTTGTGATTGAATAACCGGTAATTGTAAATCATCTTGCAATTATAATCTCGTTAATATTGACTCATATGTATGCAAACTGCTTTACCTGCATATTTTGTTTAAATTATATGCAATGTAGAAGTAAGAAAAAAAATTCCAATCGAAACTAAATAATTACAATATTTTTGACAATAATCGTAGCAGTGATAATGTTTTAAAAATAATAACATTATTAATTAATAATAATTAATAATAATATTATTATTACTTAATAATAATTAATAATATTATTGTTAAGATTATAATTATAATTGGGTTAGTTAGTTGGTTACTAAATTGAAAATCTTTTGATTACTTTTAAGAACTTTCTATTAAAATTTTTTTTTGTAAGAATGTAATGATTTTTTTGTGTCAATTAAAATTTTTCTACTTATTTTATTATAAACAATAAAATCTCGTACGCAGTTTGTCGTGATTATGTTATCAGTGCGTGTAAAATTATGTCCCGAGGTCGCTGTGAATAGATATATATAAATGATTATAAATTCTGAGTTTTCTAAAATAATTCGCAACAGTATAATTAAATTATTATTGTTATTAATGACTATCTGGAAATCATTTTTGAAAAATAATTATTGCTAGGAAGTTTGTTATTTATTCGAAAATTCTTGGAAAACTCGGTAGTCAAGTGGGAGAGTTTCATAGTGAAAATAGTTATTTTTTTTAATTAAGCAAAATTACGTTTGTTATTTTATAAAGATAATTTCAAATAATGCATAAAAAAATCTTTTTACAAAATATTTTTAAAAGTCTCTTTAAAATTTTAAATGGCCTTTAAAAAATACTTTTAAAAATCTGTTCAAAAATCTATTTAAAAATCTGTTCAAAAGTCAACTTAAAAATGTTTTTAAAAATCTGTTTGAAAATTTATTTAAAAATCTATTTAAAAATCCATTGAAATTTCTGTTTAAAAATCTATTAAAATTTTTGTTGAAAAATCATTTCCAACTTTTAAATACAATTCTGTTTGCTTATTCTGGAAAATAATTTTCCAACTGAAGCTAAAGTGCGTACTTTAAAATTTAGTGTAGTGAATTTAAATTTCTGAAAAATTGCCTGCGTAAATAGTCAAGCTTTAGCTTTCACTTTTTATAGTCAGCAATTATACTAACCATTTTAGAAAAGTAGAAAGTACGAAGGAGTCAATTAACTAAATATTGTCGTGTAGAACAATACATAAAATTTTGACATTATGACAAAAATATTTTTTATTCTTTCGCTTTTATGAATTTTTATTTTTAAAAGGAGATCTTTTTATCAAACATTTGTATTTATTCAATTTTATCCAAAATTTAAATCATTCCTTTTTAACAAAAGTTTCAATTATCTTAATTATAATTATAATTACAATTTTATCCAAGTTTACCTAAAATAAAATTAATTTTTAAAACAATTTTTAAAATAAAATTATAATTGAAAATTTAAAATAAAAAGAATTTCCAAGAAAGTGCAAAATTTTTGAAATATATTTCTTTTAATTCTCTCTTTATAATGATGGAATGAAATTAGCACACTTTTCTCAGTTTATCATTAGCAGACATTATCAAGTACCTTATGTTAGTCTTTATTATCAGATGATAAATTAAATCTGTATAATGTAATGCACTGTTTTATATATGAGTAACAGAAAAAACTGTTATCGTTAAATTATAAATCAGTTCTTTTTTTTTTGCACAAATTCCAGAAATAATGTAGGGTATATATATTTTTTCCAACAACATATATATATATATATATATATATATATATATATATATATAAAATAAATGTATTAATTTTTACATTCTTGTAATATATATTTTATGATATCTTGCAAAAGATGCTGAATTTCATTATAAAAAAGATTTGCGGTCATTTCACTTTGACCCTCGTACGTATATATAACATAACACTTATGTATCACGCGTCTATTCAACGTCTGTTTTGCATGATTCATTCATTGCGTTTTTTTTACTTATGTGGATTAAATTATTATATGTATCAATTTTCCATTTTTCCTTATATCACTCAATCAGGGATAAAAATAATAATAATAATAATAATAATAATGAAAATAATAATAATAATGAAAATAATAATAATAATGAAAATAAGAATAAAATACATTGTAACTATATTATAGTTGTCAGGTTTAAAAATGAATTTTTGTTTTAAGCCCAAAAATATTAAATTAATAATCCTAAAAGTAATAAATAAATTATAAATTTTAAGCCATTTTGCTTCCTTATGGAAGAACTTTTAATTTTTTTAAGCCAAATTTTAATTCAAAAATATTACGACATGAAAAAAATGTGTTTGATATTTCTGAAATTAAATTTTTACTTTTCAAACTGTATGATTTTAATATAGATTGAAGTTTCTCATGGAAAATTTATGGGAAATTCAAAAAAATATTATGGAATTTCTGCGGAATTTCCGATTTGAGTTTTTGTGAAAATTTCAGGTGTTAATTTACAAGGAAGTTTTCAACATGAGAAAATTTATTTTAATATCAACATTCGTAGGTGTTAATTATTAATTAATTAATAATTGCTTACTCTCTAAATTTGAATTACTAAAAATGTTAACTAATTTGAATCTGTCTTTTTGCTTTTGAATTAGTAAATTTTACTAATAAATTAATAGAAATCACTATTTATTAGTAAAATTTACTAATTCAAAAGCAAAATGTCGGTCGCTATTTAAAATTAGTAAACATTTTTACTAATTCAAATTTAGATAGTATTTAATTATTATTAAATTAATTATTACGTATTTAATTATTATTAAATTATTAATAACATTAAATTATTATTAATTTAAAAAAAATGTTTTATAGACTTCTTTTTTTCATTGAAAACAAATTTTTCTTTCAAATAAAAATGGATTTTTGATTTAAAAAAAATTTCTTTGATTCAATCAACTTTTCATTGAATTTTTGATTCTTTGAATTTCATTTGAATCCAAGAAATTTATTATTTAAATCAAAATTTTATTATTGGTACAGAAAATAATTCTTTAATTTAAAAAGGAAAATTTCTTTGCATCAAATAAATTGTTTTTGAATCAAGTAAATTTTTTTTAAATCAAAGAAGAATTAATTTTCAATCGAAGAAACAAGTCGAAGTAAATGATTTCTTTAAACAAACAAAAACTTTTTCTGCCTGCATATTTAATTGTCATTACATTAATAATTACTATATTAAGAAAATATTTTAAATACTCCATAAAATTATTTTTTTTGGAATTTTTTTTATCAAGAATTCAGTGGTCGTAAAATATTTTTACCTCTTTCGAATTTTTATTTTTTTTTTGCAAAATTCAGAAATTTTGAAATTCATATGTAATTTTGTAGAAAATATGTTTTTGTGCCCACAAAAAAATTACCGAATGAGAAATTTGACTTTTACTATTTTTGAATCATTTTTTTCTAAAATATTGGTTTTCGACTAAAAATGTTGAAATCTCTATTGTTATTTAACTTTTTTATTTGAAAATTCATTTCATTATTTTTCTAACTAATTTCAAGTGATAATTTTTTTTACATAAAAAATAAAAAATTATAGCTTAAAATATTTAGACAAATAAAGAAATAGATTTTCAAAATAAAATATTGAATAACAACAGTATTTTTTAAAACTTTTATCCGAAAAATAATTTTAGAAAAAATGATTCAAATTTTTATTTCTTATATTAAAAAATTATGATTTGAGATTAGTTCGAAAAATAATCAAATGAATTTTCAAATTAAAAAATTGAATAACAATAGGATTTTTTTAGCCTTTAACAATTTAACAAAAAAAAAATGCTCATTCGCCAATTTCTTTGTCGATACAAAAACATATTTTCTACAAAACTATGCGTGTATTCTGAAAATTTATAAATTTTTAGGGAGAATAAAAATTCAAAGGGGGAAAAATATTATCTGACCTATTTTATTTTACGAACATTGAATTCTTGATAAAAAATTACCATAAAAATAATTTTATTGAATATTTAAAATAATTTCTTGATAGGAAGAATATCGTTAAACTCTCCACTTAATTTTTATTAAATTAATAATTACGTATTTAATTGTTATTAAATTAATAATTACGTATTTAATTGTTATTAAATTAATAATGAGGATACTTAATTATTAAATTAATACTTAGGATAATTTATTATTAACTAAATAATTTAGATAATTAATTATTAAATTAAATTAATAGTTAGGATATTGAATTATTAAATTAATAGTTAAGATTTTTAATTATTAAATTAATAGTTAAGATACTTAATTATTAAATTAATAGTCAGAATACTTAATGATTAAATTAATAGTTAGGACAATTAATAGTTAAATTAATAATTAGGCTAATGAATTATTTAATTAATAAAATTACATGTTTAAATATTCCCCAATTAAACATTTCAAACACGTTAAAATTCGACAGTTTTAGCACCGAAATTTTAATCCTAAAATTAAAATTTCGTTCAGTGTTGTGAAAAGTTTGCCAAAATAAATCCGTCAATCGATCGCAGGTATTGCACTTTTTGATACCTGCGTCGGTTTCAAACACCTGCCGTACGAAGGCGCCAGAGGTCTTCTCCTCCCAATTATTATTTTCTTTAGAACGAAAACGAAAAAAAATTGACTCTCCGTCCTTTTCAAAGTACTCAAGTCAGCACTATTTACACGCAAGTTTTTATTTCGTCGTGTTTTCTGTCTCCGACAATTTATACCTTGTGTTCTCTCTCTCATATCAGTACAAAACTTCCGCAAAATCTATTTTTGTTTGCGTCTAAATTTTCAAGAAACCTCATCATCTCTCGCCGAATATAATATAGTCCAAAAAAAATTAAAAAAAAGTTTCTAACAAGCAAGAAACAAAAAAAGAAAAAAAATAGTTTGAAAGACTTCATTGAGGGTAATAAAAATTAGTTTATACAAAGATTTTTCCATTGTTTGTTTCGTGCCGGGTTGGAGAATAGATAAAGCAAATCGTGCAACCTGACGTGGAAACGAGTGAGGGAAAGGAAAAGAAGGCAGCAGGTAGGGAACACGAGGTTGACGATTATCAGCATCAGTCGTTCGCGCGTGTCGTGTGCATGCGGTACTGGTGGTTTTGTTTCTAGAGAAAACAAAAACAAAAAAAAAAAAAACAAGAGAGGAGAGAAATTCACCAATAAGAAAAGAGAAAAAAAAATTTAGTGAAGAAAAATTTGTTTTTGTGAATTAAAAAAGTTTTTGTTTTTCTAGTGTAATCTTAATCATGTCGTTATTAAAAGGCGATCAAAAAGTGCCGAGTGCTCGACTATGTCATATTGTAAAATGGGATGATTTCGATGGCTATGGATTTAATCTTCATGCCGAGAAAGGTAAAACCGGTCAATTCATTGGGAAAGTTGATGACGGTTCACCAAGTGAAGCGGCCGGTCTTCGTCAAGGCGATCGAATTATTGAAGTTAACGAAATCAACATTGCGAATGAGACGCACAAACAGGTGGTCGATCGCATCAAAGCATTTCCAAGTGAGACGAAACTTCTTGTTGTGGACCAGGAGGCGGACGATTATTTCAGGGGCAATAACATCATCATCAAGGGCACCATGGCGAACGTCAAGGTGATCAAGACACCGGAGAGAAATCCTGCCACCGTTGACGATGATGCCCGATGTGATGGCAGTAACGGCTCCATCGATGAGGTACGAATTCCAACAATTTTTTTCTTCTTTTTTATTATTATTATGTAATGTAACAAATTTTCTCGTGTGTGTATAAATCGCGTGTCTTTTTTTTTTAGAAGGAATTCTTCAATTTAATCTGATCTCGAATGTTTGATAAGCATATAGTTTTAATTTAGACGAAATTTCGGGAATTACGCTGTTTTGATATGTGGAATTAAACAAATTATTAGTTTTGCTAATTTTTGAATTGAAAATTAGCAAAATTAGTTGATTAGTGTAAATTAGTTTGTACTAGTTAGTTCTGGTTTATACTAGTTTTACTGATTTACTGGAACAAATTTTTTAGTGAATTTATTTACTTACAGTAAATATATTTACTCACTAAATTAGTAAAATTTATTCACTAGTTTAGAAAAGTTGACTCACAAAATTAGTAAAATTAACTTATTTAATTAGTAGAGTTTACTCTCTAAATTATTAAATTAATTAAATTTATCTCTTAAATTATTAAATTAATTGATTCAATTAGTAAAATTTATTTACTAGTTTGGAAAAGTTTACTCATTAAATTTATAGAATTTGGTCACTAGTTTAGTAAAGTTTACTAACTAGTTCAGTAAATTTTACTCAATAGTTTAGTAAAGATTACGCATTAAATTGGTAAAGTTTTCTCTCTAAATTATTAAATTAATTGATTCAATTAGTAAAATTTATTTACTAGTTTGGAAAAGTTTACTCATTAAATTAATAAAATTTGCTCACTAGTTTGGAAAAATTTACTCATTAAATTAGTAAAATTTACTCAATGAAGTACTAAATTAAATTATTTGATGAAATTAGTAAAGTTCACTCACTAAATTATTAAATTAATTAATTCAATTAGTAAATTTGCTCACTAGTTTAGTAATGTTTACCTACTAAATAAGTAAAATTTATTCACTAGTTTACATGATCCACAAAAGTGTGGAACATTCAAATCAATGAAATATATTTTCCATAAAAAATATTTTCAAAATTTACTGATTGCAGTAAGAATTAAAAACTTAAATTTAATATTTTATTTAGAAACTTAGTAATTCATTTTTTTAACACTTGGCGCAAAATCATTACAATAAAATTTTTATTTAGAGAAGAAAAAATTTAATTTTGTTCAGAATTTTAGGAACATAAAATCCCTCACTAAATTATTAAAATTAACTTATTAAATTAGTAAAATTTACTCATAAATTTAGAAAAGTTACTTATAAAGTTAGTAAAGTTTACTCACTAAATTAGTAAAATTAACTCACTAATTTAGTAAAGTTTATTCATTATATTATTTATAAAATTAAATTGACAATTAATTAAATAATTATAGTTTTTTCACTAAATTAGTAAAATAAATTTACTGATCTAGTGAATTTTTCTCATTAAATTTGTAAATTAATTTGAATTAAATTAACAACAATTAATAATTAAGTAAACAAAATTAAAAAAGTTAAAATTGAATTAATCGCTTAACTGAAATTAAATCTGCTTAATTGAATTGAATCCAATTTAATTAGACTACCATTAATCAAAATTTAATCAATTTAATCAGGTTACCAATTAAATTTTTTACTAAGTGAATTAGTAGTGACCAATTACTAGTTTTACATATTTTTTAACTAAAAACTGTTATAATCATTACTAATTCGCTGAAGAAATAAATGATACGTTTGATTTAGTCAACATTGAATAATTTAAAATTCAAAGTAAATTAATAATTTCTACATGTGGATTAGTCAATAAATACCGACGTCAAAATGTCAGACAGTGTGTTAAATAATAATTTTTAATACCAATAATTTTTATAAACGTAATTAATTATTTCTGACCAGTTATAGTTACTTTTTTTATTGACAATTTACTTTTCAAAATAATTATTTTCTCAAATAATTTTTCTTTTTCAAAATAATAATTATTCTCTCGAATAATTTTCCTTTTTCGTCGAAAAATTATTTTATTATTTATTTTATTGTTCAGTTTCTATTTATTATTATAAATTTTTAGTAATTTTAATTAGTGAACTCCTTTTTACGTATTCAGATTTAGAAAATATTAATAATTAGTTATTATTTTTATAAATAATTAATTATTTTCCAGCAAATGATTTAAAGTCAATTAAAGTCCGTTTTATTTTTTTATTTTTTTTTAATTAAAATCATACATGTAATGAAAACATACAGATAAATTATACTATAAATACAAATAAATAAATACTGATAAATAGTTTCGTAATTAAGCATTTGTTAATTTTAAATCATAAAAATTTATTAATACTAAACTAATATTCAAAATCTGATAATATTAAATAATTAATAATTAATTAGTATTAGTATTTAACGTAATAATTAGGAATTAAACTATTAAATTAAATCAGAGGAGAGAAAAAAATACGAACTTATAGGAGGAAAGTAATAAGTTATTTAAGAGACATCTGTACAGTAAACAAATTAATTAACGCAAAAATTGCTTAAATTTAATTAAACTTTAATCGAACGTGTAATAAAATAAATGAATAAGAATTGAATACAAAGATTGCAGAGAATGAATTATTTTTATTACGATATGATATAATTATTTTCGATATAATCAAATTTTTTATGGAATTATGTTGTTAATTAAATAACATATTACTCATATAGTATTTTATTTTTGTATATATGAAATACAAAATTAACTTGAAATGACTCTTACTTAAATTGTAATTAGAAAAAAGAAAAATTTTAATATCCACTTTCTAGAAATTCCGGTTGAAATTCTTTGGAAATTCCGCATGGCCTTATCTATATACATAATTCCGGTTGATTTAATCTATACACACAATTCCGGTTAATGTTCGATGGAAATTGTTACACTCGTGGTTAAAATGTTTTAATATCAATTTTACGATTTGTCGTAAAAGTTGTTTTGTTTTCTTCTTTGAAATTTAGATTAGTTTTTCACGTAATTTTTAACTGATTTGATTGCTAGTTAGTTTCTTTTTTTTTTTTTAGTTTCTATGACTTTTTAATAATTTTGATTTGACGAAATTGTTTATTAAAGAGGTCGTTAAATCCGTTTAAAAAAGTCGTTAAATTTGAGTTTTTATTAAGTATATGAAATTATGTAAAATTAGTTGAATTAGTTAAATTACAGTTTAAAAATGTAATGAATTTTCTTTTCTTCAAAACATTTTGAATAAATGAATTTTAAAAAAAATTATATTTGATTCAAATAAGTGGTTACTTGTCTATAATAAAATAAATATTTACTTGAATCAAATAATTTTTATTTAAATCTTATATTAAATTATTTGAACCAATAACTTCGGTATTTGAAGCAAATAGTATTTAATAAAATATTTAAATATTAATTAATTCAAAATGAAAATTATGTGATTCAAGTGAATATTTATTTGAGAATAAACAAATAATTGGTTATTTGAATCAAATAGGTAATAAAATATTTATTAATTAATAATTCAAAATAAAAATTATTTGATTCAAGTGAATATTAATTTGAGAATAGACAAGTAATTGGTTAATTGATTCAAATTTTTTTTCAGTGTAAGCTTTTTAAGAGTTTCAAAGAAATTATTTAAGTATTGAAATAGAAAATGTGTTGTTTTCAGTGTAGTAAAAAGTCCATTGATGGAAAACGTTGATTAAACTACTTCGGCGCTATTATCAGTATTTTTTTATTCTTAGAAAATTGAGATCAGTTTTCAACTTCTTGAAGTGATTTTTTTTTCTTTTTTAGTGACAAATTTTGTTTACAATCTTTTGGGTTTGTTTTTTGTCTAAAAAAATAAATAATAAAAACTATTTTTATTTATTTTTTTATGATACTATAATTATTTTCATAGAGAAATTTTTCTTTTTGTATTTGTTTTTGTCTTTATTAGTGTAGTGCAATATTATAGTAGAGGATGATTCACTTTTTCAATTGAAAAAAGTGCCATTAGGTAATAATCATAACAACTTAGCGATTACGTACATCGTGGTTAATTATTGACAGGCTAAATTTACAATTTTTTTTTTAATGAAAAAAAGATTTCGAAAAATATGTTTCATTTGAAGAGAACAGTGTTATTTTTGTAAGGATTTTTAAAGATAAGGCTAATTACGAAAAAGTCATTCGATATGCGGCCATTAGTTAACATACAAAACACTACAAAACACGTGTTCATTACCATTTTTATCAAAAATGGTTATGAGCTACTGTCACTTTGAAGGCATAGAATGCGTCATTTATTTCGAACCATATTTTTATTTTGCTCTTTTATTTTCTTTTTTTCTTCTTTCTTATTTTTTTTTGAAATTCTTTCTTTTTAAAATTCTTTGTATTTTTTTGCATTTTTATTATTTTATTGTTATAAATTGTAAAATTTATTGTTATAAATTTTATTGTTCATTATTATTTATTTATACGATTTTCGATTATTTGTCAATTATCAAATAAATAATTATGTTTACTTGAATCAAATAAAAAATTTTTGATTCAAGTAAATATTTAAATAACAATAGTCTACTAATAGATCATTTGAGTCAAATATATTTTTTTTAGTAAAATACTATAACTAATAGTAATATTATTAATAATAGTGAAAATAATATTAAAAATAATAATACTTCTTCGATTCAAAAAATAATTCTTCCTCTACTATAATATTGCGTTATTAATAAAGACAAAAAAATTCTTAAAATTTTCTCTTTTTGAAATATATATATTTAGCTGACACTTTCATTTAAACAATTATTAAATATAGATTAAATTAATTATAAATTATAATATATAATGTAGAAAAATATTAATTATAGTAATTATCATAATTTTATTTTGTATTATCAATTTTCGTAATTACTAAGTACAATTATCGTAATAAAAAATAATAAAAAAATAATAAACATAATTAAGAAGAAGACAATAAATAGTAGTAAATAATAAGGAAATAAGGAAACAATTACGCAACTTTGGTAGAAAAATAAGAAAAAAAAAACAATATTTGAGAATTT